CTGAGGCGTGACGGCCGATTCTCGCTGTCCTTCCCCCGCACCTCCAGCCAGCACCGGTGGCTACGCGCGGAGCGGCAACACGCGGGCCCCCCCCTGTTCCACCCACTCATTCCTCAGCCCTTGAGATGCCCCCTTGCCGTCTCAAAGGCCAAAATCTTTAAAACCAACCTTAAACGCCGACCCCTTAGACGCCGACCCCCTAAACGCCGACGCCTTAAACGCCGACCCCTTAAACGCCAAACCCTCTAAATGCCAAACTTTAAACGCGACCACGGGGAGAGAGAGACACACACACGCAGACTCCAAATAAACAGCAGGCGTTGCCTGGGGTCGGGATCGAACCGGCGGCCTTGTCACTTGGCAACGTACGGTGCAAAAGAAGTTCAACATACACGCGATTTCCTGCATAGCAGGCGAGGGAGATAACATCTCATAACCGCGTCTAGGAGCACCGCGCGGTGTCACACTTCCCAAAACAGAGAACCGTCATCTCTCTCCCTCGCTGTCTGAATCACTGTTCCTGTGATCACTGGTACACTGTTTTTGTGGCTTTATTTTGGTGATTTTAAACAGGATTTGGTCTTCTTTGATACTTTCGGTAAAGTCACCAAGTAGAATGAGAATAAAATGATAAATTGATGAAATAAAATAACACAATAAAATCCTCACGACGTTTCGGCCACAACGCAAGTGGCCTTCTTCAGGTGAAAGGTAAAGATCTATCGGGACGACAGAGCTACAATGAACGTTGTTAAGATTCGTAGCGTCTTTTAAGCTGGTTTAGAGAAGTGAGGCACCTTGACAAAAGGGGTTTATATATCAAACATCTTAACAACGTTCATTGAAGCTCTGTCGTCCCAACAGGTCTGCTCCTTTCACCTGAAGAAGGCCACTTATGTTGTGGCCGAAACGTCGCGAGGATTTTATTGTGTTATTTTATTTCATTAATTTATTATTTTATTCTCATTCTACGTGGTGGTGACTTTACCGAAAGAACCAAAGAAGATGAATCCTTGCAGTCACGAAAGCTTTAAATCGAAAGGATTCGGTCTGGCCATGTTTGTTTGTAGCGGCACAGAGTTGGCCTGATAAGTTTAATCTACATTGTCTTATGGTTGTTATTGTTTCACTTGCATCCCACTCGGATTATTTGCGCACGGCGTTGAAATGCGGTGTTTTTTTACTGGAAGACTTTTGCTGGGTTTTTTTCCCCCCCAGGATTTTTCTGTTGCGCGTGGTAGTCACTTTAAGATGTTTCTTTGTTCGTGTTTATGTCTTGTTGCGGCGTCTCAGAGCCGACCCACATTGGTTCCCAGACGGTCGGCGTCTCGACAACCTCCGAGACATCCGTGTGACACCTCCGCAATAGCCAAGCAACAATAACAACAATAACAACAATAACAAAAATAACAACAACAATAACAACAATAAGAACAATAACAAAAACAACAACAATAACAACAATAACAACAATAACAACAATAAAACAACAATAACAACAATAACAACAATAACAACAGAAACAACAAAAACAACAATAATGACAACAATAACAACAATAACAACAATGACAACAATAACAACAATAACAATAATAACAACAATAACAACAACAATAACAACAATAACAACAATAATAAAACAATAACAACAATAACAACAAAAACAACAACAATAACAACAATAACAACAACAACAATAACAACAACAATAACAAAACAATAACAACAATAACAACAACAAAAACAACAACAATAACAACAATAACAACAACAATAACAACAACAAAAATAACAACAATAAAAACAGAAACAACAACAATAACAAAAATAATAACAACAATAACAACAATAACAACAATAACAACAGAAACAACAAAAACAACAATAATGACAACAATAACAACAATAACAACAATAACAATAATAACAACAATAACAACAACAATAACAACAATAACAACAATAACAAAACAATAACAACAATAACAACAAAAACAACAACAATAACAACAATAACAACAACAATAACAACAACAATAACAAAACAATAACAACAATAACAACAAAAACAACAACAATAACAACAATAACAACAATAACAACAACAAAAATAACAACAATAAAAACAGAAACAACAACAATAACAAAAATAATAACAACAATAACAATAACAACAACAAAAATAACAACAACAAGAACAACAACAATAACAATAACAACAATAACAACAATAACAACAATAACAAAAACAATAACATCAACAACAATAAAAAATGACAACAATAACAACAATAACAAAAACAACAATAACAACAATAACAACAATAACAACAACAATAACAACAATAACAACAATAACAATAACAACAGCAATAACAATAACAACAATAACAACAATAACAGCAATAACAATAACAACAAGAACAACAACAATAACAACAATAACAACAACAATAACAACAATAACAATAACAGCAATAACAACAATAACAATAACAGCAATAACAACAATAACAAGAATAACAACAATGAAAACAATAACAATAATAACAATAATAATAATAACAACAAAAACAACAATAGTAACAACAACAATAACAACAATTATAACAACAATAACAACAATAACAACAATAACAATAACAACAATAACAACAATACCAATGAAAACAACAACACCAATAACAATAATAACAATAACAACAATAACAACAATAACAATAACAACAATAACAACAACAATAACAACAACAAGAACAACAACAATAACAACAATAACAACAATAACAACAACAAGAACAACAACAATAACAACAACAACAATAAGAACAACAATAACAACACCAATAACAACAATAACAACAACAAGAACAACAACAATATCAACAAGCCGGAGCCCACGACGGCCATCAAAGACACCGCGTATATCCTACACAATCAGGTACACACTCACCCAACATCTCGCTCTCCCACTCATTCACACATTCACACCCCCACTTAGACACACGGCGAAGACGAAGATCCCCCGTACAGCCTTGAACAGACTGTTGGGGCAAGTGCTGTTCGCGAGCACCTAGCGCCAATGTTTACACACTACACCAACTACTGATTTGAGGCTGAGTCGACCTAGAGGAGGAGGTTCAAACAATCGTCACTGGTGTTGGCCGTGAGCCGGAATCAAACTCGTGTCGCCGTGGTTCAAGGCGCAGCGTAGCGCTACCCGCTGCACTAACGCTCCTCAACAGACTAATGGGAATCACCACCACCACGGTCACCACCACCACCACCACATCTTGTTGCAACCCCCCCCACCCACAACGCAGAAGACCCCTGGGTTTGATCTCGCACGAAGCTCACGGTCCACACCCTAAACCAGGTCCCCAGGCACAAGCCATGGCAGCGCAGATGCGGATACCTGATGCACGAATGTAAAATTAAAAACTCTCCAGGAGCGTGCCACTGCGGTGATCCGGAGCAGGGACGCACTCCGCTACTGCTCCAGACGCGATTGTCTCCTGGCTCGGCCAACCTCAACGTGACGTTGAGGTCCCCGGCGAGTGGCGTTCCAACGTCGGGAGCCGGACGATGGCGAGAATAACAGAAGCAAATCCACCACCAACAACAACTCACCACTCACCACCCACCACCAACTCACCACTCACCACCCACCACCAACTCAACACTCACCACCCACCACCAACTCAACACTCACCACCACCAAAAACTGACCACTCACCACCAACTCACCACTCACCACCACCAACAACTCACCACCACCAACTCACCACCAACAACAACTCACCACTCACCACTCACCACAACCACCAACTCACCACAACTACCAACTCACCACCACCAACTCACCACCCACCACCACCAACTCACCACTCACCACAACCACCAACTCACCACTCACCACAACCACCAACTCACCACTCACCACCACCAACTCACCACCACCAACTCACCACCCACCACCAACTCAACACTCACCACTACCAAAAACTCACCACTAACTCACCACTCACCACCACCAACAACTCACCACCACCAACTCACCACCAACAACAACTCACCACTCACCACCACCAACTCACCACTCACCACCACTCACCACCACCAACTCACCACTCACCACCACAACCACCAACTCACCACAACCACCAACTCACCACTCACCACCACCAACTCACCACCCACCACCAACTCACCACTCACCACAACCACCACTCACCACAACCACCAACTCACCACTCACCACCACCAACTCACCACCCACCACCACCACCAACTCACCACTCACCACACACCACCACCACCAACTCACCACTCACCACCACCAACTCACCACCCACCACCACCAACTCACCACCCACCACCACCACCTCACCACCCACCACCCACCACCACCAACTCACCACCCACCACCAACTCACCACCCACCACCACCACCCACCACCATCACCAACTCACCACCCACCACCACCCACCACCACCACCAACTCACCAGACACCCCCAACTCACCACCCACCACCACCAACTCACCACCCACCACCAACTCACCACCACCAACTCACCACCCACCACCAACTCACCACCCACCACCACCAACTCAGCACCAACCAACAACTCACCACCCACCACCGCCACCAACTCACCACCAACCCACAACTCACCACCCACCACCACCACCACCAACTCACCACCCACCACCAACTCACCACCCACCACCACCAACTCAGCACCAACCAACAACTCACAACCCACCACCGCCACCAACTCACCACCAACCCACAACTCACCACCCACCACCAACTCACCACCACCACCAGCACCACCCACCACCACTACCACTCACCACCACCACCCACCACCACCAACTCACCACCGACCACCACCACCCACCACCACCACCACCAACTCACCACTCACCACCCACCACCAACTCACCACCCACCACCACTCACCACCACTCACCACCACCACCACCAACTCACCAACTGGGCTGCGCTGCCATTCTGTCCATGTACTCGATGGTGAAGTCTCTGGCTCCGGCGTCCTCCGGGTACAGGAAGCTGTAGAAGGCCATGGCTGCAAGGTTGTTGCCGTAGATCTCGTTCCAGACGGCGCCGAACTCGAGCGGATCCCAGGGCGGGAGGTGGTCGTCTCTCCGCTCCATCATGGTGAGCGCCGCCTCCCGCAGGCGGCTCGCGATGTGCGCGTGGCTCGACGCGCCCGCCGATGCGCGCAGCCCGGCCACGTCCCGCGCGCCGAAGAACAACGCCGGGTGGCGGTCGTCGGCGTAGCCCGCGTCCTGGAACTGGCCGAACTGCGCTGGGTTGCCGTCCTCGGCCGCCAGCGAGGCGGGGATACTCAGCAGCAGCAGCTGCAGCAGCAGCAGATGCATCGTTCTCATCATCGTCGGCATCACCATGATGATCATCATCAGCAGCAGCAGCGGCGGATCAGATGTCACGGATGATGACTACTCGCGACGTGCGGGAATGCACGGTGGCCTGTTGCGCGTTCGTGCGTGCCCGTCTGTCGGCGTATGCGCGCCTATTTCACGCTGAGCTTCTTTCGCACCGTACGTGCTAGTCGCCGCGTCTCGTTGAGACGTCTGCGCGCGCGTCCGTGTCGACCGCGTCTCGCCCGCCGTGCGTCCGTGTCGCTCCGTGTGTGTCTGCGTGTCGTACGCCTCGTTGCGTCTCGCCCTGTTTGTACGTCTGTGCGTGCGTCTTTATGTACGTCCGTCTCTTGCGTATCACTCGTTCCCCGTGTGTCTCTCAGCGCGTAGCCCCTGCGCGTAATCTCCCCGAGCATCTCTTATCTCTCCGTGTGTGTGTGTGTACCTCCCTCCCTCCCCTCCCCGTCTCTCAATTTCACAAAGCTCGACTCAACATTCCGACCTGGGGTTGTTCCCGCGCGTCAGCGTGCGTGCGCTCCTCCTCCTCGCCGTGAGGTTTTTTTCCAGCGTCGTTCCCCTGTTATTATTGTTATTCTTATATCTCGCTGGCCAGAAGGCCCACGTCACTCGCGTGTCACTCCTACGGCAGAGACTTACACGGCGAGGTAAAGCCACGCGGACAGCCGAGTGGATGACTACTCAGACTTTGGAGGACAGCGGGGGGTGGAGGGGGGCATGTGCCGGATTAAGCTCGTGCGGGGCCTGTAGCATATGTTCTAAAAATGCCCTAAAAAAACACACGTAGACATGAAAACACAAATGTTTAACGTTGCATGGTAAAGTGATTGTAGCTTTTTTTTTTATTTGCTACACGGCCAGATAATACGACGAATCGCTAACCTCAAACACCCGGTCGTTCATAGACGTTGAAGGCGGTATAGTGCTGTAGTACTAGAGCAAGTGCAGAATTACTAGACCAGAATAGATAGCTTGAAACCATTTAGCGCAGGGCCTTTAAAAGTGTGGGACCCGTAGCATTAGTAGATATTTTTGCTACTAGGATAATCCGGCACGGGGGGGGGGGGGTGAGTTCATAATGACCGCTGAGCCATGCAGCACCTGGGTTCGAATCCGGGTTCGTGGCTGTCCAACCGTAATTATAGCAGGGTTTAAACGCGTAGGCTTTCGCGACCAATATTAATAATACAGATTTGTGTTGGGATTAGATCGTGTCGTTAAACCCGCCACCACCCGACACAGACAATTAGTGAGGTTTGCCACGTAAACAAGACGCGGCAATTAGTTGGGATGTTTAAGTGGAGTGGGTCAATGATAATAATGATGATGGTGGTGATGGTTATAATGGTTTTGTGACGTGATGATTGTGGTGGTGGTGATAATGGTGATACATCATCGATATATAAGCCACGCAGAACCGCTCAGCAGCTTGATGATTCAAAGGCGGGTTTGTGGTTGCCCAATCGTCGGTTGTCGAAGTGGAATGAGTCAGTGGTCATGATGGTGATGGTAATGATGATTTTGTGATGGGATGATAGTGATGGTGGTAATGGTTGTGGTGATGATTGTGGTGGTGGTGATACACCACAGACTCACATAGAGACCCATAGACTCACACAGAGATCTATATACTCACACAAAGACCCATAGACTCACACAGAGACCCATAGACGCACATAGTCGTTGTTGTTTGTCATTGTGGACCACTGCCAACGCAGCAGCAATCACCAGATAACTATGAGCTCACTCAATTGGTATCAAAGGCAAAGACCCCCCGCATAGCCTTATACGGACTGTTGGGGCAAGTGCTGTTAGCGATCAGCGCTATTTCCTGCTTGCACGATTGGTTTCCCATCCGAGCGCTCCCCCAGGCTCCAAAACCTGCTTAGCTTGCGAGATGGGCTCCATTAGAATCCAGGCGAGGAACACACACACACACACACGGTATGGTTCACTTTTATTGGTAATCATCAGCCGTCCCCGTAGCTCGCTTCCCGCGCCAGTGTTTGCAGTTGCGCTGATGTGCGGCTTCGTTGGCATGTGTCCAATGTCCGACGTTTCACATCATGTGCTGCTAGGAGCCTCTTCGGTCCAGTTCCTGAAGGTCTCGCCGGACTTAACCAATCCGGCCAAGCACGATTTGGTGGCGAGGAAGCTTACCAAGCAGCACGAGGAGCGAAACGTCAGACATCGCGCCCGATGTCAACGTGTGGCACGAGCCGGAGACGCATCATCATCATCAGCATCATCATCATTATATCTCAAAATAATGAATGTAGCGCCTTAACCGAGGCGCTTTACACAGATTTAACAACGGTACATATGGATGGTAATGGAGGAGATGAGGTGAATGCAATAGGTGAGAGGAAGCAATGGGGAAATCTGTAATGTGTGAATTCGGTGAAAGCGAAATTCGATCAGATTCGATGATGATGAATGGATTTTAATGAATGGGATTAATGAGTGATGGCCATATCATGAGAATATGAAGAGGTGAAAAGTAACGGTGGTGGTCATGAGCGGGGGGATTAAGGGGGGTGGGGGAGGGGGCATGAGGTCAGCTAGTAAACAACAAGTGAGTTTTGAGTGCAGAGCGGAAACTCAGTGAGCCAAGGTGACTGTTGAATGTGGAGGTACAAGTTTGTCCCATCGTCACCATCGTCATCAGCATCATCAGCACCGTCGTCATCACCGTCGTCATCATTGCGCATCAATCACCCAACCACCTCCACGCAGCGCGACCGCTGCCGCCGCCGCCGCTCAGTTCACAACCTCGTACATCTCGAGCAGGAGGTCACGGTAGGACACCATGAAGTATCCGTCGACAGGAGACCTCCCCTTGGCGCCCGCGCCCAACTCCTTGCTCATGCGCACCTCGTACTGGGGCTTCTTCTCCTTGGTGCTCCCCGTGGCCTCCTTGGAGTACCTCGAGTTGAAGAGGTTCGTGGCCACACGGGCAAACTGCCTGGCGCCGAACACGTCGGCGGACGTCACCGCGTAGTCGTAGTCCTCGCGCCCGCCCGTCGCCGACTTCCAGGAGGCGAAGGTGACCCTCCAGCTGACCATGTCGATGGAGTCGTCCTCCGTTAGGTAGTGGGTGCGCACGTTGCGCAGGTGCCACCTGGCCGAGGCGGTGTCGTCCCATGCGCCGGACAGGTCCATGAAGAGGACGCCGAATTTTCCAACCACCTTTTGGCGTGGGGGAGGGGGAAAGTGACCGCGAGGATGGACAAGATGGACCGTGGCACGGACATCTTCGCCGACATGGTCGGCGTCACGATCGTCATCGTCGTTATCATCGTCGTCGTCGTCCGGGTTATCATCATCAGTATCGTTGTCGTTATTATTATTGTTTTCATCGTCGTCGTCAAGGCAATAATCATCGTTATCATCATCGCTATCGTCGTCGTTATCATCATCGTCGACGTTATCATCATCGTTATCACTGTCGTTATCATCATCATTATCATGATCGCTATCGTCGTCGTCGTCTTCGCTATCATCGTTGTCGTAATTCTAACCGTCTCTATCGTCATCGTACAGAGACATTTATAGAAGTGCACACACGGATACGAGACACGTGGATGGACACGAGTCTTCATCATCGTCATCATCGACATAATCTGCTTCTGGTACTACTGGCGGCGCTGTTACTGCTGGTCCTACTACTACTGCCGCTACTACTACTACTGTTGCTACTACTACTACTACTATTGCTACCACTACTACTGCTACTACTGTAGTAACATCAGGGATGTCACTGTATATGGTGCCGGCCGTGGCGTGCGATGTACTTACGTCGCGGACAGCACCGTGTGTGTTGCTGAGTGAGGCCGGCTCTAGCAGAACGCGGCGTGCGATGCCCGGTCATCGCGTACACCCCTAAGGCGGGTGTAGTACCAGCCCTAGCGGGGCTTGGCAAGCACTGGGATAGCGCGTGCACCACGCACAGCGTGCAGTGCGGGCTCCCACGAGGGGGAGCGGGAGAGTGTCAGCCCAGGTAAAGGGTTGCCCCGGGCCATGGCACTCCGGTTGACCCCGTAGACACGTGATCCGGAGTGTCCACAGAGAGGGCCCCATATGGGGGGGGAGGGGGGGCTAGGGGGTGATCACGTGTCCCGGGAGAGCTCTCGAGAGGGATCGAGAGGGAGCTGGAACGCTCGAGAATGTGGGCGGGGCCGAGGGCGGAGCCGGCCCCACCCGGGGGGATATAAGGTGGGTCCCTGAGAGGGACCGGGGTCGCTTCGTTCTACAAGCTGGAAGCTCCACGTCTACAAGCTGGAAGCTGGAAGCTTCACGTCTACAAGCTGGAAGCTCCACGTCTACAAGCTGGAAGCTGGAAGCTCTACGTCCTACAAGCTGGAAGCTCCACATCCTACAAGCTGGAAGCTCTACGTCCTACAAGCTGGAAGCTCCACGTCTACAAGCTGGAAGCTGGAAACTCTACGTCCTACGTCTAAAGAGGCACCAACACGTGGCCGGGGACCCGAGTGAGGGTCCGACCCATCGTAGCCGTAACTCATCTGTATAGTGTAGTTAGCTGGGTGGTCACCACCCTAGGCTGTATCTAGTAAAGGGCAGTTACCCCTTGGTATATACGTGTTGCGAATAAATGTGTTACCTCTGAAGAATAACGTCTGCGACTCAGTTGGACTCACTACACTACTATTGCTACCACTACTATTGCTACCACTACTATTGCTACCACTACTATTGCTACCACTACTATTGCTATTACTACTGCTGCTACTTGTACTGCTGCTACTACTACTAATATGGCTACTTACTGCTGGTGCGACTACTGCTGGTGGCGCTACTACTACTGCTGCTGCTCCAACTACCACTGATACTGCTGCTACTACTACCACTGCTACTACTATTGCTACCACTAGTACTGCTACCACTATTTCTACCATTACTGCTACTACTATCATTGCTACCACGACTACTGCTGGTGGTGCTACTACTACTGCCGCTGCTACTACTACCACTGCTACTGCTATTACTATTGCTACCACTAGTACTACTACCACTGCTACCACTGCCACCACTATTTCTACCATTACTGCTACTATTGCTACCACTAGTACTACTACCACTGCTACCACTATTTCTACCATTACTGCTACTTCTACTATTGCTACCACTGCTACCACTGCTACCACTATTTCTACCATTACTGCTACTACTATTATTGCTACCACGACAACTGCTGGTGGTGCTACTACTACTGCTGCTGCTTCCACTACTACTAGCTACTACTATTGTTACCGCTACCACTGCTGCTACTACTACTGCTTCCTACTGCGACTACCTACTACTGCTGCTGCTGGTAGCGGCGGTGGTAGTGGTGGCGGCAGTGGTGGTGACGGTGGTGATGGTGGTGGCGGTGGCGGTGCTGCGCTCACCTTGGCACGTGGCTCCGTGTCCATGGCGGTGATGACGAGCGCCGTGTCCTCGTCCACGCCGATGCCGCGTGCCGCTCCGTGCGGCTGGTCCCTCGTGTCCCACAGCAGGCGCGCCAGGCGGCCCTCCCGGCCCCTCTCACTGGACAGCAGCGCCAACAGCAGCAGCAGCAGCGGCAGCAGTAGTAGCAGTAATTAGCAACATCAGATGTAGCAGCAGCATCAGCAGTAGGAGTAACAAGAGTCGCATCAATAGCATAATCAGCATCAGCCCATACTTCACCAATGCTGTTGAGTGCAGCTCAGCCAACCGGTGATGTTCGCCGTGGCCAGGATTCGAACTCAGGTAGGCCGGGTTGGAGCAATGGCACCGCGGTTGATAATACCTCTCGCCCTCTCCCTTCTGCGCTATTTAAACACAACTAATTTATTAGTTGGGTCTTTCGGTAAAGTCACGTAGATAGGTACAAATTAATACAAATAATAAATATAAGCAACAAAAAACTACGACGCTTCGATCACAACACAAGCGATCGAAACGTCGTAGTTTTGGGTTTATTTTATATTTCTTATTTTTTATTAATTTGTACATATCTACGTGACTTTACCGAAAGACCCCCCAACGAATATGAATTCCTGCAGTCACGAAAGCTTTAAGTCAAGATTAAAACTAATTTATTTTACCAGGTAAGGCCCAACTGAGCTATGTAGTTATTTTTCAGAAGCGACCTGGCCACAAATGATCGCTCAACGAAAGTGGCTCATCATCTCGTGGAAATTTATCGCAGTCAAATACTCTGAACGACCGTTTAATTCTAAATGTGGAGGAAAAAACCAGAGGAACCGGAGAAAAATCCACGCTACCACGGGGAGAGTGAACAAGCTAGACTCCAAATACACAGCAGGCGTCAGGGTTGGGATCAAATCCACGCCCTCCTGTACACCTGGCGAGGTAGTTAACATCTCCTAGCCACGGTTCATGCTGTTTCAATATTCGTTGTCACACCTTTCACGAACGCACCCCGGACGTAAACTGGGGTAATAAAGGCACTGACTCATCTTCTTTGGTTCTTTCGGTAAAGTCACGTAGAATGAGAATAAAATAATAAAGAACCAAAAATAATAAAGAACCAAAGAAGATGAATCCTTGCAGGCACTGACTCAATTATCTTCTTCGTTGTCCTTCCCCCGCCCGTCCGATCAGCACGGTCGGCTATGTACGGTGCGAAAGAAGTCCAACGTACAGACGGTCCCCCAAGGTTGCAGAAGACCAGACTTGCGGAAATCCGACCGAATGAAAATGCTCCCATAAATCATGTAAAAAAATAATAATCAAGCGCAAATAGTGCAGCGCCGTAAGGTTGCGGATGAATATCCTCCCATATAGCGCTACGCCTCCCTCCACCGTCTTCACTGGGCACGAGCTTCACCAGGATTAAGGGAAACGGAATTTGTTGTCGCGTTACGTAATAATTTTCCTATCGTAGCATTATGTAATTTATAGTTTTCTATGCTTAGAACTATCCCCCCCCCTCCCCCATGTTTATTTCATGCGTCATTTACTGTGCGTATACTTATTCAACACGATGAAACTTCGATTGCTTTTGGTCTCAGCCAACAGCGATCGGAGAAGTCTATAAGCCTCGCGCGCTGTGAACGAACAAGCGGAAGTGACTGCTTCCCGTTAACAATTGATTTTACTAAAAAAAATGTTTTGTGGTATTCATAAACAATTGGATACAGGAAATGTTCCATCAGTTTGATTATGGGTAGTGTTAGGGCTAGATATTCGATCCAATGAAAGAATCATAGGAAGTGCAGAGCGTACGCAAGTACTGAGAGAAAATGAACCTAGTAATCGGGTATGGGGGGAGGGGCACGACTATTTACTGCTATGGGATTTTATCGTTGATTTTGGGGGGGGAAATTGTTCAGTTTCCCGACACACGGAAAATTCGGGTTACGGATCGTTCTCGGGAACCTAACCCTTCCGTAACCCGGGGACCGCCTGTACGGACATCGTGTCATTGTGGCCCTGCCCCCCCCCCCGCACATCCGATTAGCTACGTACGGTGCGAAAGAAGTTCAACGTACACACGTTGTACCACGGCTATTGGCCCCTGAGCGGCGCTTGGGCAAGGGCGCGTCACGGCCGGCACGGGTTGGTGGCCCGTGGGCAGTGAGACGATGGCACGGGCAGCGGTGGACGGATTGACCGGCGACGTTCACGGAGTGGCAGCCAGGGAACGCAATGGGTACGCGCCCGATATGCGGCCGTTCAGCCGGGGGCGAGAGACGGAGCGACGAAAGGAAGCTGGATTGCTTCGCGTGGATCGATCACGTGAGAAGGACGAGGGTTTGGTGGGGCGGGGGGGACAATGGGAGGCATTCATCCGGCAGTTGATCGATCATGACTGCTGATGATGATGATGATGGCGGTGACGCACTGCGTCATCACAGCCGTGACGGAATCACTCACTCGGCTCTGACGTCAGTGCCCTGGGTAAAGGCGCAGCCCTCCCCATGCAGTAACTCACTCACGCCACTGCCGAGGGACCTCCAGACAGCCCTTCCCCTCCTCCCCCGCCACGATAACTGTACGTGGCCTACTCTTCCACGCTGCGCTCGACGTCTGAGGTACGAGGTGGGGAAGTCGCCCACACTCTGAACCCGACCCGACCTGCCCTATGGACGCGCTGCCCGCCCACGGGGGCTGAGCCGATTTGCGAGGCACCGCGAGTGACCCTCTGACTGGGCGCTCGGAACGGCGATGGCCACGACTCGAAAAACCAGCCCAGGGCTCGCGCCGGGGATGCCTCGGCCGGGTGCGGCCCGGCAAAGCATGCGGGCTGTCCAGACGCGCGCGTGGTCATGTAATCGCTGCATGACCTTTGGCTGAGTGCTCGCCCCAAAAAGATACTAAACCGTTTCCTTTATTTTTACCAGGTAAAAAGCCCACTAGAGCTATATAGGTCTTTTTTTTCAGAAGCGAACCCGGGCCACGAACGATAGCTCAACGAGGTGGGTCATCGTCGTCGTCGTTTTCGTCATGCAGAAATGTACGGCAGCTACCAAAGCCTGTAAACGCTCGACGTTGTTTCTAAATATGGAGGGGAAAACCGGAGGACCCGGAGAGAAAAAAAATAATCCTTGACAGATCCTCGGTGCGAGTGCTGCCTTTGTCTGGCCATCGAACAATGACCGTCACCGCATTGCGCAACGCTTTCAAACGCTGCGTCTGCGGCCGTCTGGAACGCTCTTGCCATCCGATATCAGGAAGCCACTGCAGCTATGGACTTTTAAATGTGGACAACATTTATATTTTCTTTGGAACACATTTTGTTGTGTTTAGTGTGTTGTCCTCCCCCCTTAACCTCCGATGAACACGGTTGGTTACATACGGTACGAAAGAAGTTCACCAAACTGAAAGACAAAGATCGCCCCGTATAGCCTGAACAGGCTGTTGGGGCAAGTGCTGTTAGCGAACACCTATGAACGGCCCACAAGGTGGTTGTCCAGCACCACGCCCTAACGCCTTTGTCTCCCCAGTGGCAATGTTTACACACTACAGCAGGTACTCATTTTGAGGCTGAGTCGACCTAGGTGCGGCCCAGCACCACTACAAACATTCGCCAACGTTGCAATGTTATTGATCGTGAGCAGGAATGAAACTCGGGTGGGCGGGTTCGTGGCGCAGTGCGCTAACCACTGCGCCACCGTTCTGCACACAGGAGGAGGAGGAACAGGAATGTGGTTGAGGCACAATGGGCCCGTGACGTCGGTGGAAGCACAGAAATCGTCGCTGCACCCAGCACGCCTCGTCTCCACTCCCCAGGAACGTCACGGAAACACAGCTCACTCAATTCCGATTCGCACTGTTGTCTCCGCGCGTCGCGAAAGAAGTCCAACATACCTACACACGCACAGAGACGCACAGACACCCAGACCCATAGGGACCCATAGAGACACCCGTAAAGGCACCCGTAGAGACCTGGAGACCGACAGATCAGCACGGTTGGCTCCGTACCATGCCAAACAAGTCCAACGTACATACACGCACAGAGACGCTCAGACACCCAGACCCATAGAGACCCATAGAGACACCCGCAAAGGCACCCGTAGAGACCTAGAGACCGACAGATCAGCACGGTTGGCTCCGTACCATGCCAAACAAGTTCAACATACCTACACACGCAGAGACCCACAGACACCCAGACCCATAGAGACCCATAGAGACACCCGTAAAGGCACCCGTAGAGACCTAGAGACCGACACATCAGCACGTTTGGCTCCGTACCATGCCAAACAAGTTCAACATACCTACACACGCAGAGACCCACAGACCCATTGAGACCTACAGAGACACCGATAGAGACACCCATAGAGAGCTACAGCGACCATACGACTACGTCTGACAACGCGCGCGGCCTTAACGGGGACACCCCTGTTTGTTTATATTTATTTATCTATCGATCTATTACACTTGTTTAACCAGCAATGCCTCGCTGAGTCTCAAGATCCTTTGTCAAGGAGGTTTTTTTCAGGTTCTTGCATTAGGAGGGCGACTTCACTGCTGCTGCTGCTGCTGCTGCTCCTGCGAGTGTGCGATCGCAACGCGAGGGGAGCGGTGGCACAGCAGTTGGCACATTGCGCTACGAACCTGGCGACCCGAGTTCGATTCCCGCTCACGGCCACCAATACCAGAGACAAAGGCGGCCGGGCGTGGTGCTGGCCACCCACCGCCTCGTATGCCACAGTGCTGGCTTTCATGTGTGCTGCTCGCTAAGGGCACTTGCCCCAACATTCTGTTAAGGCGATAGCGGGGGACCCTTGTCTTTTTCCCGATACGGTGATTTAGAGGGCATTTTTCAGCATCGTTGGGATGTGGCTTTGCCCAGTGCCGGGTACAATGCGTGGTTGTGTTCAACGACGTGAGGAGAACGCGGAGGAAACCCATGCAGAGCACCTGCCAGGGGCGAACAAACTCCACACAGGCGCCAGAGTCGGGATTCGAACCTGGGCAGAGTGGGGTATTTGTGTACTGTGTGTGTATGTATGTGTGCTCGCATACAGAAACCCATAAATAAATAAATAAACCCCCCATTTAGCCTACGCAGACAGTGAGGGCAAGTTCCGTAAGTTGACGACTATGAGTGCCGACACGGCACACGAAGGGTGATGTGGTTGGTTGTTTACACATCGTTCCAGGAACTGATTTAAGTCCGAGTCTACCTAGTGGCGAAAGGCCCGGCATTCCTGTCTACTCAGCAGGTGGGGAAAAGTGTAGGTAACTCTCATCTCTTCCAAAAAATAAGTCGAGGTCGGCACAAAAAAATAGCCCAAATACCCCTCTGTCAACTAAAACTAAACTATTTATTTTTATTGTACCAGGTTAAGATCCAGTGTAGAAGCGACCTGGTTATCGGGAATGATAGCTCAACGAAGCGGTTTATCATAATGTGGACGTTTTAATCAGCCGAACACTCTAAGCGCGTGACGTTAATTCTAAAATGTGGAGGGGAAAACCGGTCCGACCTGGAGTAAAATCCACGCGCCCACGGGGAGAGTGAACACGCAAACTTCAATTCTAGATGTAAAGCTTTCGTGACTGCAAGGATCCATACTCTTTGGTTCTATTGGGTAAAGTCACGTAGGTAAAAAATAAAATAACAAAAATCACGACGTTTCGGCCACAACACAAACGGCCTTCATCAGGTGAAGGGACGAGACTGTCTGGAGGACAGCGCTGGAGTGAAAAAAGCCACGCTCAGATCACGACCTTTAAGCTTAAAGGCCACGCTCAGATCACGACCTTTTAGATTAAAGGTCGTGATCTGAGCGTGGCTTTTTTCACTCCAGCGCTGTCCTCCAGACAGTCCCGTCCCTTCACGTGATGAAGGCCGCTTGTGTTGTGGCCGAAACGTCGTAATTTTTGTTATTTTATTTTTTACCTACGTGACTTTACCCAATAGAACCAAAGAGTACGCAAACTTCAGCCTGGATCGCACCCACGTGGTGCCTCCAGGCTCCTGCCAGCAGGGGGCGGGAGTGAGCAATTGCAGGACTGCACCACGACCACCCACCAGCCCCTCCCACCCCAGGTGACAAAACGAATTCGCTTCCCCTCCTTAAATACCAGTAGCACAACAAAAATACGAATATCAGCGGAACATTCTATTTCCATTTTTTTACGCGGCTATACGTTTAGATCTTAGGGTAGTTTACCTAACTTCATTTTTTAAATTTCGATTTGAAGCTTTCGTGACTGCAAGGATTCATCTTCTTTGGTTCTTTCGGTAAAGTCACCACCACGTAGAATGAGAATAAAATAATAAAATAACACAATAAAATTCTCACGACGTTTCGGCCACAGGTCTGTACCTTTCACCTGAAGACGGCCGCTTGCGTTGTGGCCGAAACGTCGTGAGAATTTTATCGTGTTATTTTATTATTTTATTCTCATTCTACGTTCATTTTTTTATTTAACATCACGAGAAATTGCGTTAATTAACGTCTGAAACAACCGTCGACATTTGTGGATCAGCCTGCGTTTGCAGCACGGGACCCCTGGGCCAACTGGAGGGCCGTCGCGGACCGCCGGTGGCACCGGGGATCGCGCTCCGAGCACCATCGGCATAGGACAGCGAGGTCAGAGAGGAGGAATTGACTCCACCACGGCCTTAGTGACCAATAATGACACGTGGTCTGGGCGTCATCATCACCATCATCACCATTATCAGAATCACCATCATCACCACCATCATCACCGTCATCACCATCACCACCACAATCATCGCCACCATCATCATCACCATCACCGCCATCACCACCATCATTATAACCACCATCATAACCATCATCACCATTATAACCGCCATCATCACCACCATCCATCACCGCCATCATCATTATAACCACCATCGTCACCACCATCATCACCATCACCGCCATCATCACCATCATCATCATCATAACCACCATCATCATCATTATAACCACCATCATCACCATCACCGCCATCATCACCATCATCACGATCAGGCTTCCCCAAGCTGGACGGTTTCATACCCCCGCCATAGGAACGTGGAATTTCCACCACTGTCTCCATGTAGGGCTGTGTTATCAGGAAATGAGATGAGCTCCGATGGCTCAATATCTCGCGTGAGCAGGAAATCCGGTCGACTCATTCAAAAATTTCCCATGATTAATCAGGGCGGCCGCTGTGGCTCGAACCACGAACCTGTACAACGAGCGCCATCGGCGGCCTAGTTGTGTCACCGGATCCACTCACACAACGGTTATGAAGAGGAAGCCCCGGCAATCGTCGCTCTGTGCTTCCTTCCCAATGGGGGTGGTTGGGTGGGTGGATGGCTGGGTGAGTGGTTGGCTGGGGTGGCTGGCTGGCTAACTGGGTGGCTAGATGACTGGGTGGGTGGCTGGCTGGCTGGGTGGCTGGGTGGGTGGATGGCTGGCTGGGTGAGTGGCTGAATGGGTGACTGGGTGGATGGGTGGGTGACTGACTGGCTGGCTGGCTGGGTAGCTGGGTGAGTGGCTGGCTGACTGGGTGACTGGGTGGATGGGTGGGTGACTGACTAGCTGGCTGGCTGGGTAGCTGGGTGGCTGGCTGGGTGGCTGGGTGGCTGGGTGGCTGGGTGGGTGGATGGGTGGGTGACTGGCTGGCTGGGTGACTGGATGGCTGGGTGACTGGATGGCTGGGTGGATGGGTGGCTGGCTGGGTGGGTGGCTGAATGGGTGACTGGGTGGATGGGTGGGTGACTGACTGGCTGGCTGGCTGGGTAGCTGGGTGAGTGGCTGGCTGACTGGATGGCTGGGTGGATGCGTCGCTGGATAGGTGGCTAGCTGGCTGGGTAAGTGGATGGCTGGTTGGCTGGGTTGCTGGCTGGCTGGGCGGCTGGCTGGGTGGGTGGCTGGGCGGCTGGCTGGGTGGGTGACTGTCTGGCTGGATGGGTGGTTGGGTGGCTGGCTGCGTGGGTGGCTGCCTATGTGACTGGGAGTGCGTGTCTTCACCTGAAGTGCGAGTCGACGACCACCCCGTGGATGGTGCCCAGGCCGCCCTTGGGGTCGTAGACGAGCTTGTCGGCGTTGCTCTGCGCCGACGAGTAGGAGCCGTACACGACGGCCTCGTAGCTGCGTCCGCCTGCGCGCTCCACACAAACACGGGTGGGAGCGACGCACACAGAGGGACAGGCAGACGAGTCAGACGGGAGACAGATCGCTAGGGTGCCGACAGAGAGAGAGAGGAATGGAGATCGAGAGACAATACCGATGGACGGATGAGTAAGATGGGAGACAGACGGGTAGGGAGGTAGACAGAGAAAAGACAGGTGGACAAACGAGTGAGACGGGAGACAAATGGTTGGCAGACAGATGAGAAAAAAATGTTGGAGACAGCCGGAAGACAGCCTGGTAGGGCGAGAGACAGACATATGGTTAGGGAGATGGTTCGGGAGTTAGGTAGGTAAGTGGGTAGGTGAGGAGACAGGTAAGGGGATACACAAGTTGGGAGGCGAACAGGGGGGAAGAGAGACAGAGAAGTAGGGTAGTCAGGTAAGTAGGTGGATAAATAGCGACGTGGGAGGGTAAGTAGACATATGGACAGGTAGGTCGGGGGAGAGACGGTTAGGTAGGCTGGTAGGTAGGGAGATGATTATACAGGAAGGTATAACGTACTTATTGACAGACACACGCAGACATAATAAATTATATGTATGTATTGACAGGGTGACACCTGCTGGCCTGTAAGGGTAATTAGAGCTATAGTGGCATACAATGCCTTGTCATAAAGGGGCGTATCTGGGGTAAGGGTCAAGGGCGGTGTCAGTCGAGAGGCTCCGGGAGCCATCCCGAAGGGTCTGGTAGGTTCTAGAAAGGGGGCGTGGCCAGAGGTGGAGCTTGGCCATGCCGAGCGAGATGTAAGGCGCACCGAACCGTTGGTTCGGTGCTGCTAGCGTGGGGTCTGGGTCCTCGTTGCGTGGCTGCTCGCTGTCATCTTCGTCTTCGACCACGTGACTCTTCTTCCCACCAAGACCCGCTCCGTCTTCGCCGCTACACTCGTCGACCAACCAGCGTAGCGAAGGAGGAAGAGCAGCCTTGTATGTAGCCGCGTTATGATAGTGCATCGCCCTGTGTGCTTCCTGAGGACGGCTGCTTGCCTTGTGGCCGAAACGTCGTGAGAATTTTATTTTATTATGTTTTATTTTTATCATTTTATTATTTCCCTTCTACGTGACTGTACCGAAAGAACCAAGATTAAGAAGCCTTCTGCTAAGACGTGTGTCAGGAGTCGCTCACTACACATGCACAGACAATCACACGCAAAACACAGATTGCTGGGGTAAGTGCTGTTAGCGGGCACCTATTAAGGCCGGCGTGGCACACGAGAGCATGGTGTGGCCAGCACCACGCCCGACCGTCTTTGTCTCCCCAATGCCGATTTTTGGACACCGCACCAGGTACCCTTAAGGGCCGAGTCGACAGAGTGAAGGCCGAAGACCTGTACTGATGTCACTCGCTACTGATGTTGGCCTTCACCACGGCCCCTGTGCCACGCTAGGAGCACTTCAAGGCCACGTGAGGTGTCGAAGGTTCGCTGGCAGGAGGTCACGGGACAGACCCAGCAGGTGCCACGTGTTGGCTGACTGAGATGACTGGCAAATTTACCAGCTGTACCCCCGACTGTGCCAACTTGATGCGTTTTAGCCGCCCTGTGCTCCACTCGTTGTTGTGAGCGTCGCTCCTCTGCCCTCCAACTGCCCAGTAGCGTCTTTCACGAGCCTCCTCTATGGAGGCCGATCTTGACACTGCTGGTACCGGTCTCCGGCAAGTCCGCCCAGCTCCACATCCTCCCGCGTACTGCATCAGCGCCATCTCTTCTCCAGCCAGTATCGTGCCCATGTCGTGCCCGTGTAGCACCCTCTACCCGGCCAAACAGAAGCCACTTGGTCTATGGGTAACGGTGTGAGCGAGTCTATGGGTATCAGCCTTCTTCATCTTTCAAATACGGCTGCTGACGTAGATACAGAGACAACAACTACAATGTCACATTCAGGTGGTCAAAGACAGACAATCGCATCAGGAGCAATGTATTGCTGCGATGATATCTCATTCGGATTTTTCCGCATCGGGGCATTGCATCGTTATACATTGAGTAGTCTGTTCTGGATGACCACAGTCGCGCCACTACTACTGGAGGCATTTTTAATTTTCCATTTGTGCATCACGTATCATCCGCATTTGCCATCGTTTGTGCAGTGGATGCGGTTTTTCGGTGGACCGTGAGCTTCGTTGAAGATCAAACCCAGGGATCTTCTGCATTGGGTCTTTCAAAATAAAACTGATGTTTGTGACTTCTTTTGTCTCTGTGTGTCTCTGTCTAGCTGTGTGTGTGTCTCTCTGTCTGTGTGTGTGTCTCTGTGTGTCTCTGTCTAGCTGTGTGTCTGTGTGTCTAGCTGTGTCTCTGTGTGTGTCTCTGTGTGTCTCTGTGTGTGTCTATGTGTCTCGCTGTGTCTCTGTGTGTGTCTCTGTGTGTGTCTCTGTGTGTGTCTCTGTGTCTAGCTGTGTGTCTCTGTGTGTGTCTCTGTGTGTGTCTCAGCTCTCTCCAAGGTTCATCGGAGGGGGGTGGAGGGGGGGTTGACGTCTCACATTCGTGGATCGGGGCCATCGCGTGCGTTTGTCCGATCCACAAAAAAACATCGAGGGACTCGCTCCCACGCGCGGTGCCAAGCGCGGCACATCCTGCAGAGCATAGATTAACGTACGGTCTGCTCTCCTACAACGTGCTAGTCGTTGTGGACCTGAAGGGCACCGCGTTATGGGAAAAGAAATCGCGTTAAAGTAAATAATACAGGATGTAGGGCTAAAGCGTAGTCCGCGATAATGGGTGAGATGCGTGACGCAGGCCGAACAAAGACTGAGGGCGCGTGGGTAGCATCTAGAAGCATCCAGCCGCATCGCGCCTCGCGCGATGCCGAGGCAGCCGCAGTACGACCGCCTGTTCCATTCACTCGACCACGTCGTACCCAGTTCGCATCCGCGTCGCGGAAAGATAAAAAGATGCACTGCCTAAATATGTCCGTCGTGTCGTTTCCAATTCACGTTATGCAAGCAGCTGCAGCAGCAGCAGCACACTTTGTCAGGGGACAGACGGCACGTGAGCCTCACGTCGACAGTGGTCCTCGAGACCAGTGGTGCTTAACCTTTACTGCAGACTTGCACCCCTTTGGTTCTGAATCGTAAACAAAAGTAGAATGTTAATAACTGCATAGGTTTGATGAAACAAAAGAGTTGTACTTACGTGCCCGTAATTAATTTGTCTTACGATAATTTACCTTCTAGATCTGTTGATCGCGACGTGGACGATGTCCCTCTAGGATGTACCGTTGATCTCGACGACGACGATGTCCCTCTAGGACGTACCGTTGATCATGACGTGGACAATGTCCTTCTAGGACGTACCGTTGATGGTGACGTGGACGATGTCCCTCTAGGACATACCGTTGATCATGACGTGGACAATGTCCTTCTAGGACGTACCGTTGATGGTGAGGTGGACGATGTCCCTCTAGGACATACCGCTGATGGTGACGTGGACGACGATGTCCCTCTAGGACGTACCGTTGATCATGACGTTGACGACGATGTCCTTCTAGGACGTACCGTTGATCATGACGTGGACGATGTCCCTCTAGGACGTACCGTTGATCATGACGTGGACGACGATGTCCCTCTAGGACGTACCGTTGATCATGACGTGGACGACGATGTCCCTCTAGGACGTACCGTTGATCATGACGTGGACGATGTCTCTCTAGGACGTACCGTTGATCATGACGTGGACGACAATGTCCCTCTAGGACGTACCGTTGATGGTGGCGACGACGATGTCCCTCTAGGACGTGCCGTTGATGGTGACGTGGACGACGATGTCTCTCTAGGTAGGACGTACCGTTGATGGTGACGTGGATGACGATGTCCCTCTAGGACGTACCGTTGATGGTGACGTGGATGACGATGTCCCTCTAGGACGTACCGTTGATCTCGACGATGACGACGATGTCCCTCTAGGAGGTACCATTGATGGCGACGTGGATGATGTCCCTCTAGGACGTACCGTTGATGGTGACGTGGACGACGATGTCCCTCTACGACGTACCGTTGATCATGACGTGGACGATGTCCCTCTAGGACGTACCGTTGATCATGACGGCAGAGCCCTGGCAGGCGGTCCCCGCGCTGGAGCCGGCCACCACGGCCCCGGCATCGTGGGCCGCCTTGATGGCGCGCAGGGCCGAGGACTCAACCCGCACGCCTCCCTGGTTGTGGAAGAAACTGCAGGGAGGGGGGGGGTTGGGGGGGGGAGGGTGGATTGAGAGGGAGGGGCGAAGATGCAGGGAGGGAGGGAGAGGGTCCCCAATGCGTGGTGGCTTGTGATCCCCCACTCCCTCTTCTCCTCGCCTCGTCCAAACCCCCGCAAGGAATGCCGACGTGCAATGCCGTGCAGGGTTCCGTGTCCGTGCGCGGTAGTCTCATTATTGTCACTACGAGCAAGGCTCACGCCCTTTAGACGCCGCCGTCCAGGCCAGGCAGGCCGCCAGATAGCCAGGCAAGCAAAACTCCCCCCCCCCCCACCCCCTATTTTCTAATATAGTTCGATTAATCCGCAAAACTTGCTGAGTACAAGTCCAAAAGACCGCCTCTCCCCCCCACCCCCCCCCCCCCCCCGCCACAAATATTTTTTCAACCAAACGGCCAGCAACAAACAGCATGTCTTATCAAATAGGTGTGATGCTGCCATGGTTGAGAGATGTTAACTACCTCGCCTGGTATACAGAAAGTTCTGGTTTCGATCCCGACCCTGACGCCTGCCGTATATTTGGAGTTTGCGCGTGGATTTTCCCCGTGGGCCCGCGTGGATTTTCCCCCGGTTTTTCCGTCCGCATTTAGAATCAACATCACGTGCTTTGAGTGTTTGGCTGCTCCTATAAATGTCCACGTGACTGTGAGCCACTTCGCTGGGCTATAATTTGTGATTGCCACAGGTCGCTTCTGCAAAAGAGCTGCATAGCCCAGTGGGGCCTTACCTGGCAAAACATATATTTTTTTATATATATTATATATTTTTTAACAGTTTAGTCTTAGTGAAGGAAGAACGATCGAGTGAGCAGCTCACGCTTCGATGACGCGCGCCTGGTCTCCGCCGCCGAAGAAGAATCCGCCGAGGCCCTGGATGAGGGCCACGACGGCGGGGTCCTCGTTGTTGTGGAGCTGGCCCAGGTCGATGGGGATCACGACGGCCTCCCGGGCCCCATAGACGCGCACGAACAGGTCCGTGTAGAACGACGCGCTGTCCGCGGGGTCGCCTGACGCCGCCACGACTATGCCGATGCGAGCGACGCCAACTCCGCCCTGCGCCGGTGGGTTGAGAGGGTGAGTTGGTGGGTGAGTGAGTGGGTGGGTGAGTGGGTGGGTGAGTGGGTGAGATGATCATTGGGTGGGTAAGGGGGTGTGTGAGCGGGTGGGTTGAGAGGGTGAGTTGGTGGGTGGGTGGGTGGGTGGGTGGGCGGGTGGGTGAGTGGGTGGGTGAGATGATCATTGGGTGAGTTAGGGGGTGGGTGAGTGGGTGGGTTGAGCGGGTGAGTTGGTGGGTGAGTGGGTGGGTGGGTGGGTGGGTGAGTGGGTGGGTGGGTGAGTGGGTGAGATGATCATTGGGTGGGTTAGGGGGTAGGTGAGTGGGTGGGTTGAGAGGGTGAGTTGGTGGGTGAGTGGGTGGGTGAGTGGGTGAGATGATCATTGGGTGGGTTAGGGGGTAGGTGAGTGGGTGGGTTGAGAGGGTGAGTTGGTGGGTGAGTGGGTGAGTGGGTGAGTGGGTGAGATGATCATTGGGTGGGTTAGGGGGTGGGTGAGCGGGTGGGTTGAGAGGGTGAGTTGGTGGGTGGGTGGGTGGGCGGGTGGGTGAGTGGGTGGGTGAGATGATCATTGGGTGAGTTAGGGGGTGGGTGAGTGGGTGGGTTGAGCGGGTGAGTTGGTGGGTGAGTGGGTGGGTGGGTGGGTGAGTGGGTGGGTGGGTGAGTGGGTGAGATGATCATTGGGTGGGTTAGGGGGTAGGTGAGTGGGTGGGTTGAGAGGGTGAGTTGGTGGGTGAGTGGGTGGGTGAGTGGGTGAGATGATCATTGGGTGGGTTAGGGGGTGGGTGAGTGGGTGGGTTGAGAGGGTGAGTTGGTGGGTGAGTGGGTGGGTGGGTGAGTGGGTGAGATGATCATTGGGTGGGTTAGGGGGTGGGTGAGGGGGTGGGTTGAGAGGGTGAGTTGGTGGGTGGGTGGGTGGGTGGGCGGGTGGGTGAGTGGGTGGGTGAGATGATCATTGGGTGAGTTAGGGGGTGGGTGAGTGGGTGGGTTGAGCGGGTGAGTTGGTGGGTGAGTGGGTGGGTGGGTGGGTGAGTGGGTGAGATGATCATTGGGTGGGTTAGGGGGTAGGTGAGTGGGTGGGTTGAGAGGGTGAGTTGGTGGGTGAGTGGGTGGGTGAGTGGGTGAGATGATCATTGGGTGGGTTAGGGGGTGGATGAGTGGGTGGGTTGAGAGGGTGAGTTGGTGGGTGAGTGGGTGAGTGGGTGAGTGGGTAAGTGGGTGAGATGATCATTGGGTGGGTTAGGGGGTGGGTGAGCGGGTGGGTTGAGAGGGTGAGTTGGTGGATGGGTGGGTGGGTGGGCGGGTGGGTGAGTGGGTGGGTGAGATGATCATTGGGTGAGTTAGGGGGTGGGTGAGTGGGTGGGTTGAGCGGGTGAGTTGGTGGGTGAGTGGGTGGGTGGGTGAGTGGGTGGGTGGGTGAGTGGGTGAGATGATCATTGGGTGGGTTAGGGGGTAGGTGAGTGGGTGGGTTGAGAGGGTGAGTTGGTGGGTGAGTGGGTGGGTGAGTGGGTGAGATGATCATTGGGTGGGTTAGGGGGTGGGTGAGTGGGTGGGTTGAGAGGGTGAGTTGGTGGGTGAGTGGGTGGGTGAGTGGGTGGGTGGGTGAGTGCGTGAGATGATCATTGGGTGGGTAAGGGGGTGTGTGAGCGGGTGGGTTGAGAGGGTGAGTTGGTGGGTGAGTGGGTGGGTGGGTGGGCGAGTGGGTGGGTGAGTGGGTGAGATGATCATTGGGTGGGTTAGGGGGTGGGTGAGCGGGTGGGTTGAGAGGGTGAGTTGGTGAGTGAGTGGGTGGGTGGGTGAGTGAGTGGGTGGGTGAGTGGGTGAGATGATCATTGGGTGGGTTAGGGGGTGGGTGAGCGGGTGGGTTGAGAGTGTGAGTTGGTGGGTAAGTGGGTGGGTGAGTGGGTGGGTGAGTGGGTGGGTGAATGGGTGGGTTGAGAGGGTGAGTTGGTGGGTGAGTGGGTGGGTGAGTGGGTGGGTGAGTGGGTGAGATGATCATTGGGTGGGTTAGGGGGTGGGTGAGTGGGTGGGTTGAGAGGGTGAGTTGGTGGGTGAGTGGGTGGGTGGGTGAGTGGGTGGGTGAGTGGGTGAGATGATCATTGGGTGGGTGAGGCAGTGTGTGAGCGGGTGGGTTGAGAGTGTGAGTTGGTGAGTGGGTGGGTGGGCGAGTGGGTGGGTGGGTGGGTGAGATAATCATTGGGTGGGTTAGGGCGTGGGTGAGCGGGTGGGTTGAGAGGGTGAGTTGCTGGGTGAGTGGGTGGGTGGGTGGGTGAGTGGGTGAGATGATCATTGGGTGGGTTAGGCGGTGTGTGAGCGGGTGGGTTGAGAGGGTGAGTTGCTGGGTGAGTGGGTGGGTGGGTGAGTGGGTGGGTGGGTGAGTGGGTGAGATGATCATTGGGTGGGTTAGGGGGTGGGTGAGCGGGTGGGTTGAGAGGGTGAGTTGGTGGGTGGGTGGGTGGGTGGGCGGGTGGGTGAGTGGGTGGGTGAGATGATCATTGGGTGAGTTAGGGGGTGGGTGAGTGGGTGGGTTGAGAGGGTGAGTTGCTGGGTGAGTGGGTGGGTGGGTGGGTGAGTGGGTGGGTGGGTGAGTGGGTGAGATGATCATTGGGTGGGTTAGGGGGTAGGTGAGTGGGTGGGTTGAGAGGGTGAGTTGGTTTGGTGAGTGGGTGGGTGGGTGGGTGTGTGGGCGAGTGGGTGGGTGAGTGGGTGAGATGATCATTGGGTGGATTAGGGGGTGGGTGAGTGGGTGGGTTGAGAGGGTGAGTTGGTGGGTGAGTGGGTGGGTGAGTGGGTGGGTGAGTGCGTGAGATGATCATTGGGTGGGTAAGGGGGTGTGTGAGCGGGTGGGTTGAGAGGGTGAGTTGGTGGGTGAGTGTGTGGGTGGGTGGGCGAGTGGGTGGGTGAGTGGGTGAGATGATCATTGGGTGGGTTAGGGGGTGGGTGAGCGGGTGGGTTGAGAGGGTGAGTTGGTGGGTGAGTGGGTGGGTGGGTGAGTGAGTGGGTGGGTGAGTGGGTGAGATGATCATTGGGTGGGTTAGGGGGTGGGTGAGCGGGTGGGTTGAGAGTGTGAGTTGGTGGGTAAGTGGGTGGGTGAGTGGGTGGGTGAGTGGGTGGGTGAGTGGGTGGGTTGAGAGGGTGAGTTGGTGGGTGAGTGGGTGGGTGAGTGGGTGGGTGAGTGGGTGAGATGATCATTGGGTGGGTTAGGGGGTGGGTGAGTGGGTGGGTTGAGAGGGTGAGTTGGTGGGTGAGTGGGTGGGTGGGTGGGTGAGTGGGTGAGATGATCATTGGGTGGGTGAGGCAGTGTGTGAGCGGGTGGGTTGAGAGTGTGAGTTGGTGAGTGGGTGGGTGGGCGAGTGGGTGGGTGAGATAATCATTGGGTGGGTTAGGGCGTGGGTGAGCGGGTGGGTTGAGAGGGTGAGTTGGTGGGTGAGTGGGTGGGTGGGTGAGTGGGTGAGATGATCATTGGGTGGGTTAGGCGGTGTGTGAGCGGGTGGGTTGAGAGGGTGAGTTGCTGGGTGAGTGGGTGGGTGGGTGAGTGGGTGGGTGGGTGAGTGGGTGAGATGATCATTGGGTGGGTTAGGGGGTGGGTGAGTGGGTGAGTGAGAGGTTGAGTGCGTGAGTGAGTGGGTGGGTTGAGAGGGTGAGTTGGTGGGTAAGTGGGTGGGTGTGTGGGTGAGTGAGTGAGATGATCATTGGGTGGGTTAGGGGGTAGGTGAGTGGGTGGGTTGAGAGGGTGAGTTGGTGGGTGAGTGGGTGGGTGAGTGGGTGAGATGATCATTGGGTGGGTTAGGGGGTGGGTGAGTGGGTGGGTTGAGAGGGTGAGTTGGTGGGTGAGTGGGTGGGTGTGTGGGTGGGTGAGTGCGTGAGATGATCATTGGGTGGGTAAGGGGGTGTGTGAGCGGGTGGGTTGAGAGGGTGAGTTGGTGGGTGAGTGGGTGGGTGGGTGGGCGAGTGGGTGGGTGAGTGGGTGAGATGATCATTGGGTGGGTTAGGGGGTGGGTGAGCGGGTGGGTTGAGAGGGTGAGTTGGTGGGTGAGTGGGTGGGTGGGTGAGTGAGTGGGTGGGTGAGTGGGTGAGATGATCATTGGGTGAGTTAGGGGGTGGGTGAGTGGGTGGGTTGAGAGGGTGAGTTGGTGGGTGAGTGAGTGGGTGGGCGAGTGAGTGGGTGAGTGGGTGAGATGATCATTGGGTGGGTTAGGGTGTGGGTGAGTGGGTGGGTTGAGAGTGTGAGTTGGTGAGTGGGTGGGTGGGCGAGTGGGTGGGTGGGTGGGTGAGATAATCATTGGGTGGGTTAGGGCGTGGGTGAGCGGGTGGGTTGAGAGGGTGAGTTGGTGGGTGAGTGGGTGGGTGGGTGAGTGAGTGGGTTGGGTGAGTGGGTGAGATGATCATTGGGTGAGTTTGGGGGTGGGTGAGTGGGTGGGTTGAGAGGGTGAGTTGGTGGGTGAGTGGGTGGGTGGGCGTGTGGGTGGGTGAGTGGGTGATATGATCATTGGGTGGGTTAGGGGGTGGGTGAGCGGGTGGGTTGAGAGGGTGAGTTGGTGGGTGAGTGGGTGGGTGGGCGAGTGGGTGGGTGGGCGAGTGGGTGGGTGAGTGGGTGAGATGATCATTGGGTGGGTTAGGGGGTGGGTGAGCGGGTGCGTTGAGAGGGTGAGTTGGTGGGTGAGTGGGTGGGTGAGTGGGTGGGTGAGTGGGTGAGATGATCATTGGGTGGGTTACGGGGTGAGTGAGTGGGTGGGTTGAGAGCGTGAGTTGGTGGGTGAGTGGGTGGGTGGGCGAGTGGGTGGGTGAGTGGGTGAGATGATCATTGGGTGGGTTAGGGGGTGGGTGAGTGGGTGGGTGAGAGGTTGAGTGCGTGAGTGAGTGGGTGGGTTGAGAGGGTGAGTTGGTGGGTGAGTGGGTGGGTGTGTGGGTGAGTGAGTGAGATGATCATTGGGTGGGTTAGGGGGTGGGTGAGTGGGTGGGTGAGAGGGTGAGTTGGTGGGTGAGTGGGTGAGATGATCATTGGGTAGTTTAGGGGGTGGGTGAGTGGGTGGGTGAGAGGGTGAGTGCGTGATTGAGTGGGTGGGTGTGTGAGTGAGTGAGATGATCATTGGGTGGGTTAGGGGGTGAGTGAGTGGGTGGGTTTGTGAGTGGGTGGGTAGGTGAGTAATTGAGTGAACGGATGAATGGGTGGGTGCGTGGGTGGGTGCGTGCGTGGGATAGAGAGTGAGTGGGTGGGTGAGAGAGTGAGTGGGTGGGTTAGAGGGTGAGTGGGTGGGTGAGCAATTGAGTGAGTGGGTGAGATGCCGATGCGAGCGACGCCAATTCCGCCCTGCGTGGGTAGGTTGAGAGGGTGAGTTGGTAGGTGAGTGGGTGGGTTAGAGGGTGAGTGGGTGGGTTAGAGGGTGAGTTGGTGAGTGGGTGGGTGAGTGGGTGATTGGGTGGGTTAGAGGGTGGGTGGGTGAGTGGGTGAGTGGGTGGGTTAGAGGGTGAGTGTGTGGGTTAGAGGGCGAGTGGGTGGGTTAGAGGGTGAGTGGGTGAGTGGGTGGGTTAGAGGGTGAGTGGGTGGGTTAGAGGCTGAGTCGGTGAGTGGGTGGGTGAGAGAGTCAGTGGGTGGGTCAGAGGTGAGTGGATGAGTGGGTGGGTTAGAGGGTGAGTGGGTGGGTTAGAGGGTGAGTGGGTGAGTGGGCGGGTTAGAGGGTGGGTGGGTGAGTGGGCGGGTTAGAGGGTGAGAGGGTCAGTGGGTGGGTTAGAGGGTGAGTGAGTGGGTGAGTGGGTGGGTGAGTTGGTGGGATAGAGGGTGAGTGGGTGGGTAAGTGAGTAATTGAGTGAATGGGTGGGTGACAGGGTGAGTGCGTGGGTTGGAGGCTGGGTGGGTTAGAAGGTGAGCGAGTGGGTGGGTTAGTAATTGAGTGGGTGGGTGAGATGCGAGCCACGCCAACACCGCCCTGCGTGGGCGGGTTGAGAGTGAGTTGGTGCGTTGGTGGGTGAGAGGATTGAGTGGGTGGGCTAGAGGGTGAGTGGGTGGGTTGTTGTTAAGGCTATAGAGGGGATTTTTGTCTTTGTAGTGAGAGTGATAATGGGTGGTTGGGGAGTAAGTGAAAAATTGAGTGGATGAGTTAACACAGTAGGGGGCACAGGTGGTGCATCGGCCACTCATCTCAGTCAACCCATGGCACCTGCTGAGTCCGTCCCGTGCCCTGCCAGCGGGCGTTCGACACTGCACGTGGCTTAAAATTCACGTGGCCTGGCACAAGGGCCGTGGTGACATCACCGCCACTAAGTGGCGAATGGCGGTTGTTGTTGGATGTGTAGGATTGGTGAGGGGTGAGTGGGTTTGTGGTTGGGCGAGTGCATGAGTGGGCAAGTGGGTGGATGAGCGATTGATCCCATATTCACTCTGATGTTACTGTTAAAGATGATTTTCATGAGTATTACAATGAGGATGTATTGGTAATTATTACGACCAATGATGTTCATATTTTGTAATTGTTGATGTCGATGATGATATGCTTGTACGTGCATTGTTTTTTTTTTAAATAATCAATGTTAGTTATAATTGTAAAATATTATCATTATGGGCATCACAACATAGAGAACACCAACCACCTTCACCACCACCACACACTCACCACCACGCACTTACCACCACGAGCAGCACACACCACCACATAATTAACACTATGACCACCCACTCTCCACCACCACCACACACTCAACACGACCATCACCACCAGCGTGCACTCACCACCACGTACTTACCACCACCAGCAGCACACACCACCACCACCACATAATTAACACTATGACCACCCACTCACCACCACCACACAGTCAACACGACCATCACCACCACCACAGGCACGCACTCACCACCACCAGCACACACCACCACATCCACACACCACCACACATTCACCACCACGTACTTACCACCACCAGTAGCACCCACCACCACCACATAATTAACACTATGACCACCCACTCACCACCACCACACAGTCAACACAACCATCACCACCACCACCACACACTCACCACCACCACCACACACTCAACACGACCATCACCACCACCACCACACACTCACCACCAGCAGCACACACACCACCACCACATAATTAACACTATGACCACCCACTCACCACCACCACACACTCAACACGACCATCACCACCACCACCACACACTCACCACCACCACCACACACTCAACACGACCATCACCACCACCACACACTCACCACCAGCAGCACACACACCACCACCACATAATTAACACTATGACCACCCACTCACCACCACCACCACACACTCAACACGACCATCACCACCACCACCAGCACGCACTCACCGCCAAATCCACGATGGAGCCGTACACAGCCACGTTGTCATCGCTAATCCCGCCGCCGGCCAGCACGAGGCTCTTAGCGGTGGCCTCGAGCGCAGCTCCCAGCAGCAGGAGCAGCAGCAGCAGGGAGGTGCACGCCTTCATCTTCATAACGATGGGGATCACCAGCAGCGCTCAGCAGCAGCAGCACCACCACCACCAACCACCCGGTCGGGTCCTGCACAGAGGTCCGCTGCTTATAAGGGCTCGTTACGGGCCAGGGGTGAGGGTTAGGTCAGGTAGAGACGGGGGTAGAGGGAGGTGGGGGTGGGGATGAACACTCGTGAATGGTGCGACATGATCGTTCACGATGCGATGTCGAGTTTCACGAAGCGGCGATGATCACCACACATCGGTTTCCCGTGAATTTGTAATTCCATGTCGCGTTATTATTTAATTGGGGGTTTTTTTGGGGTTGGTGGAGGAGGGGGGTGGTGGGCGGGGGGCTTTCCTTTACTTTCAATATGAATAATTAAAAACATATCTACTTAAGAGTTCGGCTTCGACTGCACGTCACTCCCCACAAGCCCTCAGCCTCCAGAAGCCGTCTGATGTATGCCACGCGTTGATGGTGGTGCTGGTGGCTACGCTGCACGTGGCTGCACGTGGCTGCACTGTGCTTTGCAGGGAGGTCGTGGGTCAATCCAGACGCCTGCGGTATACTCTTTGGTTCTATTCGGTAAAGTCACGTAGGTAAAAAAATAAAACAACAAAAATCACGACGTTTCGGCCACAACACAAGCGGCCTTCGTCAGGTGAAGGGACCAGACTGTCTCGAGGACAGTGCTGGAGTGAAACACAGCCAAGCTCAGACTGCTGTATATTTGGAATTTGCGTGTCTCGCTCTCTGGTTTTTCACCTCCACATTTTTGAATGAACATCAAACGTTCAGAGTATTTAGCTGCAATACAAAAAAAAAATCCACGTGATCAGCCACTTTCGTTGAGCTATCATTTGTGATAGCCAGATCGCTCGTGGAAAAAAAAGAGATATCTAGGCTCAGGAAGACCTTACCTGGTTAAAAACAAAGTGTTTATAGTTATAACTCATCCGGTAATGTATACCCATTGTAATAAAGATGGATTAATTAATCCCCCCCTCCCCCTTCGCACGTGATGGTCGTACAAGTTACGTCATCACATCAACGATACAGGATAATTTCTCCACCAATCAGGCTGTCGCCTGATGAAGATAGTTGTAATTACTGGCGAAACGTCGTACACAGATTGTAAATGTTGTGGATTTGCTCTCCAACGCACCAGTGTGCTGTATTAGTAACGAATTTGCATGTTCTGTTTACGTGACAAACCTTACTAATTGGCTATTTAGGCAATTTAACCCCAAATAACCTATACTATGGATGATATTGGTCGCGAAAGCCTACGCGTTAAACTTTATAGTTATATTTCGATTTAAAGCTTTCGTGACTGCAATGATTCATCTTCTTTGGATCTTTCGGTAAAGTCACGTAGAATGAGAATAAAATAATAAATTGATAAAATAAAATAACACAATAATATTCTCACGACGTTTCGGCCACAACACAAGCGGCCTTCATCAGGTAAAGGGACGAGACTGTCTGGTAGGACAGCGCTGGAGTGAAAGAGCCACGTTCAGATCACGACTTTTTTCTGAAGAGATGCCGCGACTCTAAGCTGTCTCGCTCCCCCTCCTCTGTTCCGACCATGGATGAACTCGTCCGTCTGAACGGGGCCCGTAGCTATCCGTGGTGCTGAAGTTGAGGCTTAAAAGTCGTGATCTGAACGTAGCTCTTTCACTCCAGCGCTGTCCTACCAGACAGTCTCGTCCCTTCACCTGATGAAGGCCGCTTGTGTTGTGGCCGAAACGTCGCGAGAATATTATTGTGTTATTTTATTTTATCAATTTATTATGTTATAGTTATAGTTTAAACCAGGGGTGAAGAACGTCCGGCCCGCGGGCCGTATGAGGCCCGCGAAATCATTTGGGTCTCTGTCCCTGCCAAGGCAACCGCAGGCGGGACTCGAAATTTAATAAATCTAGGTAGAGCAAACCTGGAAAAGTAGTTGCGAGTAGCAACATCGTCAATACCAGCTAACATCATCAAAAATAAGCAGTTCCAGCCATCGCATTAGGGGCGAGTTAATGAAATATTTGACCAAATATAACAGGCCAATTTTTAAGTTGATAATTTTGCATGGCCCGCGAATGACGTTTTATAAATATCCAAATGGCCCTTGGCAGAAAAAAAGGTTCCCCACCCCCTGGTTTACACGAAGACAACGAAGGATCGTGGTGAAGTTTTGACTGAAATGTGGTGGAGCTTTGTGTTAATGCGCGCATCTTCATCCGAGACGTCCTCACAACGCGGTCACGTGGGTATTTCTCCGGGTCCTCTGGTTCCCCCCCCCCACCTCCACATTTAGAATCAACGTCACGGTTGTCAGAGTATTTGGCTGCAATTTTAAAAACAAATCGCCGTGATGAGCCACGTTCGTTGAGCTATCATTTGTGATGGCCAGATCGCTGGTGAACACAAACAAAACACAAAATCTACATTGCCCAGTGGGTCCTTACCTGGTTAAGATTTTTTATCTGTTGGTAAATAGTTTATAGACTGACCTGGCCAAGCACATGGACACTCCTTGTTCCCCTTCCCACGTGAGGCCTTGGCGAGTCCATCGCTTTATGCGCAAGGGGCCTTGGAAGCTGTTGACAATGTGGCCGTGAGTGTAAAGAGGTTCAGACTCACAAACACGCGCACAGGTGTCCAGTTCTCACGTCTCCTTCCACGTCCACGTGGACCCTGTGAGCGCTTCAGCGGAGCCCACGAAGCCACACCAGTCGCGTAACGAGCGTGGTGGGGGGGGGGGGGGGGGACAGGCAGGGGGGTGCCTTGCCCCCCACTAATGGCCAAAGCCCCGTTGACAGCCAACGTGAGATATGTTTCCAACAACAACAATAACAACAGTGTAAGAGATCAACACCGCTTATGTAATAACGTGATGAGGCGAGAGGAGCGGCGACATACAATATCCTAGGTGCGGCCGTGCGAGACCTTCACCGCGTGTCGCGCCCCATGAGCTGATAACATCGTCACTACGCCACTGAGGATCACTCGAAGTCAGACACTGGGAGGCGCCCATACGGGACGTGCATCTTGTGAAGGAGTTCCAACACCCCGCGGCGAGTCTTGAACCCTGTGTCTCGATTTAAGCGTTCAGCACAGCACGTCAACTCACCAGGGAATTACTCACCACGACAGGGCCCCCCACCATCACCCACCCGCGGACCCAACGGCCCCCCACTACCCCCTCACCAACGCCCATAGCGCCGACCAGCGCGGCGTTCTGATTGGCTGCGGCCCGAGTTGGTGGGTGAGCGAGGTGGTGGGGGGGGGGGGGGCGGTTGAGAGAGGGAGGGGGGGCTAGAGAAGAGTGAGTGAGATGGGGGGGCACGGTGGGAGGGGGGGGCTAGAGAGGGGTGAGCGAGGTGGGGGCACGGGTGGGAGGGGGGGCTAGAAAAGGGTGAGTGAGATGGGGGGGGCACGGATGGGAGGAGGGGGGCTAGAGAGTGGTGAGCGAGGTGGGGGGAGGGGGGGCTAGAGAGTGGTGAGCGAGGTGGGGGGAGGGTGGGGCAACGGGTGGGAGGGGGGGCTAGAGAAGGGTGAGCGAGGTGGGGGGAGGGGGCACGGTGGGAGGGGGGGCTAGAGATGGCTGAGCGAGGTGGGGGGCACGGGTGGGAGGGGGGGCTAGAGAGGGCTGAGCGAGGTGGGGGGAGGGTGGGGCACGGGTGGGAGGTGGGGGGCTAGAGAGTGGTGAGCGAGGTTGGGGGGAGGGGGGCACGGGTGGGAGGTGGGGGGGGCTAGGGAGTGGTGGGCGAGGTTGGGGGCACGGGTGGGAGGGGGCTAGAGAGGGCTGAGCGAGGTGGGGGGCACGGGTGGGAGGGGGCTAGAGAGGGCTGAGCGAGGTGGTGGGAGGGGGGCACGGGTGGGAGGGGGGGCTAGAGAGGGCTGAGCGAGGTAGGGGGAGGGGGGCACGGGTGGGAGGGGGGGGGGCTAGGGAGTGGTGAGCGAGGTTGGGGGGAGGGGGGCACGGGTGGGAGGTGGGGGGCTAGGGAGTGGTGAGTGAGGTTGGGGGGAGGGGGGCACGGTGGGAGGGGGGGGGGCTAGGTAGTGGTGAGCGAGGTTGGGGGGAGGGGGGGCACGGGTGGGAGGTGGGAGGGCTAGGGAGTGGTGGGCGAGGTGGGGGACACTTTGCTGTAGTCCGCAGGCCCGCCAGCACTGACTGCGTGTTGACTGCACCGGAAAACGTCTCTCGAGAATTTGTCTTCAAACTCGCAGTGCTTCAGTTGAACGGGCAAATGAATAAAGGCAGCAGGAGGAGTCAGTGACCTTGAAAATAAGATAGTTTAATCCTGAGCGGCACCTTCATTCAACATGATCATGAGAAGTCTAAAACAACCGATGAGCGGCTTTATCGATCGCAATTTTGATCGATACATTAATCACGTATACATTTTATCATTGTGTATAAACGTGACGATCTCGTCGGGTGGTGGAGGGTACACAGAATCAGAGTCCGTATTTATGCTGGATGAATCCGATGAGCTATAAAGCTCTTGTTAACCGACGCGTTTCAGCAGTCAAGCGCGTCAGAAAGTTACAACAACCATTGCATTAAAAGCGCGTGACAAAGTACAGGATTGGCGAAGAACGCAGAAATAAACTTCGGCGTGAAAACTACAACCCCGTGAGAGAGAGAAAACACCGAAATGGGGAGACAACATGGTGCTGGCTAAGACAACGTAAGCGTCGAGTTAAATAGTCGATTCGTTGACACATTCAGCTCAGCGCTTAACCTAATCCCTCGATTGGACTATAGGCGAACTCGCGTCCTCAATAAAGTTGAGGTTCTTGGTTATACTGGTAGGCCTGCAATAGATTAATGTGTCCGTCCGTCCGTCCCCTTTCAATACTTTAACGAGAAGTGAAATCTCGTGCTGTTGGGGTGTAAAAAAATAAAATCGCGCAAAATTCCAACGTCCCTACCAGCCCACCCTGCAGGGACCTGTTTGAGAGTATTCTGGCCCCCTAGACGCTTCCCACGCGATAAGCCCAACGTCGTTGAGCTCGCATTTGTGATAGGCGCGTAGCTTCTCGATGCGAGACGCCAAGAGCTCAAGCGGAGCCTTAGGGGACGTCCATGAATGACGTCACGCGATTCTGGACGATTTTTGACCCCCACCACCACCACCACCACGTCACACGGCGTCACAAAAAGTCAGACCCCCCCCCCCCCCCTCAAATATGACGTCACAAAGCTCTGCCCCCCCCCCCAAAAAAAAACATATTTACATTTTGAAAATAAAACATGCTTCAAATCGCTTTAAACTATTGTCATTGTAGCGCGTATTTAATGTGGCGCTGTACTCTGATGTTGTAGGAGTGTTATAACAATTAGTGTTGTTATAACAAGTAGTGTTATAACAATTAGTGTTGTTATAACAAGTAGTGTTGTTATAACAAGTAGTGTTATAACAATTAGTGTTGTTATAACAATTAGTGTTGTTATAACAAGTAGTGTTGTTAGAACAATTAGTGTTGTTAGAACAATTAGTGTTGTTTATTTTAACAAGTAGTGCTGTTATAACAATTAGTGTTGTTATAACAAGTAGTGTTGTTATAACAAGTAGTGTTGTTTATTTTAACAAGTAGTGCTGTTATAACAATTAGTGTTGTTATAACAATTAGTGTTGTTATAACAATTAGTGTTGTTATAACAATTAGTGTTGTTATAACAACTAGTGTTGTTATAACAATTAGTGTTGTTATAACAAGTAGTGTTGTTATAACAAGTAGTGTTATAACAATTAGTGTTGTTATAACAATTAGTGTTGTTATAACAATTCTATATTTATTTAAAGTTGCGCATTTTGATGTGACGTCACATTTCTAAACCCCCTCTCGTCACATACGTCACAAATGTCTGACCCCCCCCTCACTAGGTGCGTGACGTTATTTATGGACGGCCCCCTTACCTGTTAGAAAAAAATTGATTTAATTATTGAATTGATTTTCTCTCTACGTCACTTTACCGAAAGATCCGAAAAGTAATCTCTGCAGTCACGAAAGCTTCAAATAATATTTTTTTAAAAACCGTGCAGTTTAGTTATATTATTGGTTCTTTCGGTAAAGTCACGTTGAAGGGAAACAATAAAATAATAAAAAATATATAAAACAATAAAATTCTCACGACGTTTTGACTGTAGTTTAGTTGTTTTAGATTAGCGCTGTTGGCCAAGTGCCTTTCCTGTACTTTCGCTCTGCTGTTGAGCTTTTTTGTAGCGTCTGAAGTTGTTGTTACGCTCTGACCCCGTGTGTGAAAGAGCTTCATGGCTCATCGGATTTCTCCTGCCAGGATAAATAAATAATCTGACTCCGGGGGGGGAGGGGCTGGGGGGACCGGCTAGGGAGGGAGGGGCTAGGGGTGAGGGGGGGGATTTGGGGGGGAGGGGCTGGGGGGACTGGCTAGGGAGGGAGGGGCTAGGGGTGAGGGGGGTTGGGGGGGGAGGGGCTGGGGGGACCGGCTAGGGAGGGAGGGGCTAGGGGTGAGGGGGGTTGGGGGGGAGGGGCTGGGGGGACCGGCTAGGGGGGGAGGGGCTAGGGGTGATGGGGGGTTGGGGGGAGGGGCTGGGGGACTGGCTAGGGAGGGAGGGGCTAGGGAGGGAGGGGCTAGGGGTGAGGGGGGTTGGGAGGGAGGGGCTGGGGGGACCGGCTAGGGAGGGAGGGGCTAGGGGTGATGGGGGGTTGGGGCGGAGGGGCGGGGGGGACTGGCTAGGGAGGGAGGGGCTAGGGGTGAGAGGGGGGTTGGGGGGGAGGGGCTGGGGTGACCGGCTAGGGAGGGAGGGGCTAGGGGTGAGTGGGGGAGGGGCTGGGGGGGGCGTGAATGGGGGGGAGGGGTTGGAGGGGGTCCGTTACCATGGCGACGGCGTTGCCACTCTGAGGCCTAGCGGCGAAGGCTTCGCGCGGGCAGCGAGCTCCCGTCAGACGCGGTAACCGTCGCAATACCCCCACGAGAGTTTGAACGACGTTTTATTTTTGTTGTTATTAATATTGTTGTTGTTGTTGTTTGAACGTGAACAACACGCAAGAAGTCAACACTTACACCCAGACACGGGGAGGGATTTAAACGTGCGCCAACATTCGGCACGCAGACTAATACAGCCGTGCTCATTGCGACGCATCCGAGCGGTGGCTACTGGAGGTACCCCGCACGCAACGCGATCCATTTGTTGTACGTGTAACACAAGTGTGAAGTTTCACGGCGCTATTTATCACGTTTATTTGTACCGCGGCGCGTTGAGTGTCCCGACGCACGTCTGTACGCGTTCACAATGTCATTCGGTAAAACAATTTTTGTTTTAACTTACATTGCGGAGACGGAGCGATGGACACATTCGCACAACAAAGATATAAACATAAAAAATAAATTTCCTCCCGCATAGTCACAGTATAAACTGTTGGGGCAAACGCTGTTCTTAGCGAGCACACAAAAAAAACATAGAACTATATTTTTTTATCGTTTCCCTTCTACGTGGTGGTGACTTTACCGAAAGAACCAAGAATATGAATCACCTGCAGTCACGAAAGCTTTAAATCAACATTCAGTTCGGTTTAATTTATTAGGTACTAGCTTGGATTCACCACGCCCGGCCACCTTTGTCTCCCCAGTGGCGATGTTCACACACCACACCAGTTAATTGTTTGAGGCTGAGTGGACCTAGGGGAGGCCCAGGAGCGGTCAAAATAATCGTCACCGGTGGTGGCCGTGAGCTGGAATCGAACTCGTGGTCGCCGGGTTCGTAGCGCGGCGCGCTAACCGCTACACTACCGCTCCCCACACACACACACAGACACACAGAGACACACACACAGATACACACAGACACATACACACAGACACACACAGATTACACACACACAGACACGCACACAGATACACACACACAGATACACACACACAGATACACGCACACATAGATACACACACACAGACACATACACACACAGACACACACACAGATTACACACACACAGATTACACACACACACAGACACACACACACAGACACACACAGACAGCCTGCTAACCACTACACTACAATGCGTTAGGCTTCCACATGCGAGGGTCACGTGACAGATTTGACGTCACAGCTCACTTGCCGTGCAAATAATAAATGCATTATTGAGCTCCCCCACCCCAAAAAAGTGTATTTTTATAATTGTTGCATGGTGTACAGTCTGGAAAGTACCCACATGGCAAATTTCAAGTTTGTTGCATGTCGGGAAGTACGCTAAACATTTTGAACAGACACACAATCACAACTTTGCCTTTTATATATATGTAGATAGCCCTGTGTGAGCCATTCGGCTCTTGAATCGGGTGCAACCGCAACAAGACAAAAAAATGAACAAGAAAACATCTTAAAGTGACTACGCGCAACAGAAAAATCTAGGAAAAAAACACAGCAAAAGTCTTCCAGAAAACAGCACCGTATATCAACGCTGTGTGCAAAAAAATCCCGGTGGGATGCAAGTCAATCAATTACAACCATAAGACAATTTAGATTGAAGTTATCAGTCTAAGTCTGTACTACAACAAACAAATATGGCTAAACCAAAACCTTTCGAAATCTAAAGCTTTAAAAACAATGTAACAAAAGTGATCTTCGGTGATCACCTTAAGCGTTTGTGCTTTTCGCTACACTGTGCCCACCTGAAGAAGGACGCTTGTGTTGCGCCCGAAACGTCGTGATTTAATTGAGTTGTTTTCATTTATTTAATTTTATATTCTTGGTTCGTTTGGTAAAGTCACGTAGAAGGGAAACAAAAAAATTAATAAAAATATAAAACAATAAAATTCTCACTTATTATTTTATTGTTTCCCTTCTACGTGGTGGTGACTTTACCGAAAGAACCAAGAATATGAATCCCTGCAGTCACGAAAGCTTTAAATCAAAATTTATTTTATTTATTTTTTACCTACGTGACTTTACCGACAAAACCAAAGAGTATGAATCCTTTCAGTCACGAAAGATTAAAATCTACAAGTGCTCATAGGAACTGTGATTCAAATTTAACAATAAACGATATACGTAACATGTACGACCAAACTTTTGCAGCCATAGCTGGCAGCATGAGTCTCGGCACACGAGAGGGTGGGTTGCCAGTACCACGCCCGGCCGCCACACACACACACATGGGTGGGGAAGCCTCGATCCAGCAGTGGATAGTCCATGGCCGTGGATGTGTTGTTGTTCCTCTGCGCACTGCAGTTTGTGAGGAGTACCCTGACCGGGCTTAACGATGTCTGAAGTTCTGCTGCCGCGCACCCTGGCCATCGTGAAGCCAGAAGCTCTGGAAGCGGCGACTCAAATCCGAGAGTGCATCGCACAAGCGGGATTCACTGTGCTACAGGTGTGCCAGGTCCATGGTTTCACACTTCCTTTTCCACTGGCACATCCGAGCCGAGGCAGCGCGGGTCCCTCGCGATACGAGTGGCTTACCGAACCAGAACCAATCCACGATCTGTCAGCCGTCTGGCATTTCGCTGCTGAACATGTTGGCATCGTGCAAATTCCGGTCATCCTCGCAGCGGCTTTTGGCTAGCCATCGAACAAAGATGGTCACCGCATCGCGAGCCTTCAGATGCGCTTCTGCGACCGTCTGGAATGCTCTTCTCTCCGATATTAAGAAGCCACTGGAGCTGTGCACTTGTAAATCATCTCGATTGAAAAGTAATTTCTTTCGAACTGTTTTTTTCTGTTTAGTTTGTTGTCCTTCCTCCGCATCTCTGATTAACACGGTTGGCTACGTACGGTGTCAAAGGAGTTCAAGATACATACAGAAGACGACATCTGAATCTTGATGATGGCCAAATAGGGCCAGGGGTGACGCTAATAGCTCATTCAGTGCACTGAGTAGACTGAGGACAGCTTCACCACCGCGTTATTTAAACACGTTTTAAATCCTTCATTGCAAATCCCCATGGGCACGCTTTGAGGACGCAGCATCACCGCATCGCCTTTCACGTTTCTTAAATCGTTCATCGCGTTTGATATCGCCATGGATCGTGACGATAATCGCCACCGAGCTATAGAGCTCTCTTTCAGAAGCGGCCTGGCCACAAATGATAGCTCAACGAAGTGGCTTATCATCATGTGGAAATTTATCGCAGCCAAACACTCTAAACGCGCGTTGATTCTAAATGTCGAGGGAGAAACATGGGGACCCGGAGAAAAGTCCATGTGACCACGGTGAGCGTCACATGCGAACTCTAAATTACCAGGCGTCGGGGTCGGGATCGGGATCGAACCCACGGCTTCCCGCGTACCAGGCGAGGTAATTAACATCTCGCCACCATTGGCACAACCTGACACCCTATGGCGGGGCGGTAAAACACAGCACTTAGCCCCAGCCATTGGCTCAAGTGACGCGCGGGTGGGTCCTTGTGTTTTGTTTTTCTTTGTCTCCGTTGCCCAGTGCCGGCGCGTGCACCTCAGCCCCGAGCAGGGCAGCGAGCTGTACAGCGAGCACTTTGGCAAGATGATTTTCCCCAGCCTGGTGGCGTACATGAGCTCCGGTCCCGTGCTGGCCATGGTTCTGGCTCGGCACCGAGCCACGGAACTCTGGCAGCAACTCATGGGACCCAGAAACAGCGAGAAGGCTCGGCAGAGCCACCCCGACAGGTACGGGACGCGTGCGGGTGATGGGGGCTTTGCACTTTGCAACGGACGTGTCCTCTGGTTTATACGATGTGCTTGTTTTGTCTCTTTCAGGGGAGGGTCACTGTGTTTATAGAAGACGACCTGATGCAGGCAGGAAACTGGCGATGTTTAGACACATATTTGGATGGACGACAAGAAAATAAAAAGTGTGTTGTTCGGGAAAAATAGAACCGGAAAGACAGGAAGATCTGACGGAGAATGGCTTGACCACATAAGAGACAGGTGTCAGGCAGATGTGCACGATATGTCAGAGAATGGCTTGACGACATAATTAGACAGGTGTCAGACAGATGTGCACGATGTGACAGAGAATGGCTTGACCACATAACACACAGGTGTTAGACAGATGTGCACGATGTGACAGAGAATGGCTTGACGACGTAACAGACAGGTGTCAGACAGATGTGCACGATGTGACAGAGAATGGCTTGACGACGTAACAGACAGGTGTCAGACAGATGTGCACGATGTGACAGAGAATGGCTTGACCACATAAGAGACGGTGTCAGACAGATGTGCACGATGTGACAGAGAATGGCTTGACGACGTAACAGACAGGTGTCAGACAGATGTGCACGATGTGACAGAGAATGGCTTGATGACATAAGAGACAGGTGTCAGACAGATGTGCACGATGTGACAGAGAATGGCTTGACGACATAAGAGACAGGTGTCAGACAGATGTGCACGATGTGACAGAGAATGGCTTGATGACATAAGAGACAGGTGTCAGACAGATGTGCACGATGTGACAGAGAATGGCTTGACGACATAAGAGACAGGTGTCAGACAGATGTGCACGATGTGACAGAGAATGGCTTGATGACATAAGAGACAGGTGTCAGACAGATGTGCACGATGTGACAGAGAATGGCTTGACGACATAAGAGACAGGTGTCAGACAGATGTGCACGATGTGTCAGAGAATGGCTTGACCACATAGGAGACAGGTGTCAGACAGATGTGCACGATGTGTCAGAGAATGGCTTGACGACATAAGAGACAGGTGTCAGACAGATGTGCACGATGTGACAGAGAATGGCTTGACGACGTAACAGACAGGTGTCAGACAGATGTGCACGATGTGACAGAGAATGGCTTGATGACATGAGATACATGTGTCAGACAGATGTGCACGATGTGACAGAGAATGGCTTGGCGACATGACAGACAGGTGTCAGACAGATGTGCACGATGTGACGGAGAATGGCTTGACGACATAACAGGTGTCAGACAGATGTGCACGATGTGACAGAGAATGGCTTGACGACATAAGAGACAGGTGTCAGACAGATGTGCACGATGTGTCAGAGAATGGCTTGACGACGTAACAGGTGTCAGACAGATGTGCACGATGTGTCAGAGAATGGCTTGACGACGTAACAGGTGTCAGACAGATGTGCACGATGTGACAGAGAATGGCTTGACGACATAATTAGACAGGTGTCAGACAGATGTGCACGATGTGTCAGAGAATGGCTTGGCGACATGAGAGACAGGTGTCAGACAGATGTGCACGATGTGTCAGAGAATGGCTTGACCACATAATTAGACAGGTGTCAGACAGATGTGCACGATGTGACCGAGAATGGCTTGCCGACGTAAGAGACAGGTGTCAGACAGATGTGCACGATGTGACAGAGAATGGCTTGATGACATGAGAGACAGGTGTCAGACAGATGTGCACGATGTGACAGAGAATGGCTTGACCACATAAGAGACAGGTGTCAGACAGATGTGCACGATGTGACAGAGAATGGCTTGCCGACGTAAGAGACAGGTGTCAGACAGATGTGCACGATGTGACAGAGAATGGCTTGATGACATGAGAGACAGGTGTCAGACAGATGTGCACGATGTGACAGAGAATGGCTTGACCACATGACAGACAGGTGTCAGACAGATGTGCACGATGTGTCAGAGAATGGCTTGCCGACGTAAGAGACAGGTGTCAGACAGATGTGCACGATGTGACAGAGAATGGCTTGACGTAAGAGACAGGTGTCAGACAGATGTGCACGATGTGTCAGAGAATGGCTTGACCACATAGGAGACAGGTGTCAGACAGATGTGCACGATGTGTCAGAGAATGGCTTGACGACATAAGAGACAGGTGTCAGACAGATGTGCACGATGTGTCAGAGAATGGCTTGACGACATAAGAGACAGGTGTTAGACAGATGTGCACGATGTGTCAGAGAATGGCTTGACCACATAGGAGACAGGTGTCAGACAGATGTGCACGATGTGTCAGAGAATGGCTTGACGACATAAGAGACAGGTGTCAGACAGATGTGCACGATGTGTCAGAGAATGGCTTGACGACGTAACAGACAGGTGTCAGACAGATGTGCACGATGTGACAGAGAATGGCTTGACGTAAGAGACAGGTGTCAGACAGATGTGCACGATGTGTCAGAGAATGGCTTGACCACATAATTAGACATGTGTCAGACAGATGTGCACGTTGTGACAGAGAATGGCTTGACGACATAAGAGACGGTGTCAGACAGATGTGCACGATGTGACAGAGAATGGCTTGGCGACATGACAGACAGGTGTCAGACAGATGTGCACGATGTGACAGAGAATGGCTTGACGACATAAGAGACAGGTGTCAGACAGATGTGCACGATGTGACAGAGAATGGCTTGATGACATAATTAGACAAGTGTCAGACAGATGTGCACGATGTGACAGAGAATGGCTTGACGACATGACAGACAGGTGTCAGACAGATGTGCACGATGTGACAGAGAATGGCTTGACGACATAACAGGTGTCAGACAGATGTGCACGATGTGACAGAGAATGGCTTGACGACGTAACAGACAGGTGTCAGACAGATGTGCACGATGTGACGGAGAATGGCTTGACGACATAAGAGACAGGTGTCAGACAGATGTGCACGATGTGACGGAGAATGGCTTGATGACATGAGAGACATGTGTCAGACAGATGTGCGCGATGTGACAGAGAATGGCTTGGCGACATGACAGACAGGTGTCAGAGATGTGCACGATGTGACAGAGAATGGCTTGACCACATAACAGACAGGTGTCAGACAGATGTGCACTGCCTGAGCACATTGGCACGAGACAGGAAAGTGGAAGTTAATGACAAAACGTGCAGTGGATACCTACGGGCTGTCTGCCCATGGATCGTGATGATCATGATGATGATGATGATTTCAAAGCAAACATTGGCGGTGTCTCTTTTATAAACCGGTATATGGCCTCTATCGCTGACATGGCTCCTTCCTTCCGTCACGTGTGTGACCAGATTTTAATGACTTTATTGACGTATTTACGTGCTATGGTGAAGGGCTGTTGCCCAAAACGTCGTCTGTTAGATACCTTTCCCTTCTAGTCCACACACGGTGTTGTTGACGAATGTGACGAGTCTTTTATTAATGGAACCGGGTACAGTCGTCGACAACTTTATCGCCACCATACAGCCACTTTCACCGCTACCGTATTCTCCACAGTTATGAGACACGTGATTGTTCACAACTCTGACATTTTTACACTCCATGTTCCCTGGCTCACCCGCAGGGGCGGAGCCACAGGGGGGGGGGCTGCGGGGGGGCTTAGCCCCCCCTGAAATTTTGGGAAAGTCTGTAATCGGGATAACCGGATATCCGGCTGCTGCAAAATGCTGCAGGCTGCCACCTCGTGCTGCCCTGCAGGCTGCCACCTTGTGTACTGTCCTGCAGGCTGCCACCTTGTGCTGCCCTGCAGGCTGCCACCTCGTGTGCTGCCCTGCAGGCTGCCACCTTGTGTGCTGCCCTGAAGGCTGCTTGAGCGGCAGCCTTTCGAACTTATTAGCCACATCGGCGGCTCCGACCTATGAATAAACTCCGCGTTCAAATCCAATAAAATGTGTTTTATACATTTGTGGCGCCCATTGAAAAACAAAAACACACTGAGATATCTCAGAATATTGAAGTCAGCCCCCCCCAAAGTCAAAATCCTGGCTCTGCCGCTGCTCACCCACGAAGTCGAATTTTCCTTAAAATCTTTCCTTTTTTATTTTCTCTCTCAATGACACACCGATGTCCTGCGTGAGCCTTACTGGGTGAGCCTTACCCTCCGGAGCATCTCATGACCTTGAGAACGCGGTACAGTTGACAGCGCCAATGCGTCAGCGTCCGTGGGAGAACGATGGTTGTGTCCCTTTGTGTGCGCAGCTTGCGTGCGCTGTACGGCACGGACGAGCTGCGGAACGCCGTCCACGGGAGTGACAACCCTGCAGCTGCCGAGCGAGAAATACGGTTCTTCTTCCCCGACGGTAATGCTCATCCGCTTGCTCACCCGTTCGCTTGCTCACCCGCTCGTTCACCCGCTCGCCAGCCCACTCGATCGCTCGCTCGCTCGCTCATCCACCTAATTGTTCACCAACTCGCCGATTCGCTCACTCATTTATTCACTTAATCATTCACTCAACTCACCTACTCGCTCACTGTATCACTCAATAACTGGTTCGCCCATTTGCTCACCTTCCTACTCACTCACTCGCTTGCTCACCCACTCGGTCGCTCACTCACTCGCCAAATCACCCACTCACTCACTAACTCTACTTTTTCACCAACTCGCCGATTCGCTCACTCATTCATTCACCTACTCGTTCACTCAACCCACCTACTCGCTCACTCCCTGACTCAATTACTGGCTCACCCACCCACTTACTCACCCTACCTGCTCACTCATTCTTGAAAAACAAACTATTGGAAGTTACATGGCATAGCAATGCAACCACATCTCAAGATGCTTTCCAAAAAAATAAATGCTAAAAGGGAGGTGGGTAGGAGGAGTTCGTGTTGAAGGTGGGGGGGTTGGGCGGAGAGTGGAGCAACCAATAACAAGGAGCGCCAGGGGCAGCCGGGGTAGCACCGGTGAAGCCTCTGATCCAGCACTGGTGGCGGCAGCAAGGAATGGTGGATCACCGCACACATAGATGTTGTCGTGAAACTCCCTTCCCGTGGGAGTCGAGGAGGAGACGTCGTGCCCTGGCTCGCCGGGAGAAGGCAGATTAATCTCCATCTGTTCCCATCTGTACGGTGATTGCCTCGCACACGCGCATGTTTTCACGCGAGTGCTCCGATTTTTGTGCATGTTGAACTCCTTTGGAATCGCACGTAGCCTACCGTGCTAAATCTCGAGGGGCGGGGGAAGGATGACAAACCACTGTTGAGCTTGAACCTGCGGCGTGTGGTGTTACATAACCCTGCGACAACAACCTAAACACAAGAAGCATTGCTGAAGAAAATTCGTTTTCTATCTGTGAACACTCATGCACTGGCAAAAAAAAACAAAAAACATCTTAATACATTGAGGACCGCAGAACTTGGGAAATCGTTGGTGACGGCTCACCGCCTGGCTGCCGCTCTCCAGCTTGTCTGTGGTTTCCTGCACACCTCCGAGTCAAAACGGAAGGAAAAAAACTCCGCTCGTGACAAGTTTGTGCGGGCACAAACAGCTCTCATCTAGTAGCTACATACAGAGGCTCTGTGTCCTGAGCCATCTGTGCGTTTGAATATTCTGTTAATAAGGGGGGGGGGGGGAAAAAAAACTGAAATTACTGTCAGGAGTGCTGTATCCGCCCTCCAGTGTCTGCACTGTGCTGTGAGGTCAATTCCCAACTCTTTCTGTGTGGAGTTTGTTATCACCCTGTTATGCAGAGTGTGAGTGCATGTGAGTGAAGCTCGCCTGGTATGCAGGAGGTCGTGGGTTGAATCCTGACCCTGACGCCTGCTGTATATTTTTTTTATTTGCACGTCTCTCTCCCTGTGGTCACGTGAATCACGTGATTAGCCACTTCATTGAGCTATCAAAGACGTAGAGCTCAAGTGAGCCTTACCTGGGTAAATAATAATTTATATTGAATCTTAGTTTGTAAGTTCTCACCCTGCACGGGTCTCCTCCGGGTTTTCTCCAGCTTCCTGCCATCGCTAAATTGAACGCACAAAGTAACAGGTATTAGGCAAACGTGCTGGGGGAGGAGGAGACTATCACATGGCTGTGTGGCGACGTGGGCTGATATCCACTTACAATATAACATCGGCATACATGCGTGTTAATTTAATTAATGCATTTACTTGCGTATATCTGGTGCTCTAATTGTGTAAAAGTCTCGTCTGAAAGCATTCACTGAATTAAAAAAAGAAATTGTCCAAACCCCGCGAAACTGCAAAATACCTGGACAGATTATTCAAGAGGGTTTACACTTGGCAAACATTGCTTCCTCTCACGTGAAAACTTGGGAGGACTCTCCTGTAGAGAAAAAAATAAAAGAGTCACTGAGACTCTGCGAGGCATCCCTGGGTCAACAAGCATCATCATAATAACCACGATAATCAGTCATTAATAATCGTGTTGGCTGGTGTGCAACTCGCAGCCGTTCTGGAGCCGATCCCGGAGAGTCCGGCCGCTCGCGAGTACCTGGAGAGGTCGGTGAATCCCACTCTGCTCGCCGGACTCACGCAGCTCTGCAAGCACAAGCCAGCCGATCCGGTGGTGAGGGACAGCTCGCATGTGCACATGTATGTCGAGAGCGGCAACGCACCAGTGGGCGCTACGAACCCAGCAGCCCGAGCTCAAAACCCCGCTCTCGGCCAACATCGCTGACGAGTATCTGAAGCGCTACCATCGCACTCCCAAGACTTCGGTGGCCGCCCATGAATGACGTCACGCGATTCTGGACGATTTTTGACCCTTGTCACACGGCGTCACAAAAAGTCAGACCCCCCCTCCCCCTCAAATATGACGTCACAAAGCTCTGCCCCTCCCCCCCCCAAAAAAAAACATTTCCATTTTGAAAATAAAACACGCTTCAAATCGCTTTAAACTATTGTCATTGTAGCGCGTGTTTAATGCGGCGCTGTACTCTTGATGTTGTAGGAGAAAATATTTATTAAAAAGTCTATTTAATTAAGTAGAACGTATTGTCTGTATTGATTTAAAGTTGCGAATTTTTATGTGACGTCACATTTATCAACCCACCCCCCCCCCCTCTCGTCACACATCGTCACAAATCTCTGACCCCCCCACCCCCCCCCCCAAAGGTGCGTGACGTCATTTACGGACGGCCCCTTAGCCTTATATGAGTAGCTGGTGCGGTGTGTGAACACCAGCACTGGGGAGATTAAGGCGGACGGGCGAGAGACCAGCCACGCCACTTCCTCGTGTATATATGTTGAACTTCTTTTGCACTGTACGTAGCCAACCGTGCCAATCGGAGGCGTGGGAGAAGGACAGCAAAACACAATAAAGCCGTTCTAATGAAATGAGTTTTCAATCTTGATTATTTAAAAGTGCATAGCTCCAGTGGCTTCCTATGATATCGGAAGGAAGAGCGTTCCAGACGGCCGCAGAAGCACGCGCATCTCACCGTTTTTGTGCGATGGTTGCCAATAGCCGCTGCTGCGAGGAGGATGGCTGGAATTTGCGTGATGGTTTATGCTCCTTTACGAGATCGGCGAGGTATTGTGGTTCATTTGCGGCTTAAAGGTCGTGATCTAAGCGTGGCTTCTTCCACTCCGGCGCTGTCCTCCAGACAGTCTCGTCCCTTCACCTGATGAAGGCCGCTTGTGTTGTGGCCGAAACGTCGTGATTTTTTTGTTATTTTATTTTCACCTACGTGACTTTACCCAATAGAACCAAAGAGTATGGATCCTAGCAGTCACGAAAGCTTTAAATCTAGAATTGAGCATTTTGTGTTTAATGATTGCGACTTTATAAGGTCAGACTGGAGCTATGTGGCTCACGGACACGTGATGTGAGACATGCGTGGGAAAGATCCTGTGGGTGTCTTGCGCAATTGCGTCTCCGCTCGCCACTTTGCACCGGACATCGTAATGTTGGGGGTAAAGGAAAGAGCTCGACAAGAAATGACCTCTCTCAAACCGTGATGATTTACTCCACTGGATGTTTTGACAGCTGACCATGAGGCGTCTAATTCCTCTCAGTCCATGCACCGGATGCCTTGGGTTAACCGCTCTGGAAGGTTTCCCCGATGTACATGCTGTCCTCAGTAGCATAACTCAAGGGTGCCACGGTGATGAGATGTTAACTACCTCGCCTGGCTAAAGACGATCGATCCCGACTCTGACGTTTTTATATTTTTGAGTTTGCATGTTCCTTCCGTGGTCGTGTGGATTTTTCTCCGGGGTCCTCCGGTTTTTTTGCCTCCGGGTTTTCCCTCCACATTTAGAGACACGCGTGTAGAGACTTTGGCTGCTATAAACTTCCACATGGCAACCACTTTGTTGAGCTATCATTTTTGGCCAGGTTGCTTCTGAAAAAGAACTATATAACCCATTGGGTCTTACCTGGCAAAATTAAAAAAATAAATTATTCATTCTTCTGTGTGCCTGTGCGTGTGTCTCTCTCTGTTTGTCTCTGTGTGAGTCTCTCTCTGCTTGTGTGTCTGTCTGCGTGTCTCTGTGTGTGTCTCTCTCTGTGTGTGTCTCTCTTTGCTTGTGTGTCTGTCTGTGTGTCTCTGTGTGAGTCTCTCTCTGCTTGTGTGTCTGTCTGCGTGTCTCCGTGTAGTCAACCAGGTGGGGTGTTGACTGTTGTGTTGGCCGACTCTCTGTGTGTTGTATTGCATTATATTTCCAAGTTTACTATGTTTGTTCTCTCATTCATTTGTACCTGATGATGGTTGCTTGTGTTGCAATCGAAACGTCGTATTCTATTATTTAATTTAATTTCTTTCTACGTGACTTTACCGAAAGAACCAAAGAATGAATTATATATATTTTGTGGTTTTAACCAGCGTGGCGGTAGGGGGTGCCTTGCCCCCCTCCCCTGGTGGCCAGAGCTACGAGTTGGGGCCCCCCTTGACAACCACCATGAGATGTGTTGTCAACAACAACAACAACAGTGTCAAAGAACAAAAACTTATTTAAAAAACGCGGTTTCAAATTATTTGAATGAAAATGCTTTTATTTACGTCCCACGTTGTATTTCAATTTTATTTTGCTATATATCGCGGTGGTAGATAGCCCGCTGTAGCTGCGACGGTGTTAAACACATCAAATACTGGGGCCCCACCTGACCGATTGCCGCACCCCCTGAGCTGATAATCGAGTTACTACGCCTCTGTCGGCCCCGCAGAGAAAATCACCTTGGTTGCCACTCTGACTGCCGTTATATTGGCACAAGGGCTTAACCCTCCCCGTGACCCCTCCTCACTCAATTGGCCACTCACTGAATTCCCAACCCACACGGTGAATGTTTTTAACTAAGTCCCGTGTCGTCCCATTTACAGCGATGGCATTCATGATGCCGCCGACGACGACGATGATGGTGGTGGTGCTAATAACGATACTGATTAGTGTTTTTTTTTTTAAATAACCCTCTCTATGCTGGGGCATATCAAAGAGGCCTTTACATCGCACCGTGTTAATGTGAACATTTAATCAATGCCGCTCAGATGTCCGACGGCTCTCGGCTCGTGGAGAAAAACATCGGACATCGACACGGGACGACATTGCGCTCAAAGCACTTGCCAGAAATGAACCACAGCACCTCTCTGATCTCGGCAAGGAAGATAAACCACCACACAAGCTCTGGTCATCCTCACCGCAGCTGCTTTTGGCTAACAATCGAACAAAGATGTTAACTGCACCGCGCGCTTTCAGATGCGCTTCTGCGGCCGTCTGGAACGCGCTTCCTTCCGAAATTGAGAAGCCGCTGGAGCTATGCACTTTTAAATCGAGATTGAAAAGTAACTTTGTCAGAATTGCTCTTTTGCGTTTAGATTGTGTTCCTTCCCCCGGACCTCCGATTAGCGTGGTTGTCTACCCACATGTACATCGGAGAAACGTTGCAACGCCGCAGTGAAAAATCTGCGCCGTGCGTCACCGTCTCTCCTAACCCAAGCTGTTTGTGACCTCTCTCCCTCTCCACCCCTCTCTCCCTCTCCACCCCTCTCTCCCTCTCCACCCCTCTCTCCCTCTCCACCCCTCTCTCCCTCTCCACCCCTCTCTCCCTCTCCACCCCTCTCTCCCTCTCCACCCCTCTCTCCCTCTCCACCCCTCTCTCCCTCGCTCGCTCAATCGCTCACCCGCTGCCGCGCGTTGCACGTCTCGTCCGTGTTTTAGGTGTGGCTTGCCGACTGGCTGGTGCGGAATAACCCAAACAAGCCCGCCGTGACGGACGGACAACAGGAGGACGACGAAGGTCGATAAGAGGAGGAACGCGAAGGAGTGGATAGTTATTTTTAAACCGCAATTTTGCCGGCCGTTTCCATGTTTGACGGTTATTTAAAGCTTGGCGGTTACATATTGGGTTAACCCAACTGGATACCAATTGTCTCACTGGTAGAAAATGGCCACATTACGATTCACACGTTCAATTTCACTCTCCATTATAAAAAAAAAATTATTGCTATAATTTTATCCCGATTGTCACGAGAATCCAGTCGAAGATCTCGCAGAGCAGTGCACCCCTTCCTGTAAAGAGAACGGCCTCTAAAAATTGCATATCACAGCGCTGTCTCTGAGATCCCCTTCGGGTGATCTGCGCTCCACACAGCAGGTGGCGGTGTTCTCCAACATGCCCTGCATGTAAGATTCACGTTTGTCGCGCGGCAGTGAAACTGATCATTTAACATTCAGAGCTGGCCTTTTGGCAAGTTAAATGCAGAACCAAATTTAATGCGCTCACGGCTTTTGTTGTTGCGCGGCGATTGGCGATCGGTACCGAGACCACCGACTCACTGCATGAAAACTCGGTTTTACCATGGGCGGTGGCGAAACCTGGATCCGAATCCAGGATCTGATCCAATGCCGAGCTCTGTGGCAGTGATGAAACCTAAATCCGAATCCAGGATCTGAGCACCCGGACTCAGCGCTGTGACCTCTTAGCCACTCGGACCCCTTTTCTTGATCGCACGTCATTCCCAGATTCACAATAAAAAATAAAACATGCATTGAACGTGCACCTGAGAATCGGTTACCAAATAATATAAAATGTCGATTTAAAGCTTTTGCGACTGCAAGGATTCATCTTCTTTGGTTCTTTCGGTAAAGTCACCACCACGTAGAATGATAATTAAAATAATAAATTGATAAAATAAAATAACACAATAATATTCTCACGACGTTTCGGCCACAACACAAGCGGCCTTCATCAGGTGAAGGGGACGAGACTGTCTGGAGGACAGGACACTCCAGCGCTGTCCTACCAGACAGTCTCGTCCCCTTCACCTGATGAAGGCCGCTTGTGTTGTGGCCGAAACGTCGTGAGAATATTATCGCGTTATTTTATCAATGTATTATTTTATTCTCATTCTACGTGGTGACTTTACCGAAAGAACCAAAGAAAATAATATTAACATGAGATGCGAGATTGTCATTGGATTGAAAGTAATATATTCGTGAATAGCATTGGTACTATTAACGTTGTTACGGTTTCATGATTGCAAATGCCATGTTTACAATCACTAAAACGCCCTACACAAGGTTAACTTTGGTCCTTCAGCAGTGAACGTCAGTGACTGGTTATGTATTTAACGCAGCGGCTGTAAGCACTGTCGCGAGGGTGTGATATAAGCTTGAAGTTTCCCCACTTTAACGGCATAAAGCATAATCCTAACGGATGACCGCCGTCCAGAATATAAGCGCCTCATTCGAGACCCAACCATGACACCTCCTCCCATTGACGTTTCTCCTCCCGCTCGTCCGCCAAGACGCACGTGTAATCATCGACCGCGTCGGAACATCACCAGGCCGGTGTGCGCATCTCCGTCATGAATTGAAAACGAAAGACAAAGCCTCAGCCCTTGTGATTGTTGCCACGCAACTCAAACCGCGGACCATAGAGTGACCCACTTGTAGTGTAGCGCTCCTTCAAGGAGGAGGAGGAGGGAGGAGGGGGAGGAGGGGGAGGAGGGGGAGGAGAGGAGGGGGGGAGGGGGGAGGGGGGAGGGAGGAGGAGGGAGGAGGGGGGAGGGGGGAGGAGGTTCCACATTGGTACTTAGCTCCTGAAAATAATCTTCTGCCATACACGGTAATATAAAATGAATAGAGGCTATCACCAGAGTAAATATCTGTGAGGCAGCCCAGGCACAGGATTCCCAACCACTTCCGGTGGCTGGGGAACTTCTCACATTGACATGTCAATCTCTCTCACATTAACATGTCAATCTCTCACATTAACATGTCAATCTCTCTTACAGTGACATGTCAATCTCTCACATTAACATGTCAATCTCTCACATTAACATGTCAATCTCTCACATTGACATGTTAACACCTCGCATTAACATGTCAATCTCTCTCACAATAACATGTCAATACCTCACATTAACATTTCAATCTCTCTTACAGTGACATGTCAATCTCTCACATTAACATGTCAATCTCTCACAATAACATGTCAATCTCTCACATTAACATGTCAATCTCTCACATTAACATGTCAATCTCTCACAATAACATGTCAATCTCTCACATTAACATGTCAATCTCTCACATTGACATGTCAATACCTCACATTAACATGTCAATACCTCACATTAACACGTCAATCTCTCACATTAACATGTCAATCTCTCACATTAACATGTCAATACCTCACATTAACATGTCAATCTCTCACATTAACATGTCAATACCTCACAGTAACATGTCAATACCTCACATTAACATGTCAATCTCTCACATTAACATGTCAATACCTCACATTAACATGTCAATCTCTCACATTAACACGTCAATCTCTCACATTAACATGTCAATACCTCACATTAACATGTCAATCTCTCACATTAGCATGTCAATACCTCACATTAACATGTCAATCTCTCACATTAACATGTCAATCTCTCACATTAACACGTCAATCTCTCACATTAACATGTCAATCTCTCACATTAACATGTCAATCTCTCACATTAACATGTCAATACCTCACATTAACATGTCAATCTCTGACATTAACATGTCAATACCTCACAGTAACATGTCAATACCTCACATCAACATGTCAATCTCTCACATTAACATGTCAATACCTCACATTAACATGTCAATCTCTCACATTAACACGTCAATCTCTCACATTAACATGTCAATACCTCACATTAACATGTCAATCTCTCACATTAGCATGTCAATACCTCACATTAACATGTCAATCTCTCACATTAACACGTCAATCTCTCACATTAACATGTCAATCTATCTCACATTAACATGTCAATACCTCACATTAACATATCAATCTCTCACATTAACATGTCAATACCTCACATTAACATGTCAATACCTCACATTAACATGTCAATCTCTCACATTTACAATGTCAATCTCTCTCACATTAACATGTCAATCTCTCACATTGACATGTCAATACCTCACATTAACATGTCAATCTCTCACATTAACATGTCAATCTCTCACATTAACATGTCAATACCTCACATTAACATGTCAATCTCTCACATTAACATGTCAATCTCTCACATTAACATGTCAATCTCTCACATTAACATGTCAATCTCTCACATTAACACGTCAATCTCTCACATTAACATGTCAATACCTCACATTAACATGTCAATCTCTCACATTAACATGTCAATCTCTCACATTAACACGTCAATCTCTCCAATTAACATGTCAATCTCTCACATTAACATGTCAATCTCTCACATTAGCATGTCAATCTCTCACATTAACATGTCAATCTCTCACATTAGCATGTCAATCTCTCACATTAACATGTCAATCTCTCACATTAGCATGTCAATCTCTCACATTAACATGTCAATCTCTCACATTAGCATGTCAATCTCTCACATTAACATGTCAATCTCTCACATTAACATGTCAATACCTCACATTAACGTCGCGATTACATTTATTTTATTTTATACCTACGTGACTTTACCGAAAGAAATTTCGATTGAAATCTTTCGTGACCGCAGGTGATTCACATTCTTGGTTCTTTCGGTAAAGGCACCACCACGTAGAAGGGAAACAATAAAATAATAATAAGTGAAAATTTTAATCCCCCCTCCCCCTTCGCACGTGATGGTCGTACAAGTTACGTCATCACATCAACGATGCAGGAGAATTTCTCCACCAATCAGGCTGTCGCCTGATGAAGATAGTTGTAATTACAGGCGAAACGTCGTACACAGATTGTAAATGTTGTGGATTTGCTCTCCAACGCACCGGTGTGCTGTATTAGTAACGAATTTGCATGTTCTGTTTACGTGACAAACCTTACTAATTGGCTGTTGTCGGGTGATGGCGGGTTTAACAACCCATTAAGATTTAAATTTTGATTTAAAGCTTTCGTGACTGCAGGTGATTCATATTTCTTGGTTCTTTCGGTAAAGTCACCACCACGTAGAAGGGAAACAATAAAGTAATACAAATATAAAACAATGAAATTCTCACGACGTTTCCGATTGCAACACAAGCAATCATCATCAGGTGTGAAAACCACAGCAAGAAAATTCGAAGAAAATAAACGCCACTTTTAAAATAAAAAAAATTCTTGCTGTGGTTTTCACACCTGATGATGATGATTGCTTGTGCTGCAATCGAAACGTCGTGAGAATTTTATTGTTTTATATTTGTATTATTGCCCTTCTACGTGACTTTACCGAAATAACCAAGGAGTAGCGGCTACTGCATCCGTCTGTACCCTTCAGGCTGATGAACACAACTTTTTTTTACTTTGTACAGTTCCGGCGATATCGCACAACTCTGTCTGCTCGAGCACTTTATGAGGTCGTGCTTATCATGATCATGATTATTATTTTCATTATTACTACCACACACCGTAAGCGCTTGCCACAAATGAGCCACAACATCTTGCTGATCTCATTGAGGAGCATAAACCATCATGCGAACTCTGATCATCCTCGGTCCGGAACACTTCCTGGCGATATTACCGAGCGGATGGAGGCCATGCACTTGTAAATCCTCTCGAGCCACACTTGAAGAGCTGCAATGCGTGTGAATAGGTACACAACGTCACGAAGTCGTCCGTAGAGAGACGCATGCGGTTCCGGATCTGCAGATTGCCAGCCCCTGATTTAGATTGAGTTAAGTTTGTGCTGTCTGTCCTTCCCCCGCAGCTCCCGATTAGCGCGGTTGGCTGCGTATGGCGCAAAAGAAGTTCAACATAGACATGATGATGGTGGTGGTGGTGGTGATGTACCTGCATGATGAGGGAGTGGGGCATGCTGATGCGGCCATCTGGAACGCTCTTTCGATATCACGAAGCCACTGGAGCTATGCACTTTTAAACCATCGAGCTTGAAAACATTATTATTTTTGTTTGTTTTAACCGCTGCGTTTTGAGTTTTAGTTTGCTGTCCTTCCCCCGCAGCTCCCGATTAGCGCGGTTGGCTGCGTACGGCGCGAAAGAAATTCGAACACACTTCCTTACACTGCCCTCCGGGGAACCCCCAGTCCCTCGTGTCGTGCTCTCTCCTCTTGCCCTCGCTCCCCGAGCCTCTCCTGCTGTGCCGCGCCGTTTCCTATCGTCCTCCATTAACTCTCCCCTGGCTCGCTCCTGTTTCCATCATCCCTACCTACCCCCACCTACGACCATCTCGTATCGATCGACGCCCACCTGTTACGTAATCGCTCCTCGGGCCACTGAATCGGTACAGGGTGATCCTGATGTCTTGCGGCTCCCCATGTGATCCTCTAACGCAGTGGTCCCTCACTCATTTGCGGAGTGGATGGTTCTGAGTGAGCGACGTCACACATTAGAAACCAATGGGGGGTTTGTAACAGCAGCACTATGATGATGCAGGGGGTGGGGAGGGGGGGTGTCTGTGCTTTGTCAGGGGCCTGCATTAAAGGCCACCAGCGGGCCACCAGCGGGCCACCAGTGGCCCACCGGTGGCCTTGTAATGAAGAACACCGCTCTGAAGCTTAACATTGTATTTTAAGTGACGTTCACAACAACAACAACAAAATGTAATGCAAGGGAGCAAAAAATGCTAGGGGTCAGTTAATTGGGTGGTCACAAGACATGTCGACCACCCTGTACACCCTCTCTCGTGATCAAATACGGCAGTGGAACATATCCACTGATTGTACTGATCATTGATTGATACGTGCCCCGCCCCCCCGCGCCCCCCTCCCCCCTACGTGTGTGCGTCACCATTTTATTTATTTATTTTTACAGCCACTACAAGGTTGGAATCAAAAGTGGATATTCATATTCGAGCTGAATTGATTCCAGCAGGCGCGTGTGTGCGCGTCTTACTTTCAACGTATTGAATAACGCCGCAGTTCAAGAGAGCAAACTTTCAAAATTGCCGAGGAATCACCAAGCTGGAATGTAACGGCCGGGGGTGGCGGCGAGCCGGCGCGACTAGCAACTATCCAAGCTCTGCGGTCCTCTCTACATTAAGGCGTTTTCAAACGAACTGAGCGAGTCGCCTGTTGAAACGGGTTTGCACGTCGAGTAAAAACACGCGCGTGCAGTGGAGGCCAACACTCCGGGTTCCTTGCCTAGGCGCTCCGGTTCCCACCCGCGCGTGGTGGCGAGATGTTAACTACCTCGCCTGGTACACGTGGTGGCCGCGGCTTCGATCCCGACCCTGACGACTGCACGCTTGTGGTTTGTGCGCTCTCTCCCCGTGGTCGCGTGGATTTTTCTCTGGGTCCACCGGTGTGTGTGTGTGTGTTTGTTACCCTTCACGTTTAGAATCAACATGACGCGTGTCGAGTGTCTTTGGCTGCTATGCGTTTCCACGTGGTCGGCCACTTCGTTGAGCTATCACTTGTGGCCAGGTCACCTCCGGAAAGGAGCTCATAGAGATAGCTCAGTGGGCCTTACCTGGTTCAATGCAAACAAGCAAACTGGCTTAAGTAGTACATCATTAAATGTCTGCCAATCCTCAAGGATTCTATAAATAGTGCGCAACGCGTGGCGTGCGCACAGCCGCGGCTTTAGAAATTTCCACCAGATGCCACGAGCTCGATTAATTAAAACCTCCCCGTTGGCTCATCCCACCGGACCCCCCCCCCCCCCCCCCCCCCGGAGTGTCGAACGTCCGTGGGTGGAACACAATCGCCGTCAATTAGCTGCGACGCGGCGATGACAGCTCAGCCAGGTGTGAACCCGGAACGTCGACACGACGGAGAGTCTCAAGGGGGTAAGCGGAGGCCCAGCGAGCTTGGCACAAGAGTCGACGCAATTTGTTTACACTGCAGGAATCCGATGAGGTGTGAAGCTCTTTTTTTTCTTTCACAGACGTCCAGTGAGGACAGGTCAGAACGGTAGAACAAACAATGAAAAAGCACGATAGGAGTGCAAAGTATCTAGGAAAGGTAATCACGTCACTTTAAACTATAGGAATGCAACGAAAAATTGCTTTTTTTCTTACCGGGTAACCCCAACTAAGGCTATTAGATTATTATTTTCTGAAGCGACCTGGCCACGAATGATAGCTCAACGAATCGGCTTATCATGCTCGGGGTACTGTTGACCTATTGGGCCTCCTGCAATAGAGGGAGTCTCTCAGGAGAGCCCACTCTACCCCAGAGGGATATTCGGCCTACTCTTCCACATCTGTGAAAATAGAGCTTCATAGCTCATCGGATTCCTCCAGGATGAATGGAGGTTCGTAGAATAGGTGGGCGTTATCCACACTCTTTATCCTATATTGTGATTGTGTTAAAACAAAAAAGTGCGTCTTATAATCCGGTAGCTGTGTGTGACCAGATGGACGTAACTTTATCGGGTACGTCTTCTCATACCATGTCAACCCATACGGTTTATCCCGTATTCGTGTACAGGGAAGTTGAGTTTTCAGGTTCATACGGTGTGCAGCCGTTTCAATATGGGCAAAAAAGTGTCTGTTTGTGTTTCTCCATTGTGATGGGACTTTGTAGGATGAACGTTGAGATTTATAAGGGCCACGGGGTGACCAATGAGGTCTGAATTGGTCTGTAATAATGTAGTGACACTGATAAGGGGTTGACAGGTAAGTGAATTGGTCTGTAATAATGTAGGACACTGATAAGGGGTTTACAGGTAAGTGAATTGGTCTGTAATAATGTAGGACAGTGATAAGGGGTTGACAGGTAAGTGAATTGGTCTGTAATAATGTAGGGTCACTGATAAGGGGTTGACAGGTTTGTGAATTGGTCTGTAATAATGTAGGGTCACTGATAAGGGGTTTACAGGTAAGTGAATTGGTCTGTAATAATGTAGGGTCACTGATAAGGGGTTCACAGGTAAGTGAATTGATCTGTAATAAGGTAGGACACTGATAAGGGGTTGACAGGTAAGTGAATAGGTCTGTAATTAGGGGTCGTCCATAAATGACGTCACGCGATTCTGGACGATTTTTTTACCCCCCTCCCCCCTCGTCACACGGCGTCATAAAAAGTCAGACCCCCCCTTAAATATGACGTCACAAAGCTCTGCCCCCCCAAAAAAAATCCATTTTGAAAATAAAACATGCTTCAAATCGCTTTAAACTATTGTCATTGTAGTGCGTATTTAATGTGGCGCTGCACGCTGATGTTGTAGGAGTGTTGTTATAACAATTAGTGTTGTTATAACAATTAGTGTTGTTATAACAATTAGTGTTGTTATAACAAGTAGTGTTGTTATTACAATTAGTGTTGTTATAACAAGTAGTGTTGTTATTACAATTAGTGTTGTTATAACAAGTAGTGTTGTTATAACAATTAGTGTTGTTATAACAATTAGTGTTGTTATAACAATTAGTGTTGTTATAACAAGTAGTGTTATAACAATTAGTGTTGTTATAACAAGTAGTGTTATAACAAGTAGTGGTGTTATAACAAGTAGTATTGTTATAACAATTAGTGTTGTTATAACAAGTAGTGTTATAACAATTAGTGTTGTTATAACAATTAGTGTTGTTATAACAATTAGTGTTGTTATAACAAGTGGTGTTGTTATAACAAGTAGTGTTATAACAATTAGTGTTGTTATAACAATTAGTGTTGTTATAACAATTCTATATTTTTGATTTAAAGCTTTCGTGACTGCAGTGATTCATATTCTTGGTTCTTTCGGTAAAGTCACGTTGTTTCCCTTCAACGTGACTTTACCGAAAGAACCAAGAATATAATTCTATATTTATTTAAAGTTGCGCATTTTGATGTGACGTCACATTTCTCAAGACTCCCCCCACCCACCTCGTCACACATCGTCACAAATGTCTGACCCCCCCCCCCTCCTCCTCTCCCCCCAGGTGCGTGACGTCATTTATGACCGGCCACCCAAGGCACAGTGCAAGTTGATTGCCTTGTCCGCAGAAACACCGACTTCGTGTTCTCAATAAAGTTATTCTCTTCCTCACACCCTCCTCTCCCGCCTACGCCGTGGTGTCAATAAAGTTGTTGTCGGCTTCGCGAGGACCCCCACCGCGTGCGCGCAGGTGGCCGCGGCGCTGCCTGCGCGCGGCCACGTTGAGCGGCGCCGATCGCTGTGCCACTAACTACCGCGGTGATCATTTATTGACCCCGTCCATCCTTCCTCCCGGTGGTTAATCAATGATTAACAGCGCCGCGTATGGACGTTAGGTTACATAACGCGGCGCTGGTTTCCCGTCAAAAGTGCTCAAAGGCGGCGGGGGGCGGGGCGGGGGGGTTGTTTTTTTGTTTTTGCCGACTCGACGTTCGTGCTGTTTGTTGCTGGCCGGCTGGGGAGTCGTCGGCGGTGACGCGACACGACTGCACCGGCTCGTCACGCGCCACGGTTCGTCTCTCGCTCGCTCACGCGCACGTGCTCTGAATGAGGGCCATGCCCCGAAACGTCGGACGTGTCCGACGTTGTGTGGTCGTCGTGCGCACGTGATGCACAGCTGCCTCTTTTACACGGGCAACACAACGTCTTTGATTGTGTTACAGTCAACACAACGTCTTTGATTGTGTTACAGTCAACACAACGTCTTTGATTGTGTTACAGTCAACACAACGCCGTTGATTGTGTTACACGGGCAACACAACGTCTTTGATTGTGTTACAGTCAACACAACGCCGTTGATTGTGTTACAGTCAACGCAACGCCGTTGATTGTGTTACAGTCAACGCAACGTCTTTGATTGTGTCACACAGTCAACACAACGCCGTTGATTGTGTTACAGTCAACGCAACGCCGTTGATTGTGTCACACGGTCAACACAACGTCTTTGATTGTGTTACAGTCAACACAACGCCGCTGATTGTGTTACAGTCAACACCACGCCGCTGATTGTGTTACAGTCAACACCACGCCGCTGATTGTGTCACAAAGCCCTTGAGTCCTCTGCCGTGTCTTTGTGGGAGGTGCGTCGTTTCGGCCACTTGCAACACCTCTGGGGCCGGTTCCACGTTCAGTGCCTCATCAGCAGGGTCGGCCTTGAACCAATAAGATTAAATACCCTCAGTGAAGGCGCTCCATGTGGTAACTCGGAGATGAAACTGAGTTCGTTCCAACACCGAATCGTTCCAACACCGAATCAATTTCCCCCATAAGAATGAATGGAAGTAGCGTTGATTGGTTGCCCACCCAAGGATGCTCCCGTTATGGGCCATTTTTTACACGAAGCTTACAACATCAAAATACGGTGCAGTGCGTAAAAAGCACGCAAAAAAACATTAACCAAGAAACCGCAGCTATATAATTAATAGAATAATCGAACATTGAACTTCACTGTACCTGCAGTAAGGAGAGTGGATGGCTTGAGTGGCACTCACGCTGCTGCTGACTCACTCACACATCATACACTCACTCACTCACACATCATACACTCACTCACTCATCATACACTCACTCACGCTGCTGCTGACTCACTCACACATAATTCACTCACTCACGCTGCTGCTGACTCACTCACTCATCATACACTCACTCACACATCATACACTCACTCACGCTGCTGCTGACTCACTCACACATCATACACTCACTCACTCACACATCATACACTCACTCACTCATCATACACTCACTCACGCTGCTGCTGACTCACTCACACATCATACACTCACTCACGCTGCTGCTGACTCACTCACTCATCATACACTCACTCACTCACACATCATACACTCACTCACGCTGCTGCTGACTCACACATCATACACTGAATAACACATCATACACTCACTCACACATCATACACTCACTCACGCTGCTGCTGACTCACTCACACATCATACACTGACTCACTCATCATACACTGACTCACTCACACATCATACACTGACTCACTCATCATACACTCACTCACACATCATACAATCACTCACGCTGCTGCTGACTCACTCACACATCATGCACTGACTCATGATACACTGACTCACTCACACATCATACACTGACTCACACATCATGCACTCACTCGCATATCATACACTCACTCACGCTGCTGCTGACTCACTCACACATCATACACTCACTCCCACTACCACTGACTCACTCACACATCATACACTCACTCACGCTGCAGCTGACTCACTCACACATCATACACTCACTCACACATCATACACTCACGCTGCTGCTGACTCACTCACACATCATACACTGACTCACACATCATACACTCACTCACGCTACTGCTGACTCACTCACACATCATACACTCACACATCATACACTCACTCACACATCATACACTCACTCACACATGATACACTCACTCACTCATCATACACTCACTCACACATCATACACTCACTCACGCTGCTGCTGACTCACTCACACATCATGCACTGGGAGTGTCGTGCTGCCAGTTATGGCTGCAGGTTTTTGTCGTAAGTGTTACGTATATCGTTTATTGTTAAATTTAAAATTACAGTTCCTATGATTACTGTTGTTACATTGTTTTTTTATAGCTTCATTTTGGCGATTCAAAAACATATGGTGAATCTAAATTGTCTTATAGTTGTTGTTGTTGTTGTTGGCTTGCACCACATTGTGATTTTTGCACACAGAGTTTTAATAAGTTTTTTTTTGCGCGTGTGGAATATTTGCTGGTTTATTCCAGGATGTCTCTGTTACGCCTTGTCGCTTTAAGATGCTCTGTGTTCAAATTTAGTTGGTTGCGGTTGCACCCGACTTAAGAGCCGCATGGCTCACAGGGCTATGCCTAAATAAATGAAAACTTGAAACTTGTGTGAAGGTGGTGAGGAGGAGGAGGTGTTACTCGCAAGGGGAGGCCCCCTCCATAAACACGCTGGGTAACTGCCCTTCTGGAATGATTTATTCTCTTTGACTTTTGTCGAGCACTAACTGTGATTCACTTGAGGGCCTTTTTTTTTACTAGAAACTGAGCAAGAGGGGATTGCTTCTGCCCCCGTTTTAAGATGTTTCTGAAATGACTCGATGCATCATCATTATACAATTTCTACAAAATTGTGTAACTCTGCCCATTTTGCCACCTTTGAAAAATATCTTTCGTGTAGAGTTTTTTAAAGTTGGAAATTGCCTGTTGGTCCGTGGGCTGGACGAGAGGAGTCGTATTTGGGGGGGGGGCAGGAACTTTACCGTGAGAAAGGATATAAAATAATTTTTTTTTGTCTAGGAAAGGACTGGGTTTGACATTCAGTGCGTCATTAGGGGACGTCCATGAATGACGTCACGTGATTTCGGACGATTTTTTTTACCCCCCACCCCCCGCGTCACACGGCGTCACAAAAAGTCAGACCCCCCCCCTCAAATATGACGTCACAAAGCTCTGCCCCCCCCACCCCCCAAAAAAACATTTACATTTTGAAAATAAAACACGCTTCAAATCGCTTTAAAACTATTGTCATTGTAGCGCGTGTTTAATGTGGCGCTGTACTCTTGATGTTGTAGGAGAAAACTTTTATTAAAAAAAGTCTACTTAATTAAGTAGAACGTATTCTTAGCTCTTTCGGTAAAGTCACGTTGAAGGGAAACAATAAAATAATAAAAAATATATATAAAACAATATTTTATTATTTTATTGTTTCCCTTCAACGTGACTTTACCGAAAGAGCTAAGAATATGAATGACTGCAGTCACGGAAGCTTTAAATCAACAATTTAAGTAAAACGTGTTGTCTGTATTTATTTATTCTATATTTTTTTTATTTAAAGTTTTCGTGACTGCAGTGATTCATATTTCGGTAAAGTGTCACGTTGTTTCCCTTCAACGTGACACTTTACCGAAAGAACCAAGAATATAATTCTATACTTATTTATGAAGCTGCGCATTTTGACGCGACGTCAAATTTCTCAACCACCTTAACCCCTCCCTCGTCACGCATCGTCACAAATGTCTGACCCCCGTCCAGGTGCGTGACGTCATTTATGGACGTCACCTCGGCCGGGTCGGGGCTCGTGTGAATCGACGCCGGTGACCTGCAGGATGTTCTCGGCAAGGACCCTCTCCCTGGGACGTGGGTCGCTCGCTCGCTCGCTCGCTCGCACGCAGGATGACGTCGCGCATCACAACACCAGCGGGTTCAGTCTTGACTTCAGTGTGTTGTCCTACCCCTCGCACCCGACAATTAGCTCGCTGAAGCGACATTCACGCGCGGGATACCCGCGTACGAAGGCACGGATCCCTCCGTGCGGCCTCCAAACAGACCGTCGGGGCAAGTGTGCTGTCGGCGAGCACCTAAGAAGGCGCACCAGGGGATGTGGTGTGTGACCAGTACCCCCCCCCCGCCGCCCGGACACCTTTGTCTCTAACCAGTTCTGAAGTTTACACACACCGCCGCAGGTACTGGTTTAAGGCTGAGTCAACCTAGAGGGGCGGGCGGGGGGGGGGGGGGGGGCGGGTGGCGGATGCCCAGCGCCGGTTCAAGTGCTGTCGGCGAGCACCTTTGAAGCCCTCTCCGATACGGCCTGCAACAAATCGCGTCTGTTAATTAAAAACAAAAAAAATCGACACCTAATTGACTGAAACCGAGAGCACCCTGAATCGTGACGAGAGTGGCGTGCAGGAGACAAAAAAAGGTCGACGAAGAATCACCCCTGCAGCCTTAACAGACTGTTGGGGCAAGTGCTGTTAGCGAGTAGCAGCACCTATGGTAGGCCGGCACGGCACACGAGGGGGTGGGTGGGTCCCCATGAACTATTGCAGCCACGAGCTTCCAACGGAAAGCTTGCTTGGGGTCGAAGGTCGGGTTTGAGTGTACGCGTGTTCACGTGTGTTCACGCGTTGGCCTTGGGGAGCGGTGGCGTAGCGGCGAGCGCACTGCGCTACGAACCCGGCGACCCAAGTTCGATTACCGCTCACGGCCAACGCCGGTGACGATTATCTGAACCGGTCCTGGGATTCCCCTAGGTCGACTCAGCCTCAAATGAGTAGCTGGTGCGGTGTGTAGACATCGCCACCGGGGAGACAAAGGCGGCCGGGCGTGGTGCTGGCCACCCACCACCTTCGTGCGCCGTTTAGGCCTTCATAGGTGCTGCTCGCTAACAGCAGCACTTGCCCCTACAGTCCGTTAAGGCTACACGGGGGATCTTTGTGTGTGGGGAGCTGTGGTGCAGTGGTTAGCACTGCACTGCACTGTGAACCCGGCGAACCGAGTTCAGTTCCCGCTCACGACCAATGTCAGTTGCTAATGTTCGAACTGGGCCTCCCCGCGGTCGACTCAGCCTGAAATGAGTTACCTCTGTGTAAAACATCACCACTCGGGAGACAAAGACGGCCGGGCCCCTCGGCCTTGGTGGACGCTACTCGCCCTCAACAGCCCGCTAAGGCCTACACGGTGGGGGGGGGGGCCGCTGGTCACCTCTGTCTCTCGTCCGCGCACGGCAGGCGCCCGCGGGAGCATGGAGACGCGCTGGGACGGCGGGAAGGGTGGCGCAGAGGCGGCGTCCCCTGGGTGCGAGGGGTCGCAGCGCCGCACGGGAGGGGAAGGAGGAGGCGGCGGAGGCGGCGGAGGCGGCGGAGGTGGAGGAGGCGGAGGAGGCGGAGGAGGCGGCGGAGGCGGAGGAGGCGGAGGAGGCGGCGGAGGCGGAGGAGGCGGCGGAGGCGGCGGAGGCGGCGGAGGCGGCGGCGGCGCGGCACGGGCGCCGTGGAAGCTGAGAGCAAGGGACGCCGCCCGGTGCCCTCCGCACGGATGCCTTGCCCGCCTCGCCACCACGGGTAAGGAGATGGCGACTCGTCGCCACGACAACGATGACGACGAGTCGTCGCCGTGACGACGCCGGTGAGTTGTCACGACCTTGGATGACGAGATGAGGAGTCGTCGCCACGACGACGATGACGACATTGAGTCGTCGTCGTGATGACACTGATGAGTTGTCACGACCTTGGATGACGAGATGACGAGTCGTCGCGACGACAATGACGACGACATTGAGTCGTCGCCGTGACGACGGCGATGAGTTGTCACGACCTTGGATGACGAGATGACGAGTCGTCGCCACGACAACGATGACGACATTGAGTCGTCACCACGACGACACTGATGAGTTGTCACGACCTTGGATGACGAGATGACGAGTCGTCGCGACGATGACGACATTGAGTCGTCGCCGTGACGACGCCGGCGAGATGACGAGCTTTCGCGACCACTCGTCACCGTCGCCGTGACGAAGGTGACGAGTGGTCGCGGTCACGGCGATGACGATTCGTCGCGAGGATTACGAGCACTGACTTCTCCTTTCGTACCGGAGCGACAGGAACATTGAGCAGGCCGTACGGGGGGGACGACCGGGCGAACGTGCGAGCACGTGCAGTCGCGTGCTCGTTACCGTTGCAGGATTGACCGCTCGGCATCGAGCTGTGATGGTGGTGGTGGTGACCCAAGGGGTTTGCGATGCGGTGGAACTCGACGTGTTCACGCGCGCGCGCGAGAGACTCGCGTTCGTGAGCTCTCGTCCCCTGGCGTCCACGGTCCCGACTGTCCTTCATGACTTTGCCGTGCGGCTGCTGGAGATGCCGAGCAGCAGCCACAACCGACGTCACGTTCGAGTGGTCGAGCCAGATAACGTCGTCAAGGGCCAGCCGAGTGTATCGCCGTGACGACGCCTCCTTCATATTTGTGGATCGAGACGTCCGTACGGCGGGCTCTGTCCTGGATGAGACCAGTCGCACACCGCTGGAGCTCTCTCTCTCTCTTTATTGAACTCCTATTAGTCTGCGGGAGCGGCAGTGTAGCGATTAGCGCGCTGTGCTACCACACACACACGCACGGCGACCTGAGTTCAATTCCCGCTCGCGGCCACCAATGCCAGCGCTGGCGATTTTCTGAGCCGGTCGTGAGCCTCCCCTAGGTCGACTCAGCCTCAAAGCACCACTTGGGAGACGAATGCGGCCGGCTGGCCCTGCGGCTGTTTCCTCGCCAGCGACCCTACCCCCACCACACCCCCCACCCCTCCCCATATTTTATTCGGATTGTAGTACTGTACTCACCCTCCCCGTCTCTCCCTCCTGCTGTCCTGTGACCCCCTGCGTCTCCCCCCGCGTCCGTCCCACCTCCCCTCTACCTCCCTCGATCCCCCCCGCCCGCCCCCCTAGTGCTGGCCGTGCTGCTGGTGTGGGCTGTGCCGCTCTCCGTGCTGGGAGCGGACGTCTTGCCCGGGGGCAACGTCTTCGGCCTGCTGCTGCTCCTCCTCAGCTCCATGCTGGCCGGAGCCTTGCTCGCCCACGTCCGGCTGCCCGGCGTTCCGCCCATCCCTCCGCTCCTCGGTAACGTCGCGAATGGGAACAGTCCTCCCACCTCCCACCCCTCTCCCCTCCCCGGAGTGCCAACATCGAGTCCTGCCGAGTCTGGACGCGTGGACAATCTCGCAAAGACAAAGGCCCCCCGCGTAGCCTGCAACAGACCTTTTTGGAGCAAGTGCTGTTAGCCATCAGCGCCTATGAAGGCCGGCACGGCACACGCCTCCCCAAAAAAGTGTCTTACGAACAAAAGTGTTCAGGGGAGGATGTGAAATGGGCTTGGCGCCGGCACAAACACGTTACGGATTACATTTCAGTGGGGACCTGTCGACACCCAATGTCGCAGTGAACTCTACAACCCAGGTAAGCTCTGATACCCCTATAGGAGAAGACAAAAAAAAGGGAGGGGGCTTCGGTACCCATGGTTGAGGTTGAGTCGACCTAGGGGAGGCCCAGGAGCGGTTCAGATTAACCGTCGCTGGGGTTGGTGGCCGTGCGTGGGAATGGAACCCGAGTCGCCGGGGTCGGGAGCGCAACCTTTCCCCACATTTCATACACACGGGGACACACACACACGTGTGTATGTGTCCGTGTGTATGTAAGTAAACACACACACACACACGTGTGTGTATGTAAGTAAACATACACACAAACGCGTGTGTGTATGTTGCTGCGCTATGAACCCGGCGACACGGATTCGATTCCCGCTCACGGCCAACACCAGTGACGATTATCTGAACCGGTCCCGGGCCTCCCCTAGGTCGACTCAGCCTCAAATGAGTACCTGGTGCGGTGTGTAAACATTGCCACTAGGGAGACAAAGGCGGTCGGGCGTGGTGCTGGCCACCCACCCCCTCGTGTGTACCGTTCCGGCCTTCATAGGTGCTCGCTAACAGCACTTGCCCCTACAGCCTGTTAAGGCTACACGGGGGATCTTTGTATCTTTGTGTTTACATACAAAGGCGGAGTGACCTCTCGCTGCTGCTCACACGCCAGAGCCGGTGGCGGAGATTCCACGTTGGGGTTTGCGTGTCAAGATCGGCCTCTGTGGAGGAGGCTCGTGAAGGACGCTACTGGGCAGTTGGAGGCAGTCGCCCTCCAACAACAACGGAGGGCGGAGGAGCGACGCTCAGAACAACGAGCGGAGCGCCGGGTGGCTAAAGCACAGCAGGTTGGCACAGTAGGGGGCACAGGTGGTGCATCAGCCAGTCATCTCAGTCAGTCGACCCGTGGCACCTGCTGGGTCTGCCCCGTGACCTCCTGCCAGCGGGCGTTCGACACTTCACGTGGCCTCACGGTGCACATGGCCTGGCACAAGCGTCGTGGTGACGTCACCGCCACTTAGTGGCGAATGGCGGTGGTTGTTGTTGTTGTTGTTGTGTGTGTGTGTGTGAGTTGTCGTCGCCTGCTCTCTGGAGTTGTCACCCTGGTTGGACGTGGTCACGTGGGGGCCCAGGGATGCTGCTGATGGGCTTCGCACTGAAGAACGTGCCGGGCCAGCTGGTGGACGGCATCGCTCAGGAGTGGTCGTCGGCGCTGAGGAGGGCGGCGCTCACCGTGATCCTGATGCGTGCCGGCCTGGGACTCGATCCACAGGTGACCGCGGCCCAGCTAGGTTCGACTCCCGGCCGGGGCCAGCACGGACTCGCGTGGCGCACGCTCGCGAGCGCGGGCACACACTCACGCACTGGCATACACTCGCACACTGGCACACTGGCACACGCTCGCGAGCGCGGGCACACACTGGCACACTGGCACACACTCACACACTGGCACATGCTCGCGAGCACACACACACACACTCACACACTGGCACACACTCACACACTGGCACATGCTCGCGAGCACACTCACACACTGGCACACACTCACACACTGGCACATGCTCGCGAGCACACACACACTCACACACTGGCACACGCTCACACACTGGCACATGCTCGCGAGCACACACACACTCACACACTGGCACACGCTCGCGAGTACACACACACACTCACACACACTGGCACACACTCGCGAGCACACACACTCACACACTGGCACACGCTCACACACTGGCACATGCTCGCGAGCACACACACACGCTCGCACACTGGCACACTCACACACACACACTCACATACTGTCACACGCTCACCAGCACACACACACTCACACACTGGCACACACTCACACACTGGCACATGCTCGAGAGCACACACACACGCTCGCACACTGGCACACTCACACACACACACTCACATACTGTCACACGCTCACCAGCACACACACACTCACACACTGGCACACGCTCGCTACACGGGGGAACTTTGCCTGCGTTGTTGCCGCAGTCTCTGAGGAGGCTCAAGGGCGTGTGTGTGCGCCTCTCCGTGCTGCCCTGCCTGGTGGAGGCTGTCTCCGTCGGGGTGACCGCCCACTTCCTCCTCCACCTGCCCTGGGTGTGGGGGTTCATGCTGGGGTAGGTGACCCACCGGCTAAGCGGCGGCATCCCCCTCTCGCCCAGAACCCGTCGCAGCTCAAGTACAGAGAGAGCGGCGGGCCATTCCAAATATAAATGATGATCCGGAACTCGCTGATTCACTCACCGGGGGTCAGGTGCCTCCCTATCACTCTTCTGTTGCTAGTCCTACTACTACTACCGTGGTTACTGTTCTCATGAACTTCACTCATTGATTGCTCTCCCTGGGGTTGAGGACTCGGGATAGCAGACACTGACTGTGTCATCTCATCCACCACACTGCCTTCAACCACCACCACCACCACCACGCTGCAGGTCACACGAACACACTCGCCCACCCACTCATCCACCCACTTATCCACTCACTCACCCACCCACTCACTCATCCATTAACTCACCCACTCACCCACCTATTCACCCACTCACTCACTCACCCACTCACTCATCCATTAACTCACCCACTCACCCACCTATCCACTCACTCACCCACCCACTCACTCATCCATTAACTCACCCACTCACCCACCTATTCACCCACTCACTCACCCACTCACTCATCCATTAACTCACCCACTCACCCACCTATTCACCCACTCACTCACTCACCCACTCACTCATCCATTAACTCACCCACTCACCCACCTATTCACCCACTCACTCACTCACCCACTCACTCATCCATTAACTCACCCACTCACCCACCCATTGACCCACTCACTCACCCACTCACGTATCCACTCACCCACCCATTCACCCACTCAATCATCCACTCACCCACTCACCCACCCACTCACCCACTCATTCGCCACACTGCCGTGGTGGTGCCCTCCATGCCCTGTGTGTGTATGTGCCCTCCACGACACAGCTGCGTGCTGGGCGCAGTGTCCCCGGCCGTGGTGGTGCCCTCCATGCTGGCTCTGCAGGAGCGAGGGCTGGGCACGGAGCAGGGCATCCCCACGCTGCTACTCGCCGCTGGCAGTGTGGACGACGTTCTCGCCATCACGGGCTTCAACGCCTGCCTCTCCAGCGCCTTCTCCACAGGTCTGTGTGTGTCTGTGTGTGTGTCGTCTGTGTGTGTGTGTGTGTGTCTGTGTGTCGTCTGTGTGTGTGTCGTCTGTGTGTCTGTGTGTGTGTATTTGTGTGTGTCTGTGTGTCGTCTGTGTGTCTGTGTGTGTATATTTGTGTCTGTATTTGTGTGTGTCTGTGTGTGTGTATTTGTGTCTGTATTTGTGTGTATATTTGTGTGTATTTGTGTGTATTTGTGTGTATTTGTGTGTGTATTTGTCTGTGTGTGTCGTCTGTGTGTCTGTGTGTGTGTCTGTGTGTGTGTATTTGTGTGTGTATTTGTGTGTGTATTTGTGTGTGTCTGTGTGTGTGTCTGTGTGTGTGTATTTGTGTGTGTATTTGTGTGTGTATTTGTGTGTGTCTGTGTGTGTGTATTTCTGTGTGTGTGTATTTGCGTCTGTATTTGCGTGTTTATTTGCGTCTGTATTTGTGTGTGTATGTGTGTGTGTCTGTGTGTGTGTCTGTGTGTCTGTGTGTGTGTATTTGTGTGTGTATTTGTGTGTGTATTTGTGTGTGTATTTGTGTGTGTATTTGTGCGTGTATTTGTGCGTGTATTTGTGCGTGTATTTGTGCGTGTATTTGTGCGTGTATTTGTGCGTGTATTTGTGTCTGTATTTGTGTCTGTATTTGTGTATTTGTGTCTGTATTTGTGTCTGTATTTGTGTCTGTATTTGTATTTGTGTTTGTATTTGTGTGTGTATTTGTGTGTGTATTTGTGTCTGTATTTGTGTGTGTATTTGTGTGTGTATTTGTGTGTGTATTTGTGTGTGTATTTGTGCGTGTATTTGTGCGTGTATTTGTGTCTGTATTTGCGTGTGTATTTGCGCGTGTATTTGTGCGTGTATTTGTGCCTGTATTTGTGTCTGTATTTGTGTCTGTATTTGTATTTGTGTTTGTATTTGTGTGTGTATTTGTGTGTGTATTTGTGTCTGTATTTGTGTGTGTATTTGTGTGTATTTGTGTGTATTTGTGTCTGTGTGTGTCTGTGTGTGTGTCTGTCTGTATTTGTGTCTGTCTGTGTGTGTGTATATGTGTGTGTATATGTGTGTGTATTTGTGAGCGGCGGCGTAGCGGTGAGCACACTGCGCTACCAACCTGAGGGCCCGAGTTCGAGTTCCTCACAGCCACGAACACCTGGTGCGGTGTGCAAACATCGCCACTGGGGAGACAAAGGCGGCCGGGCGTGGTGCTCTGCTCCCACCCCCTTGTGTGCTGTGCCGGCCTCTATAGGTGCTTGCTAACAGCACTTGCCACCAACAGTCTGTTTGGGCTCTATGGGGGATTTTTGTCTTTGTACTGTGTGTCTGTGTGTAGCGGTTAGCGCTTCGCTGCACTATGAACCCGGCGACCCGGGTTGGATTCCCGCTCACGGCCAACACCGGTGGCGATTATCTGAACCGGTCCCGGGCCTCTCCTAGGTCGACTCGGCCTCAAATGAGTACCTGGTGCGGTGTGTAAACATTGCCACTGGGGAGACAAAGGCGGTCGGGCGTGGTGCTGGCCACCCACCCCCTCGTGTACCGTTCCGGCCTTCGTAGGTGCTCGCTAACAGCACTTGCCCCGACAGTCTGTTAAGGCTATACGGGGGATCTTTGTTGTGTGTGTACGTGCGTGTGCGCATACGTACATATGCGTTTGTGTCTGTACGTATCCACGTGTGCATATATTGTGCGTGTGTATGCACGCGTGCATGTACGTGTGTGTCTGTGTGTACGTGTGTGTGTGTGTGTGAGTGCGTGCCACAGTAGGGGGCAGAGGTGGTGCATCTGCCAGTCATCTCAGTCACTCAACCCATGGCACCTGGGTCTGTTCCGTGACCTCCTGCCAGCGGGCGTTCGACGCTTAGCTTGGCCTTAAAGTGCACCTAGCCTGACACAAGCACCGTGGTGACGTCACCGCCACTTAGTGGCGTATGGCGGTTGTATGTATGCATGTTGAACTTCTTTCACACCGTACATGGCTAATCGGAGGGTATTGTGTCTGTGCGTCGTCGGGAGCGGTCACGTAGCGGCTAGCGCTACGAACCTGGCGAACCGGGTTCGATTCCCGCTCACGGCCAACACCAGTGACGATTATCTGAACCGGTCCTGGGTCTCCCCTAGGTCGACTCAGCCTCGAGTAAGTACCCGGTGCGATGTGTAACCATCGCCATTGGGGAGACAAAGACGGCAGGGGTGGTGTTGCCACCCACCCGTTTGTTGCTGTACCAGCCTTCATAGGTGCTCGCTAACAGCACTTTCTCCTACAGTCTGTTAAGGCTACATGGGGGATCTTTGTCTCTTTGTGGGGCGGTAGCACAGCAGTCAGCGCACTTCGCTGTAAACCCGGCGACCCAAGTTCGATTCCTGCTAACGGCCAATATGAGTGACGTAATGTCTGAACCGGTTCTGGTCCTCCCCCCCCACCGATTGCCGACTCGGCCTTCAATGGGCACGCTCGGTGCGGCGCGGTGCGTAAAAAAAAACATGGGCACTGGGGGGGAGAGACAAAGGCGGCCTGGGCGTGGCTCCGGCCACATCGCCGACTCGCCGCGCCGGCCGGCCTTCCATAGGCGCCGCTGCCGTTGCTCACCGACGGCACTTGCCCCTCGCAGCTCGCGCGGGGGGCCCGGGGTTACCTTCGCATGTCAATCTGCTGAACCTCGCTTGCACCGTACGTAGCTGATGGGAGGTGCCGCGTCGCCGCAGGCTCGTTGCTCTTCACGGTGCTGCGCGGGCCGCTGGAAATCGTGATGGGGGTCTTCTCGGGCCTGGCTCTGGGGCTCGTCCTCCGGTTCTTCCCGAGCCCCGACCAGGCGAGTGAACTTCCATCGCCCAGGCCGGCAAGGCCAGCCGCAGTCCCCCCTTATTTTAAAGTATATTTCTACTTTATTTTAACAAAACGCGAGCACGGTGCCGCACAGTTCGCACAACCAGACGTCACAGCAGGGGCAAAACGACCGATTTCAACGGGGTGGCTGTGCGAGATTCACGACTGTGGGCCGCACTCCATTCTCCCTGCTCACTTTTACTGAAATAGCTTCGGATGGTTTTTTTAACCCGTGGGCAATAATACACAGGCGGAAACGGTTTTATTTTAGTTGCACCGTGTGCAACTAAAATAAAAATAGAATAGAAATATTTGAAGGTTACAATTCTCACAATTTATCGTGCGTCTTGCTTTCATGCCTGACCCATTGGTCGAGGATTTCTTCAAAGCAGGTGGATTGTGCAACTTTTCGCTCTGGTGATACGATAGCAAACCTGTCAAACCCTAGTCAGTGTCCCTGCCTTATTACAGACCAATTCACAAACCTGTCAACCCATTATCAGTGTCCCTACATTATTACAGACCAATTCACAAACCTGTCAACCCATTATCAGTGTCCCTACATTATTACAGACCAATTCACTTACCTGTCAACCCCTTAACAGTGTCCCTACCTTATTACAGACCAATTCACTTACCTGTCAACCCATTATCAGTGTCCCTACCTTATTACAGACCAATTCACTTACCTGTCAACCCCTTATCAGTGTCACTACATTATTACAGACCAATTCACAAACCTGTCAACCCCTTATCAGTGTCCTACATTATTACAGACCAATTCACAAACCTGTCAACCCCTTATCAGTGTCCTACCTTATTACAGACCAATTCACTTACCTGTCAACCCCTTATCAGTGTCACTACCTTATTACAGACCAATTCACTTACCTGTCAACCCATTATCAGTGTCACTACCTTATTACAGACCAATTCACAAACCTGTCAACCCCTTATCAGTGTCACTACCTTATTACAGACCAATTCACTTACCTGTCTACCCCTTATCAGTGTCATACATTATTACAGACCAATTCACAAACCTGTCAACCCATTATCAGTGTCCTACATTATTACAGACCAATTCACTTACCTGTCTACCCCTTATCAGTGTCCTACCTTATTACAGTCCAATTCACTTACCCGTCAACCCCTTATCAGTGTCCCTACATTATTACAGACCAATTCACACACCTGTCAACCCGTTGTCAGTGTCCTACCTTATTACAGACCAATTCACTTACCTGTAAACCCCTTATCAGTGTCCTTACCTTATTACAGACCAATTCACTTACCTGTCAACCCCTTATCAGTGTCCCTACATTATTACAGACCAATTCACTTACCTGTCAACCACTTATCAGTGTCCTACATTATTACAGACCAATTCACTTACCTGTAAACCCCTTATCAGTGCCCTACATTATTACAGACCAATTCACTTACCTGTCAACCCCTTATCAGTGTCACTACATTATTACAGACCAATTCACAAACCTGTCAACCCCTTATCAGTGTCCTACATTATTACAGACCAATTCACAAACCTGTCAACCCCTTATCATTGTCCTACCTTATTACAGACCAATTCACTTACCTGTCTACCCCTTATCAGTGTCCTACCTTATTACAGTCCAATTCACTTACCCGTCAACCCCTTATCAGTGTCCCTACATTATTACAGACCAATTCACACACCTGTCAACCCGTTGTCAGTGTCCTACCTTATTACAGACCAATTCACTTACCTGTAAACCCCTTATCAGTGTCCTTACCTTATTACAGACCAATTCACTTACCTGTCAACCCCTTATCAGTGTCCCTACATTATTACAGACCAATTCACTTACCTGTCAACCACTTATCAGTGTCCTACATTATTACAGACCAATTCACTTACCTGTAAACCCCTTATCAGTGCCCTACATTATTACAGACCAATTCACTTACCTGTCAACCCCTTATCAGTGTCACTACATTATTACAGACCAATTCACAAACCTGTCAACCCCTTATCAGTGTCCTACATTATTACAGACCAATTCACAAACCTGTCAACCCCTTATCAGTGTCCTACCTTATTACAGACCAATTCACTTACCTGTCTACCCCTTATCAGTGTCCTACCTTATTACAGTCCAATTCACTTACCCGTCAACCCCTTATCAGTGTCCCTACATTATTACAGACCAATTCACACACCTGTCAACCCGTTGTCAGTGTCCTACCTTATTACAGACCAATTCACTTACCTGTAAACCCCTTATCAGTGTCCTTACCTTATTACAGACCAATTCACTTACCTGTCAACCCCTTATCAGTGTCCCTACATTATTACAGACCAATTCACTTACCTGTCAACCACTTATCAGTGTCCTACATTATTACAGACCAATTCACTTACCTGTAAACCCCTTATCAGTGCCCTACATTATTACAGACCAATTCACAAACCTGTCAACCCCTTATCAGTGTCATACCTTATTACAGATCAATTCACAAACCTGTCAACCCCTTATCAGTGTCATACCTTATTACAGATCAATTCACAAACCTGTCAACCCCTTATCAGTGTCATACATTATTACAGACCAATTCACTTACCTGTCAACCCCTTATCAGTGTCACTACATTATTACAGACCAATTCACAAACCTGTCAACCCGTTATCAGTGACCCTACATTATTACAGACCAATTCACTTACCTGTCAAACCCTTATCAGTGTCCTTACATTATTACAGACCAATTCACTTACCTGTCAACCCCTTATCAGTGTCCTACCTTATTACAGAACAATTCACAAACCTGTCAACCCCTTATCAGTGTCCTTACCTTATTACAGACCAATTCACTTACCTGTCAACCCATTATCAGTGTCCCTACCTTATTACAGACCAATTCACAAACCTGTCAACCCCTTGTCAGTGCCCCACGCCAATTTCTTCCAATCCGAGCCCCTGTGATTGGGGCTGAGCATATGCCTCAGCCAATTGACGACGCTCATTCATGAGCGTTTAGACCTTGACTGTTTTTTTTTAACATGTAATGCCTTCATTCGATGAACGCATTCAAAAACGTTCACCGAGGGACTACTGTATAGGGAACGGGGGGGAGAAAGAGGGGCGTGAGGAGGGGGAGGGAAGAAGGAAGAGGGGGAGTGGAGCTTTTAACAAACTGCGCGATTAAAACACCTTCATTTTTTTGGGAAATCACAAAGTTTTAGGTTCCCCTGTCGGGCGCGAGTCGCTACCCAAGTGCATGAGGGCACGCGAGAGGCTCGGTTCGCATCGTCTTCATGTCTGCAAGCGTTACCGTGACCCGCTTCCCGCTGTGTCATACACGGACGGACGGAGCTAATGTATGTGTTCACAATAAAAGTAATTTTGGGTCAGACCGCGTAAATGTGTCGTTAACCCACCACCACTCGACACAGCCAATTAGTAAGGTTTGTCATGTAAGCAAAACATGCCAATTTGTTACGAGTGTAGTGACGTAAATGGATTCACTGTGGCGTCTAGCGCCAGCTACTGTCACCAGAGTGGAACTACATCATTAGACCTCCTTTGCCAGTTCCAAAATATAATAATAATAATAGGGTTTTTCCCCTTTTTTCTGGAAACAAAACTGAAACCTTTTACAAGGATTCATGTCTGCATTAACCACAATACCTACAGTCAAAATGCAAACAGAAAACATACTATGAAAATATATGCATTGTCCTTGAAACTGATTGGTCCACACCAAGGGACGGCTTTCTTTTGAGCCTCGACCCAATTGATGCTCGACCAGATGACGCCAGAAGGCGTCACACAGCTCAAAGACAATGCACTATCAAAGTAATGAGGGCTCGGGGTGAGCATCTACATCATTAGACCTCCTTTGCCAGTACCAAAATGTAATAACAGGGTTTTTCCCCTTTTTTCTGGCAGCAAAACTGAAACCTTTTTACGAGGATTCATGTCTGCATTAACCACAATACCTGCAGTCAAAATGCAAACAAAAAACACACACTATGTGCTCGACCAAATGACGCCAAAAGGAGTACACCTTTTGGCGTCATCTGGTCGAGCACCAATTGGGTCGAGGCTCAAAAGAAAGCCGTCCCTTGGTGTGGACCAATCAGTTTCAAGGACAATGCCACATATATTATCATAGCGTGTTTTTTGTTTGCATTTTGACTGCTGGTATTGTGGTCAATGCAGTAACATGAATCCTCGTAAAAAAGATTTCAGTTTTGTTGCCGGAAAAAAGGGGAAAAACCCTTTTATTCTAAGAGTGGAACTGTGCGTCTTGGGCCTGGCACCAGGGTAGGCATGGCATGGAAGCGGGCCCCAGGGGGCGTGGTTCTGGTGACGGTCAGAGAGAGGCCGAGTGAGCACGTGACAGTCTGGGTGAAACCCGAGAGCGCACGTGACCAAGAGAGGGTAGCGAGGGGTGGGGGGGGGGGGCAAAGGGTGGCAAGAGGGACACGTGACATGAGGCCCAGGAAATTTTAGAAGGATCTAGAAGGGGGCGTGGCCGAGGTCGGAGCCAGCTCACGCTCAGGGGCATACAAGGGAAGTGCCGAGAGCCGATCCGGGCCGTCTGTTGGAATGGAACCCGTCGGTGCTGCGTCTCTTCGACCCTCGGTCTTCGGCCTTTACGCTGGGCATCGTGAGTCAGTCACTGTGTCACTGACTGACCCGGTTATGTAGTTACCCCGTTGTGGTCTAGTTAACCCAAGTGTACATTTATGCAGTGACCCTGTTGGGGTGTTATAATAATCGTGTTGCCTCCAGGTGCTAGTGTGTGAACCCACTAGACTAGCACAGCACACCGTTGTGTCGGAGAGAAACACACAATTCGAGTATGACGTTTCGCCGGTGATTACAACCGGCTTCACCGGGCGTACGGTGCGAAAGGATTTCGAACGTAGCCAACCGTTGCTTGCTTTGCCTTTTGCTCAGCGTGCCCAGTTTTCTCCAGGGCGAGTCTCTCGATCAATCAATCAATCAATCGGTCTTCATTTGACGCGTGCCAATATTACCCTCAATATAGTAGGCATCGGGTCACCGTTCCAATTGAACGGGACCCGCACGGGGGGGGGACGGAGCAAACCCGCCACATGTCACGACCTCGGCACCTAACGCCGACTGAGCGGAGTAAGATGAAGAGCAACGGTGCGCGACGCGTACGTAGCACAGCAAGAGTAAAAGGACGGCTGTGCACGAGAGTGTCGGTGCGTCTCGCTTCCTGAGAGAGTCACCGAGGTACTCCCACGTAACGGACCGAGTGGCCTCGTTGGAGAACGTTAAAAAAACAAACGGGGCAGCCCACAATCCGCCTGGCGCGCGACACTTCCACCCCCCCCCCCCCCGCCATGAATGTAATAGTGGCGTGGTCCCGGTAGGTTCCTTGATAGTTGCTAGGTAAGCGGAAAAGTCGTTGAACGATCATCGTTGTCCCATTGACTCCCATGTTGACAGTGTTCCACTCTTGAACAACTTTTAAACAGCACACAGAACACTTAGCGCACACACACACACACACACGAAGAGTCATAGTGCTCACAGGTGCCTGTTCTCAGCGTGTGTGGTTAATTAGCGCCACCCCTCCTTCCCACCCCCCCACCACTACCCTCCCACCCACTGCCCCCCCCCCCCACCCACCGCTCCCCCCCCCCACCCGCCCGCCCACCCCTCCCCATCAGTCATCCGAACGCAATCGGGAGAAAGACGTCATTGTACACGTTCGTCATGGTAACGGGAAACGGTTGATGTCTGTCGACGCGTGCGTGCGACAGGCGCACGTGGTGGCTTGGAGGACGACCCTGCTGTTGGCCACGGGGGTCCTGGCCATATTTGGTAGCGAGGCCCTGGGCTTCCCGGGGGCCGGCGGCCTCTGCTGCCTCATGGTGCCCTTCGTGGCCGCTCGGGGATGGGGAGACACCAGCGTGAGTGTGTGTGTGTGTCACGTACGTGTGTGTGTGTGTCACGTGTGTGTGTCACGTGTGTGTCGTGTGTGTGTGTGTCGTGTGTGTGTGTGTCGTGTGTGTGTCGTGTGTGTGTCGTGTGTGTCGTGTGTGTGTCGTGTGTGTGTCGTGTGTGTGTCGTGTGTGTGTCGTGTGTGTGTCGTGTGTGTGTCGCGTGTGTGTCGCGTGTGTGTCGCGTGTGTGTCGCGTGTGTGTCGTGTGTGTGTCGCGTGTGTGTCGTGTGTGTGTCGCGTGTGTGTCGCGTGTGTGTCGCGTGTGTGTCGCGTGTGTGTCGCGTGTGTATCGTGTGTGTGTCGTGTGTGTGTCGCGTGTGTGTCGTGTGTGTATCGTGTGTGTGTCGTGTGTGTCGTGTGTACCGTGTGTGTATCGTGTGTGCACCGCGTGTGTATCGTGTGTGTATCGTGTGTGTCGTGTGTGTGTCGTGTGTGTGTCGTGTGTGCACCGTGTGTGTATCGTGTGTGTATCGTGTGTGTATCGTGTGTGCACCGCGTGTGTATCGTGTGAGTCGTGTGTGTATTGTGTGTGTCGTGTGTGTGTCGTGTGTGTATCGTGTGTGTATTGTGTGTGTCGTGTGTGTATCGTGTGTGTATCGTGTGTGTATCACGTGTGTGTGTATCGTGTGTGTATCGTGTGTGCACCGTGTGTGTATCGTGTGTGTATCGTGTGTGCACCGTGTGTGTATCGTGTGTGTGTCGTGTGTGCACCGTGTGTGTGTCGTGTGTGTATCGTGTGTGCACCGTGTGTGTATCGTGTGTGTATCGTGTGTGCACCGTGTGTGTGTCGTGTGTGAACCGTGTGTGTATCGTGTGTGTGTGTGTATCGTGTGTGTGTCGTGTGTGTGTACCGTGTGTGTGTCGTGTGTGTATCGTGTGTGTATCGTGTGTGTATCGTGTGTGTGTGTACCGTGTGTGCACCGTGTGTGTACCGTGTGTGTACCGTGTGTGCACCGTGTGTGTATCGTGTGTGTATCGTGTGTGTATCGTGTGTGTGTGTACCGTGTGTGCACCGTGTGTGTACCGTGTGTGTACCGTGTGTGCACCGTGTGTGTACCGTGTGTGTACCGTGTGTGTACCGTGTGTGCACCGTGTGTGTGTCGTGTGTGTGTGTACCGTGTGTGCACCGTGTGTGTACCGTGTGTGTACCGTGTGTGCACCGTGTGTGTACCGTGTGTGTACCGTGTGTGTACCGTGTGTGCACCGTGTGTGTGTCGTGCGCAGGAGGCTGTGGCGGAGGCAGTGAAGGCCGTGTGGATCGGAGTGTTCCAGCCTCTGCTCTTCTCCCTGATCGGCGCCGAGGTCTCCCTCTCCGTGCTGGATCCCCGCACCACAGGTGGTGACGCCGCTCACTAACTCCAGAGGTCACCCCCGCCCCCACCTCCGCCCTGCCCACGTCCGTCACTGCTGTGGGCAGCGCCCGCAGCAGTGACGGACGCCGCTCCCGCCCGAAGGGGCGTCTCTGGGGGCCCGGCGAGGCGCTCCTGGGCGAACGGGCGCAATCGCCGTCAGCACCAGCAGCAGCACCACCCTCACCGCTATAATCATGATGATGGTGCTGATGATCTGCTGCTGTGCGCGCTGCTGATGATGATGACGATGACGGTGCTGGTGGCGGTGAGCAGGGCTATGTGTGGTGGTGCTGCTGGTGGGGCTGCTGATGCGCCTCCTCGTCACGTTCGGGGCCGTCGGCTGCGCCGGCCTCAGCGCCCGGGAGAAGCTCTTCGTGGCGCTCGCGTGGCTGCCCAAGGCCACCGTGCAGGCGAGACCCACGCACACACGTACACACACGTACACACACACACACACGTACACACACACACATGTACACACACGTACACACACACGTACACACACACACGTACACACACACACACATGTACACACACGTACACACACACACGTACACACACACGTACACACACACACGTACACACACGCACACACACACGTACACACACGTACACACACACACACGTACACACACACATGTACGCACACACGCACACACACACACGCATACACACACACGCACACACACACACGCACACACACACACGCACACACACACACACAAAGACAAAGACAAAGATCCCCCGTATAGCCTGAACAGACTGTAGGGGCAAGTGCTGTTAGCGGGCACCTATGAAGGCCGGAACGGTACACGAGGGGGTGGGTGGCCAGCACCACGCCCGACCGCCTTTGTCTCCCCAGTGGCAATGTTTACACACCGCACCAGGTACTCATTTGAGGCTGAGTCGACCTAGGGGAGGCCCGGGACCGGTTCAGATAATCGTCACTGGTGTTGGCCGTGAGCGGGAATCGAACCCGGGTCGCCAGGTTCATAGCACAGCGCGCTAACCGCTACACTATCGCTCCCCACCCACACACACACACACGTACACACACGCACACACGCACACACACGTACACACGCACACACACGTACACACGCACACACACGTACACACGCACACACACACACGCACACGCACACACGCACACGCACACACGCACACGCACACACGTACACACACACGCACACACACACACGCACACGCACGCACACGTACACACACACACGTACACACACACACGTACAAACACACGTACACACACACACGTACACACACACACACGTACACACACACACACACGTAAACACACACGTACACACACGTACACACACACACACGTACACACACACACGTACACGCACACACACGTACGCACGTACACTCACATGCACGCACGTACACACACACACACGCACGTACACACACACACACGCACGTACACACACACGCACGTACACACACACACGTACACACACAACAACAACCGCCATTCGCCACTAAGTGGCGGTGACGTCACCACGACGCTTGTGCCAGGCTATGTGCACCGTGAGGCCACGTGAAGTGTCGAACGCCCGCTGGCAGGAGGTCACTGGGCAGACCCAGGTGCCACGGGTCGACTGACTGAGATGACTGGCTGATGCACCACCTGTGCCCCCTACTGTGCCAACCTGCTTTGCTTTAGCCACCCGGCACTCCGCTCGTTGTTCTGAGCGTCGCTCCTCCGCCCTCCGTTGTTGTTGGAGGGCGACTGCCTCCAACTGCCCAGTAGCATCCTTCACGAGCCTCCTCCACAGAGGCCGATCTTGACACCGCTGGTACCAGTCATCGGCAAGTCCACTCAGCTCCACGTCCTCCTGTACCACATCACTCCATCTCTTCTCTAGCCCGTGCCGCGCCCGCTTAGCCCCCTCAATCCGGCCAAACAAAGCTGTTTCGGCATGCGGTGGCTGGGCATGCGGGCTACATGACCCAGCCATCGCAGCCTTGCCTGCCGGAGGAGCTCACCGATGGGACCCTGCCCAGATCTTTCAAGGATTTGTGAGCTCCTCACACAATCCAGTCTGGTTAAACCCAGGATGGATCGTAGGCAGGCCAGCCTAAATGTTTCTAACCGGCGAAGATGTTCCATTAGGGGGGTCCACGTTTCGCAAGCGTAGAGAAGGGAGGGAATGACCGTGGCCGAGAAGACCTGAAGCTTAGTGCGGAGCGACAGACCAGGTAGCTTCCACACAGCGTTACGCAACCGATGAAAAGATATTGCCGCTCGACTGATTCGGAGTGAGACCTCTGCTGTTAAACTGGAGCCAGTCATAAGCACACTGCCCAGGTATGGGAAACTCTCCACTCTCTCCACAACTGCCCCATCACCGATTGGGAGTTGTGGGGGTGGAGTGTCCGATGGTACAAAATACCCAGGCAGGTGCTTAGTTTTGGTGGGGCTGATGGTAAGGCCCCACCTCTTAGTGGCACGCTCCAGTCTCAGCAGCAGCGTCTCCAACTCCTCCTCTGACTGAGCAGCTATTACCAAATCATCAGCATACATAACGTGGTTGAGCAATAGGGAGCCATCCCTTGACCGCACCCGGGCATCGATTAGCCTCCCATTATATCTGTATCATATGGAGATTCCCCCGGTACAGCTATTGAAGGCTTCACGAACTACGTGGTCAAAATAGATGTTAAATAATGTGGGAGCCAGAGGACATCCCTGTCACACCCCAAGGTGTACAGGGAATGGCTCTGACTCCCGGCCACGTAGTTTTACCCGGGCCCGCTCACCATCATGAAGGTCCTTAATGATCGTGAGCAGAGGGTCAGGTACTCCAAAAGCACGAAGAACGACCCAGAGCCCAGGCCTACTGATGGTATCATAGGCCGTGACCAGGTCGTACACACACACGCACGTACACACACACACACGTACACACACACGCACGTACACACACGCACGTACACACACACGCACGTACACACGCACGTACACACGCACGTACACACACACGTACACACACACACACGTACACACACACAAGTGCACACACACACGTACACACACACGTACACGTACACACACACACGTACACACACACACACATACGCCCGTACGCACGCACGCACGCACGTACACACGCACGTACGCACACACACACGCACGTACACACACACGCACATACAAACACACACACACGTACACACACACACGCACGTACACACACGCACGTACACACACGCACGTACACACGTACTCACACATAAAAAAGACAAATATCCCCCATATAGCCTTAACAGACTGTAGGGGCAAGTGCTGTTAGCGAGCACCTATGAAGGCCGGAACGGTACACGAGGGGGTGGGTGGCCAGCACCACCCCCGACCGCCTTTGTCTCCCCAGTGGCGATGTTTACACACCGCACCAGGTACTCATTTGAGGCTGAGTCGACCTAGGGGAGGCCCAGGACCGGTTCAGATAATCGTCACTGGTGTTGGCCGTGAGTGGGAATCCAACCCGGGTCACCGGGTTCATAGCGCAGTGCGCTAACCACTACACGCACATATACACACACACACGTTCACGGACGCACACGCACGTACACACATGCACGCATGTCCACCATACCCACTGTATCCACCATGCCCACTGTATCCACCATACCCACTGTATCCACCAAACCCACTGTATCCACCATACCCACTGTATCCACCAAACCCACTGTATCCACCATGCCCACTGTATCCACCATGCCCACTGTATCCACCATACCCACTGTATCCACCATGCCCACTGTATCCACCAAACCCACTGTATCCACCATGCCCACTGTATCCACCAAACCCACTGTATCCACCAAACCCACTGTATCCACCATACCCACTGTATCCACCATACCCACTGTATCCACCAAACCCACTGTATCCACCATGCCCACCGTATCCACCAAACCCACTGTATCCACCATACCCACTGTATCCACCATACCCACTGTATCCACCATACCCACTGTATCCACCATGCCCACCGTATCCACCATGCCCACTGTATCCACCAAACCCACTGTATCCACCATACCCACTGTATCCACCAAACCCACTGTATCCCCAATGCCCACTGTATCCACCATACCCACTGTATCCACCATGCCCACTGTATCCACCATACCCACTGTATCCACCATACCCACTGTATCCACCATGCCCACTGTATCCACCATACCCACTGTATCCACCATACCCACTGTATCCACCACACCCACTGTATCCACCACGCCCACTGTATCCACCATGCCCACTGTATCCACCACGCCCACCGTATCCACCATACCCACTGTATCCACCAAACCCACCGTATCCACCAAACCCACTGTATCCACCAAGCCCACTGTATCCACCATGCCCACTGTATCCACCATACCCACTGTATCCACCATACCCACTGTATCCACCATGCCCACTGTATCCACCATGCCCACTTTATCCACCATGCCCACTGTATCCACCATGCCCACTGTATCCACCATGCCCACTGTATCCACCATACCTACCGTATCCACCACGCCCACCGTATCCACCAAACCCACTGTATCCACCATACCCACTGTATCCACCATGCCCACTGTATCCACCATACCCACTGTATCCACCATGCCCACTGTATCCACCATACCTACCATATCCACCACGCCCACCGTATCCACCAAACCCACTGTATCCACCAAACCCACTGTATCCACCATGCCCACTGTATCCACCATACCCACTGTATCCACCATACCCACTGTATCCACCATGCCCACTGTATCCACCATACCCACTGTATCCACCATACCCACTGTATCCACCATACCCACTGTATCCACCACGCCCACTGTATCCACCATGCTCACTGTATCCACCACGCCCACCGTATCCACCATACCCACTGTATCCACCAAACCCACCGTATCCACCAAACCCACCGTGTCCACCAAACCCACCTTGTCCACCACGCCCACCGTATCCACCAAACCCACCGTATCCACCAAACCCACCGTGTCCACCAAACCCACCTTGTCCACCACGCCCACCGTATCCACCAAACCCACCGTATCCACCAAACCCACCGTGTCCACCAAACCCACCTTGTCCACCACGCCCACCGTATCCACCAAACCCACCGTATCCACCAAACCCACCGTATCCACCACGCCCACCGTATCCACCAAACCCACCGTGTCCACCAAACCCACCTTGTCCACCACGCCCACCGTATCCACCAAACCCACCGTATCCACCAAACCCACCGTATCCAACACACCCACCGTATCCACCAAACCCACCGTATCCACCAAACCCACCGTGTCCACCACGCCCACCGTATCCACCAAACCCACTGTATCCACCATACCCACTGTATCCACCATGCCCACCGTATCCACCAAACCCACCGTATCCACCAAACCCACCGTGTCCACCAAACCCACCTTGTCCACCACGCCCACCGTATCCACCAAACCCACTGTATCCACCAAACCCACTGTATCCACCATGCCCACTGTATCCACCAAACCCACTGTATCCACCATACCCACTGTATCCACCAAACCCACTGTATCCACCAAACCCACTGTATCCACCACGCCCACCGTATCCACCAAACCCACCGTATCCACCAAACCCACCGTGTCCACCAAACCCACCTTGTCCACCACGCCCACCGTATCCACCACGCCCACTGTATCCACCATGCCCACTGTATCCACCACGCCCACCGTATCCACCAAACCCACCGTGTCCACCACGCCCACCGTATCCACCAAACCCACCGTGTCCACCACGCCCACCGCCCCCGCCAGGCTGCGATAGGCTCGGTGGCGCTGGACGTGGCGCGTCTCCGTGGCGACGCCGGCGCGCAGGCGTGGGGGCTGCAGATCCTCACGGCCGCTTTCCTCTCCATCCTGCTGACGGCTCCGCTCGGCTCGCTGCTCATCGGCCTCACCGGCCCGCGTCTCCTCCAGCTGCCGCGCCAGTTGCTGGCGCCGCCCACCCCCCCTCCACCACCACCACCACCTCCTCCTCCTCCTCATCATCATCCGGCCGATGCCGGCGCGGAGGTGGACGGTAAGCGTCGCCACGGTCACGCGGTAGGTACCGGCCGGGCGTATGGCATGGTGGCGAAATGTTATCTCCCTCGCCTGGTACGCAGGAGGTTCGGGGTACCAATTTTAAAATAATAATTGTTGTTGTTATTATTATTATTATTCTTGGTTCTTTCGGTAAAGTCACGTAGAAGGGAAACAATGCGTGACTTTACCGAAAGAACCAAGAACAGGAATCCCTGCAGTCACGGAAGCTTTCGATCAAAATTTATTTTTATTGTTAAGATTTTGCCTGTTGACCCAGGACAGTGTGGCCGAGTCTCGCGACTCGTTTTCAGGAGGGTCATGCCAAGTTTTTTCGCAGTTGGGGGCAACAATCGCTGCTGCTGCTGCTCGCGATTCCAATTGAGTGCGGTGTCACGGTGGCGAATTGTTAACCACCTCGCCTGGTCTACAGGAGGTTTTGGGTTCGATTACGACCCCGACGCTTGTGCATTTGGAGTGTGCGTGTCCTCCCGCCCCGTGCCCGCGTGGATTTTTCTCTGCATTCTCCAGTTTTTCCCCTCCACATTCAGAATCAATGTGACGCGTTTCGAGTGTTTGGCTGCATCCATTTCCACATGCGCCACTTTGTTATGCCATCAATTGTGTCCAGGTTGCTTCTGGCAAAGAGCTACATAGCTCAGTTGGGCCTTTACCTGGTCAAATAAATTCATTTTTCGACACATAGAGACTCGTAGAGATGCATGGTATGTATGTACGTTGAACTTCTTTCCGCAAGCGTAAGTAGCCAACCGCGCTAATCGGAGGTGCGGTACATCTAGACCCATAGAGACGTCGTAGTGAAGCCACTGTAGTCTGAACTCGTTCAACAGAGGAGGAGGAGGAACAGCAAAACGACACGAACTCTCTCTACGATGAAGCCCTCTCGGCATGGCCGGCAGCAGAACTTCCACATTGGGCATCAAGCTCCTGAAACTCTTTGCTGCTTCCTCCATGCGGAAGGGCAGAGCAGAGCCTATACAACTAGAAACGGTGTAATTTCGATTTAAAGCTTTCGTGACTGCAATGATTCATCTTCTTTGGTTCTTTCAGTAAAGTCACGTAGAATGAGAATAAAATAATAAATTGATAAAATAAAATAACTCAATAATATTCTCACGACGTTTCGGCCACAACACAAGTGGCCTTCATCAGGTGACTGCTCTTTCACTCCAGCGCTGTCCTACCAGACAGTCTCGCCCCTTCACCTGATGAAGGCCGCTTGTGTTGTGGCCGAAACGTCGTGAAAATATTATTGTGTTATTTTATTTTATCAATTTATTATTTTATTCTCATTCTACGTGACTTTACCGAAAGAACCAAAGAAGATAGAAACGGTGTCTTTATTTCACCAGGTAACGCCCACTGAGCCGTGTAGCTATTTTTCAGGAGCGACCTGCCCACAAACGATTGCCCAACGAAGTGGCTTATCGCGTGGAAATGTGTAGCGGAAGCCCAGTACTCTGAGCGCGTGACGTTGATTCCCAATGTGGAGGGAAAAACCGGAGGACCCGGAGACAAATCCACACAACCACGGGGAGAACACGCAAAATATAAAAGGGTCAGGGTCAAGATCGAACCCACACGACCTCCTGTATACTAGGCGAGGTAGTTAACATCTCATAGCCACCGTGATGATGATGATAATAGAGAGTCAGGGTCAAGATCGAACCCACACGACCTCCTGTATACCAGGCGAGGTAGTTAACATCTCATAGCCACCGTGATGATGATAGAGAGTCAGGGTCAAGATCGACCCCACACGACCTCCTGTATACCTGGCGAGGTAGTTAACATCTCCTAGCCACCGTGATGATGATAGTCAGGGTCAAGATCGACCCCACACGACCTCCTGTATACCAGGCGAGGTAGTTAACATCTCATAGCCACCGTGATGATGATAGAAAGTCAGGGTCAAGATCGACCCCACACGACCTCCTGTATACCAGGCGAGGTAGTTAACATCTCCTAGCCACCGTGATGATGATGATGATGATAGAGAGTCAGGGTCAAGATCGACCCCACGACCTCCTGTACACCAGGCGAGATAGTTAACATCTCATAGCCACCGTGGCGCCCCCTGGCCGGTACGGCCCAAGCACAGCCACTCGCCGTCTCTGAGCGGAGGCGGACTGTCAGAGTAACACCGTGCTTGTTGTCTCGCTGCCACCTCCACCCCCTCCCCACACACGCACGCATGCACATGTACACACACGCACGCATGCACACGTACACAACACGCACGCATACGCAGGTCAGACTCTCGGTTTGAGTCCAGACAAAGCGGAGATGGAGTCCACGTTTGAGGAGCAGCAGACACTGATGTAACATGGCTACCTGCTTAGGGTTCACTCACTGACATCAGAACACCCGCCAGTGGCAGCTGTCTGCCGGTAGAGGCGGGATACTCGCTCGCTGTGTATGACAGCAAGTGAGGGATTTCAGGGGTGATTTTTAGTTGTCAAACAAATGCAGGCGAAAACCCGGACCGGCAACGGTGGCGATGAGCTCGAAGACTTGTGGCTTCGCCCTGCGTGACGACGGTGACGGTGGCGAACCACACGGAGGAGGAGGAGGATAAGCGGGGCTGTGGCTGCGCGCCAGTTTGCTCCGCCTGCTGTTTGATGTTCGTACGCGCGGAGCACTAAAGAGACGAGCAGCTACGGTTACCGCTTGGGTCGCAAGGTGCACCTAGCCTGGCGCAAGCCCTTGAGTGTTTTTTTTTTTCGACTGCGGAACGCGAGCCGTGCCCGAAGGCGTCGCGCGCAAGCAGACGAGAGCCGAGAACCGCGTATTGTGCTGTCGCCGTTTGGCTCCGACTCGGCTCGGCAAACAGGTCCCAGTGGAAAAGAGAAAGGGAAGAACAAACAAAAAGCCTCACCTGAAACGTGCTGGCACCGTGCTGGCACCGTGCTGGCACCGTGCTGGCACTGGTGGCACCGTGCTGGCACCATGCTGGCACTGGTGGCACCGTGCTGACATTGCTGGCACCGTGCTGGCACCGTGCTGGCACTGGTGGCACCGTGCTGGCACCGTGCTGGTACCGTGCTGGCACCGTGCTGGCACTGTGCTGGCACGGTGCTGGCACTGGTGGCACCGTGCTGGCACTGTGCTGGCACTGTGCTGACACTGGTGGCACCGTGCTGGTACCGTGCTGGCACCGTGCTGGCACTGTGCTGGCACGGTGCTGGCACTGGTGGCACTGGTGGCACCGTGCTGGTACCGTGCTGGCACTGTGCTGGCACTGTGCTGACACTGGTGGCACCGTGCTGGCACCGTGCTGGCACCGTGCTGGCACTGGTGGCACCGTGCTGGCACCGTGCTGGCACCGTGCTGGCACCGTGCTGGCACCGTGCTGGCACTGGTGGCACCGTGCTGGCACCGTGCTGGCACCGTGCTGGCACCGTGCTGGCACTGGTGGCACCGTGCTGGCACCGTGCTGGCACTGGTGGCACCGTGCTGGCACTGGTGGCACTGCTGGCACCGTGCTGGCACCGTGCTGGCACTGGTGACACCGTACTTGCACCGTGCTGGCACCGTGCTGGCACCGTGCTGGCACTGGTGGCACCGTGCTGGCACCGTGCTGGCACCGTGCTGGCACTGGTGGCACCGTGCTGGTACCGTGCTGGCACCGTGCTGGCACTGTGCTGACACTGGTGGCACCGTGCTGGCACCGTGCTGGCACCGTGCTAGCACCGTACTGGCACCGTGCTGGCACCGTGCTGGCACTGGTGGCACCGTGCTGGCACCGTGCTGGCACCGTGCTGGCACCGTGCTGGCACCGTGCTGGCACTGGTGGCACTGGTGGCCCCGTGCTATCACCGTGCTGGCACCGTGCTGGCACTGGTGGCACTGGTGGCACCGTGCTAGCACCGTGCTGGCACCGTGCTGGCACCGTGCTGGCACCGTGATGGCACCGTGCTGGCACTGCGCTGGCTCGGCGTGGATGGCCCCTTTGTAGAAATGAGGAATGGGTTTGGCGGACGGCCACTGCTGCTGCTGATGTTGCAGCGTGTGTAAGCTACGAGTGCACGTGCGAGCGTCGTGTTTGATGTGTGTTTGACACGTGTTCAGGTGTGTAAGCTACGAGTGTGCGCGTACGAGCGTCTTGTTTGACACGTGTTCGCGTGTGTAAGCTACGAGCGTGTGCGTACGAGCGTCGTTCGTGAGCGACGATCGACCATTTCTTGAATCTCTCATTGCACTGGAACCGGGCGTGGGGGGGGGAGGTAATTTTTCGTGTTTACGGTCAGCTCCCTAAGACTGGGGAGACGCCAGAGCGGTGAACTCTGAACCACCCTGCTGGGCCATCGCGAGATTTCATGCGGGATGGAGCTCGTTGCTCCCGTGGTGATTACTCGGTCCCAACGAGCGATCTGTCGCTGCTCCCGAGCGAGCTTCGAGGCATCGGTGCTCATCGCCTCTCTGCAGCCCCTTGCAAAGCCCGTGGTTGGAATTCCACATTCACGTGGCCAGGGTGGAGAATCTATCCGCAAGGGGCAACTGCTCTTTTATCGACCCTGGAGGGAGGGATGATGATGATGATGGTGATGATGGGCCGAGTCGATCCCCGCACGCATTGCGCGCAAAGTGCTTGCCACAAGTGAACCACAGATGCCTCGCTGGTCACCTCAAAGACCATAAGCCATCATTAGGCGAACTCCGCTCATCCTCGCAGCAGCGCCTTTCGCTGGCCGTCAAACAAAAGGCGGTGGTCGCCGCATCGCTTGGCACTTCTGGACACGCTGCTGCGGCCACCTGGATAGCTCTCTTGTCGGACGCCACTGGAGCTGCGCACTTTTAAAATCAGCCAGATTGACAAACACAGCGTCCTCCATACCATCATCACCACCACCACCCAGAGGCTGTGGCAATGTCAGCCCTGCTCGAGGGGATGATGGCACGGCACAGGTCAAGTGTCACGTTGATTGTGTGACCGGGCGAGGACTCTTACCCCTTTCCCGTCCCGATGACGACGTACGTGTACGTCGTCAAAAGGGAACCGGTAGGGAAACTTAAAGTAGCCTTTCCGGTAGCCGAGGCTCCCACAAGGCCATGCGACAGGGCGCGTGGCACAGTTTGGCGCCGGCCATCGTGGAGTGCGGTCGCGTCGCTACGGTTCTCCGTGGCGAGTAACGATGTCTTCAGAAACAACGGCTCTGCTACGCCTCCCCAGAGAAAATGAACGCCCGAGCCGCCTGCCGCGTTGCGGAGTTGAGCGGTGAACGGGACGACCGCAGCCTGCAACTTGCAGGCGTCCCCGGACCGGGAGAAGGTTTTGAAGAGACCAGGGTTGGAGTCTCGTTCGCAGGAGTGACCTGGTGGGGGGGGGGGGAGCTGGGGGGGTTACCACCATCATGCAAGCAAAAGCATGCAATTAAGTAGGGCGATGAAGCAAATATATGAAGGCCATTGATGAAGGCATATGTTCAAACACACGCGTGATGAAGGCATGCAGGCAGTGGTACACTGCTCTCAGCCGTGTCTAGACCACCAACACCGATTGGCCAACGATGTACTTTTAAACATGTTTTTTTTTTAAAAACACATGTTACAACAAGTGACATTTTTTTTACGCTCCAGCTCTGTTAGAGCACGCGTGCGTTAGAACACTGCCCGTGTGGGTGTTAGAGCACGCGTGTGTTAGAACACTGCCCGTGTTGGTGTTGGAGCCCACGTGTGTTAGAACACTGCCCGTGTGGGTGTTAGAGCACGCGTGTGTTAGAACACTGCCCGTGTTGGTGTTGGAGCCCACGTGTGTTAGAACACTGCCCGTGTGGGTGTTAGAGCACGCGTGTGTTAGAACACTGCCCGTGTGGGTGTTAGAGCACGCGTGTGTTAGAACACTGCCCGTGTTGGTGTTAGAGCACGCGTGTGTTAGAACACTGCCGTGTGGGTGTTGAAGCACGCGTGTGTTAGAACACTGCCCGTGTGGGTGTTAGAGCACGCGTGTGTTAGAACACTGCCCGTGTGGGTGTTAGAGCACGCGTGTGTTAGAACACTGCCCGTGTGGGTGTTAGAGCACGCGTGTGTTAGAACACTGCCCGTGTGGGTGTTAGAGCCCACGTGTGTTAGAACACTACCGTGTGGGTGTTAGAGCACGCGTGTGTTAGAACACTACCGTGTGGGTGTTGAAGCACGCGTGTGTTAGAACACTGCCCGTGTGGGTGTTAGAGCCCACGTGTGTTAGAACACTACCGTGTGGGTGTTAGAGCACGCGTGCGTTAGAACACTGCCCGTGTGGGTGTTAGAGCACGCGTGTGTTAGAAAACTGCCAGTGTGGGTGTTAGAGCACGCGTGTGTTAGAACACTGCCGTGTGGGTGTTAGAGCACACGTGTGTTAGAACACTGCCCGTGTTGGTGTTAGAGCCCGCGTGTGTTAGAACACTGCCCGTGTGGGTGTTAGAGCACGCGTGTGTTAGAACACTGCCGTGTGGGTGTTGGAGCACGCGTGTGTTAGAACACTGCCCGTGTGGGTGTTGAAGCACGCGTGTGTTAGAACACTGCCGTGTGGGTGTTAGAGCACGCGTGTGTTAGAACACTGCCAGTGTGGGTGTTAGAGCACGCGTGTGTTAGAACACTGCCCGTGTGGGTGTTAGAGCACGCGTGTGTTAGAAAACTGCCAGTGTGGGTGTTAGAGCACGCGTGTGTTAGAACACTGCCGTGTGGGTGTTAGAGCACACGTGTGTTAGAACACTGCCGTGTGGGTGTTGGAGCACGCGTGTGTTAGAACACTGCCCGTGTGGGTGTTAGAGCACGCGTGTGTTAGAACACTGCCCGTGTGGGTGTTGAAGCACGCGTGTGTTAGAACACTGCCGTGTGGGTGTTAGAGCCCGCGTGTGTTAGAACACTGCCGTGTGGGTGTTAGAGCCCGCGTGTGTTAGAACACTGCCCGTGTGGGTGTTAGAGCACGCGTGTGTTAGAACACTGCCAGTGTGGGTGTTAGAGCACGCGTGTGTTAGAACACTGCCGTGTGGGTGTTGGAGCACGCGTGTGTTAGAACACTGCCGTGTGGATGTTAGAGCACGCGTGTGTTAGAACACTGCCGTGTGGGTGTTAGAGCACGCGTGTGTTAGAACACTGCCAGTGTGGGTGTTAGAGCACGCGTGTGTTAGAACACTGCCCGTGTGGGTGTTAGAGCACGCGTGTGTTAGAACACTGCCAGTGTGGGTGTTAGAGCACGCGTGTGTTAGAACACTGCCCGTGTGGGTGTTAGAGCACGCGTGTGTTAGAACACTGCCGTGTGGGTGTTAGAGCACGCGTGTGTTAGAACACTGCCCGTGTGGGTGTTGGAGCACGCGTGTGTTAGAACACTGCCCGTGTGGGTGTTAGAGCACGCGTGTGTTAGAACACTGCCCGTGTGGGTGTTAGAGCACGCGTGTGTTAGAACACTGCCGTGTGGGTGTTAGAGCACGCGTGTGTTAGAACACTGCCGTGTGGGTGTTAGAGCACGCGTGTGTTAGAACACTGCCGTGTGGGTGTTAGAGCACGCGTGTGTTAGAACACTGCCAGTGTGGGTGTTGGAGCCCGCGTGCGTTTTTTGTGGGGAGCGGTGGCGAAGGGGTTAGCGCACTGCACTACGAACCCGGCGACCTGAGTTCGATTCCCCTTTTACGGCCAACTTCGGTGATGAATAGAGTGTCTGAACCGGGCCTGGTCCTCCTCTCGGTCGACGCAGCCTCAAAATGAGATCCTGGTGCGATGTGTCAACAGCATCAGCACTGGGGAGACAAAGGCGGCCGGGCGTGGTGCTGGCCACCCACCCCCCTCCGTCGTGTGCCGTACCGGCTATAATAGGTGCTACTCCCGAACAGCACTTGCCCCAACGATCCTGTAAAAGCAGCGGTCCCCAACCTCTTTGGCACCAGGGACCGGTTTTGTGGAAGACGATTTTTTTTTTCACGGACCGGGGGTGGTGGGGGGGAGGTGTTCATCATTGGGTCTTTCCCCCTTTTCAAAGAAGCTCTGCAGCGACGTTTGTTTGTTTTTATACTCATGTTGGCTACTAGGGGTTAGAGCTTGTGGGCTCACCAACACTGTGACCGAGACGAACGCGCAGTGCGGGAAAGAGTCGCGGACGGAAGTGGTAAATAATAAAATCATGGGCGGGTCACCTGCGGAATAAGTAAGTGTGGGATTCTGACTTCTCATAAGGAGCGCGCAACCCAGACCCCTCGCATGCGCAGTTGACAGTCGGGTTCGCGCTCCTATGAGAATCTCATGCCGCCGCTGATCTCACAGGAGGCGGAGCTCAGACGGTAATGCGAGCGATGGGGAGCGGCTGTCAATACAGATGATGATGAAGCTTCATCTGTCAATACAGATGATGATGATGAAGCGTCATCTGTCAATACAGATGTTGATGAAGCTTCATCTGTCAATACAGATGATGATGAAGCTTCATCTGTCAATAACAGATGACGAAGCTTCATCTGTCAATAACAGATGATGATGAAGCTTCGTCATCTGTCAATAACATGACGAAGCTTCATCTGTCAATACAGATGATGATGAAGCTTCGTCATCTGTCAATAACATGATGACGCTTCATCTGTCAATAACAGGTGACGAAGCTTCATCTGTCAATAACAGATGACGAAGCTTCATCTGTCAATACAGATGACGAAGCTTCATCTGTCAATACAGATGATGATGAAGCTTCGCTCGCTCGCCCACCGCTCTCACCTCCTGCTGTGCGGCCCGGTTCCTAAGAGGTCACGGACCGGTCCCGATCCACGGCCCGGGGGTTGGGGACCCCTGCTGTTAAGCTGTAACGGGGCGTCTTTGCCTGTGTTTACGTGTGTCCGTGCACATTTCTCTCGGGATGCTCTTCGAGTTAGGCGACCACGTGGTCCTTCGCGTCTCGTGGCTAAAGAGTTGGACAAATAAAATCCAGCTGAAGAAGGAACGATGGACTACTTGATGTGTCAATTGTTCTCTCTCTCTAAAATCTCATCCCACCACCACCACCCCGCGGGTCGCCACGTTTCCCAGAATCTCTAAACTTTAGTTGCTCAATCGAATACAAGTAAACCCCCGCTCACTTTTAAACATAGATTGAAAACTCACCTCTTTGGAACTGCTTTTTGGTGTTTAGTTTGTTGTACTTTCGCCGCATCCCCGATTAGCGCGGCTGGCTACGTGCGGTGCGAAAGAAGTTCAACGTACATCCGTGCGCTGTGAAGAAAAGCCATAACCTGAAACGTCGCCTATTTTATATATATATAAATATTTCCCTTTCAAGGCCACGCACGCGGTGTTGCATTGTGTTTGTTCTGTTCGCCGTTTGGTGTTCTCTGCTCTAACACTGGTGGCGGGACGAGGCCGTGAAGAAGGCTGCCTCTGGTGCAGGCCAATCGGTTTCAAATACAATGCGTCACATTATCAGAGCGCGTTTGTTTGCATGCTTTGCCACAAGTATGCGTGGTTGTTCAATGCAGACTTGATGCCTTTGTGTTTGAACACGCTAGGGGCCGTCCATAAATGACGTCAGACATTTGTGACGATGTGTAACGATAGGGGGGGGGGGAGGGGTTTGAGAAATGTGACGTCACATAAAGATTCGCAACTTTAAATAAATATAGAGAACACGTTCTACTTAATTAAATAGACTTTTTAATAAATGTTTTCTCCTACAACATCAGAGTGCAGCGCCACATTAAATACGCACTACAATGACAATAGTTTAAAGCGATTTGAAGCATGTTTTCTATTTTTTTAGGGGGGGGGGGGCAGAGCTTTGTGACGTCATATTTGAGGGGGGGGTTCTGACTTTTTATGACGTCGTGTGACGAAGGGGGGGGGGGTCAAAAATCGTCCAATATCGCGTGACGTCAGTAATGGACGGCCCCTTAAACACCTGTTTCATTGCCAGACAGGGTAAAGCCTATTCTTATTTTTCATCATTTTGGATACTGGCGAAAGATCCCCATAGCTATAGTGTTGTTGGTCTTGTTATCGTCGACGAGCGTGTTGGGTTATTTGCGTGTTTGTGTACCGCTGGCCATCGCAGCAGGACCACGAGCACGTGGGTCGTAGACCACGTGCTCGGTAGAGGCACCGTCACAATGGCTGCTGAGATGCAAGTGGGCCTTGGGCAGGAGGCGTCACGGCCAGGCGGGGTGGCGATGCTCGGTGGCGGTGGTGGCGGTCGATGCTCGCAACGGAGTTGGCGGCCCAAAGCAGGGAAGAAGCCAAAAAACCAGCACGCGTAGATGGAGCGATTAAATCGTCTCCGTTCGCAGGAGCCAGACGCGATAGTTGCCTGGCCAGGCCGCCAGAGATGACGCGGGGTGGGGGAGGTGCTTTCATCCAGCAGTGACTAGATCCCGACCGCTGCCGATGCTAAACGATGATAATGAGTGAGTGAGTGACGAGATGCGGGTTGACGTCGCGTCTCCCCCCACGAGCTCTGATGCCCCCACCCGACTGCGTCTCCCCCCGGGGGAGGCCGCCCGTCACGGTTGCGGTAATTGGGCCCCTGATGTCGCCTCCAAGCGGCTGCCGGAGGCGACCACGCGGGGTTTATAAGCCCCGAGGCAGGGGCAGGGCACCATCAATCACGATCATCATTATCACTGCTGCTCTACCCACAGCCACGCGACCACGAGGGCAGGCAGACAGATTGAGCCACAGACAGACAGGCGGGCAGATAGAATCACAGAGATACGGACAGGTCGGTAGGCACACAGACGTAATCACAGACCGAAAGGCAGACTGGCGGACGGACGCGTGTGTGGGATAGACATTCACGGTTGGCTACGCACGCTGTAAAGGAAGTTCAACATACACATGTATCGACAATTGACGGACAGAATCGCATATAGACAAACCTGATTAACAGAAAGAAGAGATGCATAGGTGGTAGGTAAGTAGTTAGACGAATCGACGGCCAGACAGACATACACATTGACAGTTAAGGCACATTCAGGCACAAAGACAGAATCCTAGACAAATTAATAGACGGGCTGATAGACAGACAGAGGCAAAATAGACAGAGACACATAGCATATCCCGAACACATGTAGGTACATGATACCCACACCTGCATACTCACCACTCCTCTCTCCACACACCTGCACACATGGACTGACACAAAGAGACACACCATCCCCATTCACGAGCACTCACACACTCGTACACTGGCACATGCTAGCGAACACACACATACACACACACACTGGCACACGCTCACGAGCACACACACACTCGTACACTGGCATACGCTCACTCGCACACACACACTCACCCACTGGCACACGTTCGTGAGCACACACAAAAATCCCCCGTATAGCCTTAACAAACTGTTGGGGAAAGTGCTGTTAGCGAGCACCTATGAAGGCCGGCACCCCATCCCCCACACACCCACCCCCATATACACTGTATCTAACCACCGACCTAGTCACACACACGTACACACCTGCATAGACACCCACTCTCCCAGAACCCCACACACCTGAACTCACCTGTACGAACAACCCGAACTCATTTGTAGACAAACACACACGAACTCACCTGTAGACACAAACTCACCTGTAGAAAAAACACACGAACGCACCTATAGACACACAAACTCACCTGTAGACACACAAAGTCACCTGTAGACACACAAACTCACCTGTAGACACACGCACACACCCAAACTCTCCTATAGACACAAACTCACCTCTAGATACACAAACTCACCTGTAGATACAAACTCACCTATAGACACACAAACTCACCTGTAGACACAAAGTCACCTGTAGACACAAAGTCACCTGTAGACACACAAAGTCACCTGTAGACACAAAGTCACCTGTAGACACACAAAGTCACCTGTAGACACACGAACTCACCTGTAGACACACGCACACACCCAAACTCTCCAATAGACACACAAACTCACCTGTAGACACACAAACGCACCTGTAGATACACACACACGAACTCACCTATAGACACAAACTCACCTGTAGACACACAAACTCACCCAAACTCACCTCTAGACACACAAACTCACCTGTAGATACAAACTTACCCGAACA